GGCGCAACCCTGCAACTGCAGTTAAAATACGTTGCTGCTGCATCGGGACATCAATCGCTCAATCAACACAGCTGGAGCTTTACGCTGTGTTGAGCGAAATCAATCGCTCTGGCTGGGGGCGGCACAAAATTAGGTGGAGGCGGCCGCCACGCAATTTTGAACGCAGGAAAAACCCTGCAGAGGGGGAAAAAGATCATAGATACATCTTTATCGGCTGAGGTTAAGAGTTGAAGCAACAATAAAACCAGTAAACAAATGATCTCTTTGATTGAAATGATGAATACACTGTGTTTCTTGTTTTACATACGCCTTTTAAGAATGAGTGAGGGTCTTTAGAGGAAGCCTCTAGTGGCCTCTTGAGGAACTGCTTTTTTTACTGAATGGATTTTATTTCTCAAGACTGGAGTTTGCTGCAGAGATAAATTTAAAAACTTAAAGTGTATTTCTTTCTGTCTGCTTGGTTGTATTTAATAAGATTTTACTCACCTGTCGTTTTCAATCATCCACTGACAAGCCTTGTTATCATTTATACCGGCACATACTAATACAATGCAATCAGAAGGTATGGCTTCCCCCACCACAGAGCCTAACTGTAATTACAGCTAATGAGCAGGTTGGTGAATCCTTTACCATCGGCTTGGCTGCAGGAAGTATGGCCAGGTGTTGCTGTCAGTCTGCAGAGGAATAAATGGAGGTGAGAGAGAAAACCATATGTTTGTGGGTGATTTGATTCTCAGTAATTGTGTTTGTCTTTGTCTGCTGTCTCCTCCTCTTCCTGACCAACATCCCCACAGGGATAAACAAGAATCAAAACACAGACAAGAAACCAGCAGAAGACTGATAGACCGTATGGATTGAGATCATGCATAGAGGAAGCTCGTCTAAACCGCACGTGTCGTTCTGTGAGTGTGAGTCATGACAGAGCATGTTTTCATGGAGATTACATCTTTAACACATCTGGTTTAGCAGGATTATGATGTATTGACAAGAGCAAATTATGCAAATAAAACTAAATGCCTCTCAATTGAAGAAATGTATTACATGACAACCAATCATTCTGTTAATGTTACAGCCAGTTATAGCTGGAGGCTCAACATTTTCTGTCATTACATCACCAGGAATAACAGGATACTCTTTTTTTATGGCCTGTAGGGCCCATGAAGTGCAACAGGTCATGTCCACAGTGATCTCTGTTATGGCCTTGGCCCTTCACCCTTCACCCACTGCAAGCCAAGAGAGTTTGCAAAAGACAACCTTCAGTTATAGCAGAGACATGAGAGTCTGTTGTCTGTAAAATAAGAAGTCATGCACTGGAAGATTTTGATCAAAATTATATGTAAAAATTAAACTATTAATTTTAAATGAATCAGTCTTGAGGTGGCTAATTTTGAAATAATTGGTTACCATAGAACTGCACTAATGTGCTCATAGTTGAGGTGAAAAATGTTGGGATTACTTTGTGACTTTTATTTAATCCCTCATTAAAATATGTTGTATATTTACCATATGATATTATATTTATTAATATCAAACACTATCTGGTCATCTTTATAACAGTCCCAAAAAATACTGTTATATGTGAAGTTGTCTAAAAGGATAAAGTACAGATATAACTTAAACAATATTTGCTCCATCAGAGCACAACAAGTAAAGGAAGTAAAAATTACTAAGAACAGTGTTAAATCTTTTCGTCTAATAGTACTTTCAAGGAATCCCAAACAGGATACTATATTTGGTTATGACATGTCATTCAATTTTTTATCATCAGTTGCTGCACGCGAACTGAACTGAACTGAAAATAAGCATTGGAAACAGTACCAACATTCTAAAATTTGGGGGAATTTACAATGCAGTTATTGAAAGTATTTTTCTTTGACAAATTTTGTGGACAACTAAAGAGTTAGAGGTAACCTGTATAATTCTCTGGTTACTTAACTATTGTAGATCTACGTTTCCCTTCCCAGCCCACCTGACTTACAGGCGTTGACACCAGCAACATCCAGCTGTGATCGCCTCCAGTGGGGGATCTGGTGTTGCCTTCTCAGCCTTCCCTGTATTCCCTGTTCTCTCACACTGCCAACTGGCATCATATTTAAACCGAGAAAATAAATTCCAGCCTTTAATTCCCAAACACAGGGCAGATGTTTGTCACGCAGTCTGGTTGTTTGAGCAGAGAATGGAAGTCTGATACACAGAGTGATCAGGAGAGGCACAACTGGTTGCAATAAAAGGAAACCACTTCATCCTCGGGCACTGATCAATATCAGATACTAACCTCCACAAAGCATCTGCTTATTGTATAAGCCCTGGAAAACTCCAGTTTATTATTACTTCACTGTGTCCTGACAAAAATGCATGTTTTTATTTTTAACAACATTAAAAATCAAGAAATATATGATCAAAGATGCCTTTATTTAATCACCTTGAGTTAATTTGTCATCAGTTTGTTATTACTTGTTTCCTGTTCCTGTAAATTGAACACATACTGTATTCTTTCATTATTACTGGCTGTGCATCCAGGACTCTGTATGAGCAGTTGTTGCTGTTCCCAGTCTCTCTCTCTCTCTCTCTCTCCCTCTCTTTTCCCCATCTCAGTGGTTGCAGGTATAGCTGTCCAACATGAGTCTGGTCCTGGTTAAGGTTTCTGCCTGTTAAAGGAAAGCTTTCCCTTGCCACTGTAACTTGCTAAATACTGCCAAGTGCTTCACTCACGTTGGTCAAAGATAGGTTAAATCTTTTCCCATCTTGAGGTTGGGTCTTTGTCATACATCATACAAAGATGTTGGTCTGGACCTGCCCTTTAAGAAAGTGTCTGAGATAAAGACTGTTTTATGATTTGAGCGCTATATCATTAAAATTGATTGATTGATTGATTGATTCATTGGGGGTCAGATATCTCCAACCTTCTATATTTGTTGTATATTACTCTGGATTATTTAGAACAGCATCAGCTAACCATATGAAACACTCCAAGACACCAAAATAACAAAAACCCAACAGTGTTTTTTTTTTTTTGTTCTCATTAAAGTGGCTTTCTGTAGAAAGACCGACTGTTGATCCAGTCTTTTGACACTTTAAACCATGACGTGATCTTGGAAACAGAACCTCTTATTCATTTCAATATGAGTGATGAAGCCTGGAACAAATGAGTTACAGTTTTTAATATTTTCTGTATGTTTGTGGTGTTTCTTTCTTTCTTTCTTTCTTTTTTTTTTGCCTTGTTCTCATTGATTCAAACTGGGTGGGGCTTAATGAAAAAAGGGTTTTGTGGGTACTTATGTGAAAACAGACTTATAAATGTACTGACCTTAAAATGATATCACTAGGATTTAGGCTCCTCTCTGAAAACCCTTTTCTCTTTGCACTTCTGTTCGTCAGTTTTTATGCTACCCTTGGTGAAAAATAAAGGCTGGGTTCATCGCAGCAGAAATCGCAGTAATTGGAATAACTTTGAGCCTGTTTCCACTTTAAACATGTTAAGAGATGCTTGTTGATGCCAGTGTTTGTATTTTACTATCAAATAAATCTGATGTGAGCACAGTTGCACCACCCTTATTAAGCAGATGTGCTCAGTTTGAGTGTTTACCTCCCTTTATAAATAGGCATGCCTTTTCTATTTTGGCTCATTTAACTACAGACGATAGATATCAGTGAGGAATACTAGAGCACATAACAAGTCCTTGGTACTTTATTGAATATGTTGTTTTGTTATGTACAGTCAGGTTGTCTGTCCGGCAGCAGCTGTCTGATGTTGACACTGGGATTCGAGGACAAAGTGTGTCTCTGATGTGTTGCCAAGTGGAAACAACACAGACCCCATGTGACCTGATGTAAACCTGCACTGCCCGTTGGTAGCTTAAGAAATGGTGGTCTTTGTGCCCAGATCTATAGATATCTTTTTATTTTCAATACAGCTGAAACAGAGTTCATCTAGAGGGCTTCTTTTTACCTGTTATTTCATATACTGACAGGTGCACAAACAAGTCTGAAAAGAAACTGATATGAATCACTCCATTAATAACAGAGCGTCTAGACCAAATACAAATACAACCATAATGTGGCATGAGTAGTAGAAGGATATGAAGTCAGCAAGGTGCAAGTTTAGGCTTATTTTCATTGTGGTTAGAAAAGAGGCTGCTTAATAGATAAGAAAGAAAGATAACTTTTAAGTCTGATGCAATTTGACACAATAGTATTGTTTTTTACTTCCTCTTTTATTGTACAACCACCTCTCACCGTCTCTATCATACTCACCAGGCACACTTCAGAGGAATTAACCAGTCTGAACATCTTTACACACTTGGCACGAGCTCAACTTTAGCATAAGCCTTCAGACGTGTTCACCCAGGGTTCAAGCTCTCTTATCTCAGGGACACACCCTGACATAGCAGAACTAATTAGTTTGTCAAATCAGCTGTTTTTGTGGTTCGAGGTTATCAAACCTGAAGCATGACCTCATTGATTCGAAGATTAGGCTCAATAACTTCTCAGTCACTCCCAGAATACCAGAGTATTCCTGACTGTCACACTCTCGGCTGTGTAATGTTGCATAACTCTCCTGCTGGGACTGCATAAAGGCTGAAGGTTGACCTTGGCTTCAAATATCCTCGCTCCTGTCTTAGCTACTCTCACACTGCCTCATTAAAGGACCATGTTTGTTACAAACAGCGTGGCTCATTGCTATTGATTAACTGTGGCCTGCATAATTGATAAAGTAGCCTAGAGAGAAAGATCAGTATGAACAAACTTTAATAAACTCAGAGCTGAATTTAAGTCACAACCTTGTAACCTCATAAATTAATGTAAAAAATGCAACATTATTTATTATCATCCTAATCAACCCCCTTATCAAAAGGAGAAAAAATGAATTAATTTCTGTGTTACGGTCACTCTCATACAGCTGAGACAGGAGGGGACTTTGCTCATCAAGACCTTTCGCAATTTAGTGAATACAGTACAACCGTCATATTGATAAGAAGCCTCGGGTGCTTCTTAAATTCAGGGACTTCACACGCAGACGCGCGAGGGGAGCTCAGTATTGGACCTGCGCATCCACTTGTTGAGTTTACAACAGTTCACCGTCACTCCATTTAAAGAGACAACAACATGGCACACGGGCTGGTCAGACGAGAGTCTGTGGAAACCGAGATGCACAAGTCCGAATCCAAAAGAAAAACTTTTGTTTACACCAAGAAGAGAGGCTACGATGTTACTCGAAACCCCCACTTGAACAAGGTAGGAGTGTTGACTCACTTGTTTGAGTTTTTAGCTTGTTTCCATGGACGTTAAGGTTGTCAAGTAGCTGCTGCCTTCAGGGACTGCGGGAAATGTCACAATTCTAGATTGTCCGGCAACAACCAGCCGTAGTGTCATGAGTAATGAAATGTGAGGATGCTCAGGGTTTTTATCATTAAACAGCTATCATTTGTGGGGTCGGTGACGTTCGACGACTGTTTGCCAGCTTATAAAATGTAGGTAATCTGCTAAATGAGTGCAGTCCTCGTCAAAATGTTAAACTTTGACATATTCAGTCACTTTCCTCTTTAACTTGTCGCCATGTCTCTGTCTCCTATCAAATTATATTACGTAAGAGTGACGTATTTATTAAGACTATGCTTCGAGAGTGTCTTCAGTTTACTCTCTGGACTCTCGTAATCCCTCAGGCAGCACTTGAACGCAACATTAGCCAGGAGGTATCAGCTTTAGACGCGGTTATATTTAGATTTAAAGAGACCAAACACTGTCGTCGCAGTAAGAGGGGCTTTTGTCAATACTGCCTAGTCACGTATTGGTTTTCAGGGGCTGTTATGTAGCAGTAATGCATTCTTGCCACCAGGAAGTCTGATAAAAACTACAGTGGGCCTCTGTGATTCAGCAAAATCTGGCAAACTGCACTGAGCTCATTGTGGGAGCTGTCAAGTAGGAGAAGTAACAACTGTCCCTTTAAAACGCTATAAATATTAAGGGTTTAAGTTAAATGTGGTAACTATTTTGTGATGTTTAAATGTGCCAGTTTCATTAGACATAAGCTTTTGAACAATTAGATACATCTTAGAGTAAGTATTTTTCAATACAATGAAACAGAAGTGAGCATTATTAGGTGTACCTCACTGCTTCTAGCCCATTCGGACACAGGTGCTGACATGCAGTGCTAGAGGCAATGCACAGGGTCTTAAAAAGCAGTTTCTCTAAACCAGAGCTTTTTCTTGACAAAAATGCGGAACAGTGTTGAAAATTGCATAAGACAAGACAAAAGTGCTGAGCAGCTACTTTGCAGATCATGAGATAAGGAGGATGACTTTGCTGTTTCTTACTGTGGGTATTTACATCTGCTGAAATGTGTAACATTTTTGCTTTGATCAGACCCTGCTTAGCCTGTTGTAAGCACCACATTAGACCTTAGGTACATTTAAACAAAAGAGCTTCTGGCCTCAAATGAGCTGTTTCTAGTCTTTTCTCTTGGTATGTGTGGTGGGACAGGGCCCCTGAGGTCAAACTGTGGTGACAGGATCTCTGTCCATGGTGCTGACTGCCCATCCAAACAACAGGCTGAATTCAGGGCCACTTTAATTTGAAGTGCAACCTACAAACAAAGTGTGGTCTGACTGCTTTTGGCACTCTAGAGATGTTTTCTCTTCTCTCACAGGCCAAACATGTTTTCCCTTAGGTAGTCATTGAACAGGTGGCCTATCAATAGCTGAACTGTTCTGGGTTTTTCAGTGTGAATTCTCAATTAGAGCTGTGTGACTGCTCTTAGTTCTTTCATATTAGCTATTCCTGGTAGACGAAAGTTGCAGTCAGTTTACCACAGCTGAAGCAGCTGCCAGACACCGGTGGTATCATCAGTGAACTGATAAGTGCGGTTCAAACAGGCCAGTGTCTGTGGAGAGAGGGGTGTGAGCTGGTGGTTGCACAGAGACCTGATTGTTAGTGAAGTTAATGACTCCACTCTTGAGACCTCATGCTGCACACCAACCTAATGTGTTTGTGCTCAGATGTGAAAATGTGCAAGCTGTGGCAGGTTGAAGTGAGGTGTTAACATGAATGCAATATGACTTATGGGGAATAAAATAACTTTCTTTAAACCAAGCATGCTCAACCAGGGACAAAAATGTCATGTTTTATTGTTAAAGATGACACCTTAGATTAAGCTATCTGAAAGGGATCATTCAAAGAAATGAGATGTTTTAATCTAGTCATGCAATAAATCACCCATAAATCTTCATGACTTCATCGCCCTTCACTTCACCCGTCAGTTTTGCAACTCTGTAATTACCTCTGTCTTGTCTTCTGAGTTGTGTTCAGCTAGTTTGTACATGTTGTTTCCAGAATTTTTAATTTACCTTTCATGTAGCTGATGTCTTCAACCTGGAATCTGATTATCAGCTCTTGTATTTGTTTGGTGGAGAAATGATAGTGGACCAAGTCAGTTGTTGGATTACTTGCTGCTCAGCAGGGTGCCTCTATCAAGAAGACAGCCAGAACACTGATCTAACAGTAATGATGTGTCCCTACATCTGCAGTTTGTGTTGGAAAGTATTTGAACCACAACAGTTTCGCCTCCCGTTGACAGCAACATATGTACTAACTGTGACAGACAGCTATTAAATCTTCTAAAAAGGGAGGAAACCCATCATTTAAGTGTTGTTTTATGGGGATCTGACCAGTACTTGAGCGGATGACAACCTGTTTTTATGAAGTCATCTAAGTCAGGGATAATGTGTTGTTTCCCTGGCAGGCTACAACTATACATTATACTGCTTGTTACCTGTCTGCCACCTGAATCAAAGACACAATCAGTTTTTATTGAAGTATGATTTGTTTTATTTTTTCACTGAGTTCTCAAAATTCATCACATTAATAGTAATTTCTTGATGAATCTGATGGTTGCCTGTTAAAGATGGAGGTCATTCTGGGACCCACAGATCCAGCGCATAAACCTGACCCAGTAAACTGTTTGTTTATATCTCAATTTACACCTCAGGACCCTGAATGGACGCTATGTACAGGAGGAGCTGTTAAAGAGGGCCAGTTGGTGACCCAAATTCATGTGAAAGCACGACTGCTTTAGCACTTAGGATGTTGCACTTCATTCTGGTCGTTTTGAGAGGTCCTTTGAGAACAGTGACCTGAGTCATTCAGATTTTAAACTTTTCATTTAAAGTCAAAAAATAAACTTGAGGCACAACATTTCCCAGAGTCAGAAAGTGTTTTCTTGATTTTTTTTTCTCTATTTTCATACTTCCTTATTTTTCTCTAGCACAAAGTTCAAGTGAAGCTGATGTATTGTGTCACTGTGAGATATATTTTTCGGTTTCTACAGAAGTATTTCCAAATTCACTCAGGCTGCACTTAATCACAGTGGGAGGTTGTATTAAATCCACTTTACACTTTCATCAGTTGGCTTAAATGACCCAAAACTCACATGTGCCTTCAAACACACTCAGGTCAGATCTGTGAAAAAAAAGGTTTCTTATGCTGCAGGTGAAATATCCACTGTCGGGCCTGTGCATGAGCTGGGCTGAGGAAATTAGAGGAGAAGGTAGGAAATGACTGCTAAAGCGTGTTAGCTGCCAAGGACAGGTAACCCTCTGTGGCGCAGGCAGAGGCACATTGTTGCCCTGATTTCAGCGAGCCCGGGGAATGAGGTGTGTTTACCTCCCTCAGCTGGCCCACTTCACCCCTAACAGGAGCTGGTCCCAGAACAACCTGCTAATTGAAGCTGAGGCTGCTGCGCTGAAAGCAGCCTGTCCTCACATCCACAGGCTTCGATTTCCTTTTAATCTCTACCCACACACACATAAACATGCAGAACTGATACGTGAGCATGACACACAAACGCACACTTACAGCTCCACCTAACTTTCTAAGAGGTGGAACCGGATATTATAGGTGTGTTTTGTGTGTGCTCGCTGTGCAATAAAGAGATGAAGTGGGGTTCAGGGGGTAGAAAAGGTCCTCTGTGGCCAGGTAGAGAGAGCTGGCCATGCTCCACAGACGTCCTCTGTCTCTCTGAGTGATCACACGTATATGAGGCGCCTGTGTGAATCCTGGCCCTCAGTGCGTCTCTCTGACGCTTGTTCCGCCTGCCACAGCCTTTCACAGCCTTTCACAACAACAACAACACCAACAACAACCTCCTTAAAATGCTTTCAGTGCCGTATCAGAGTGGCTTTTTCACCTCAAACACAGCTTTGAGATGTTGTTGGGTCAAGCACACCCATTCACTAGCTCTGCACTGACTTAAAATAGCACAAAGTTGGGAGAAAGTTTGAAAAAAGCAGCTCTAAACCTGCTCTTACTTTCGCAGTAACTGTCTGGAAGGCACGATTTTCCCTTGTTGGCAAATAACAAAGTTAATACAAAATAGTTTAACCACAAAGATATGCTCTCAGCTGCAGCAGGCCCCAGAGTGAGGGATGGTGCTGTCACTTGGGCTTTTAGCACTAAATCCAAAGAAAACTCAAAACTGATCCTCTTGATTATGTAGTACTATTTTGTTTGTAAAGGTTTCATAATCATTAAATCATCATTAGAACCCATGAATGCAGAAAGACATTGAGGTCTCTTGCCCAGACTGTGCTGCATTGAATGCCCCCTTTTGCAACCACAGGCTCCACATGTGAGACAGCAAGATAACCCGTCAGATACAAGACCAGAGTGAACAACCTCTGTACTTTGCAAACGCTGAACTGCACTGTATCTGATCGGGCGATGAGGATGTGCTGGTATTCCAAATGGCAGCATTCCTGATAACCCTCTGTAGCGACTGGAAGTCATTACCCTCTCATGATAGATTTGCTCTGGTTTGGCTGACACACACATTGACTTTTGCTTCCAGAAATGTTGTTGGTTTCTTCACCAGGCTTTCTTTTTCCTAAAAGCAAGGCTGACACAAATAAATTTAGCAGCAGACAAACACAGCAACAAATACGCCTCGCTTTCTGCACTGTGAGTGGATATTTCGGTCTGTATGGTCTCTCCGAGTCCTCGACTGTGGGTATGTGTCATGCTCTGTTGGTCTCCACACAGAGCCTGGACCGCTGAGTTTCCATGTGAAACTGCTCTCCAGCTGGTTTGTGTCCCAGAAAGGTCTGATAAGGCTTTGAGGACAGAGTTTGCACTTAAATAGAATTATGTCACAATTGGTAAAAGATGCCAATGGGAAACTAACTTGATGACCTGGCACTAACCAAAGCCAGTGTCTGGACCTTTGATTCTGTCTGAATCACTGTGTCTGCATGACACAAGGACAAAGTTTGTTTCTGCCCAGTAGAGACGTATAAAAGCTTTGTGCTGACAGTTCTCTGTTAGCAAAGAATTACAGAAATATTTACTCTGTCCTGCTAGTGCGAGTTCCCATGGACCTCGGCAATGTTGTGTGATCCATTGCTGTTTGACGCTTTCAGGCCCCTATCCATCAAACAATCAACGTTTCACTTTCAGTTGTTTATTTTTTATAAAAAATTTGTGCTTACTTGATAAGAAATAAAGTGAACGCTGAGTCTCTAATCAGTGATTTTTAAGAATTCCAGTTTTGCTGCGATAGCCTTTCCATGCCTCACATTCACTGTTTGTTACACAGTTTGATGAAGAAACTTATATCATGGTGACTTTTTCGATAAACTGCTTTTACACATACAACTAGGGCCAATTTATGACCGTCTTAAGTTGATCAAAAGAGACGCTTCATTGTCAATGTCTTTGGGCTTCAAGAAACAAGGGTGCAATGACATCAGGCTGAGATGGTGCAGTTATTATCTAGTGCACAAAAAGTTTATTTCATGGGAACAAGTTATTATCTTGTGTGCACTAATAAATATGCTGTCCTATTTAACAAAAAAATGTGTTTGCACAAGTTAATATCTTGTTCCTGTAAGTTTATCACAATGTGCACAGAAGATTGAATATCTTTTACATGGAATATAAAAATATTGTGTGCATGATATCTCCATTTTGTGCAGAGAAGAAAGTAACTTGTGAGCACAAGACAACCATCTTGTATGCACTTTATATATTTTGCATGTAAGAAATACAAAGTACCATTTCGTAGTCTGTGAAATTTAAAGGTCAAGGTTAGTAGGTAGTCCTGGCATTCAGTCAATCCACTGAGTTCACATTTTCAACAGTTATTTGACTGATGTGGAGTTCAGTCTAGACAAAGTAATCACCCCTGATGTGGAAATGATCCATTTGTTTAATTCATTTGTTAATTCATGTTTTCACAGGTTGAAAGCCAATGAATTGAGGTGATTCCAAGATGCCATATATTAAAATATTTGAGACAGTAACCATGGCAAACATTACATATGCTAAAGTCCAGCACGCTAATAGCATATTGGTGTTACCTGGGATACCTTTGAATGCTATCACTTAAAAAAAACCTCCAGCATGGCTTAATACTCATGTTTTATATCTTTCCACAGAGCCAGATTAGCTTTTCTCCTTATTTACAGTCTCTATTCTAAACAAATATATATATTAATCTGCTCCTGACTCTGGTTTAATATTAAGTAAACATGTCTTTGCTTCTTTTTTTTTCTTAACTGGACAGAAATAATATTGAACCTGCAAAATTAGAACTGACGGTTCCCCAGTCAAAGGCACTGGCGTATTAAAGGGAATATGAATATGAAGCTGGATGTCTGAGGGAACCGCAGCTACGTGGCCACTCAGATTTTGATCTGAATCATCCTTTTAATGTTTTAATTAGACCGTGCTTGGTTTCTGACATCACTGCACTGGGTCTGGGTGTGGCATAAATAGTGAAAATGCCAGTATGTGAGTGTATATTACAGGCCTTTTGGTGTGGGATGACAGTGGTTGTGTGAGACTGTTTGCAGTCAGATTACAAGGCTGCGTTTAACTGAGCGATGAAAGTGGGACAAACCTTTCACTGTTCAGCAGCTGCACTTGTCAGTCCTCCTCACTAGGTGGACTGTGGGGCTTCATGTGTGTCAAAAAGATGAGTGTGTGTGTGTGGGTTGAGGAGGGGGTCCCAGGTGTGGCCAGGTGTTTCAGGTTGACCGCACGCACTGCTGTGGACCAGAAATTCCTCTGGTAGACTCAAGTGGATCAGCTAGACAAAAAAAAGAAAGTGCAGCTCTGTTCCTCTTCAGTAACCAACAACTACCCTTAGTTTAACACATGCACACGCACACACACACACACACACTGACATTCCATAAACCAATTTAAAGAGGTTGTTAACCTGCAGCTCCGTAAGTGCTTTTATCAGCGCTCTCTTCAGGCGTCTCTCAATAAACTGTGTGTAATATGATCAGACTGTCAATTCAACAGCCTCTGCTTCCACACACACACACACACACTCACTCTCACACACACAAACGTAATGTGTCGTTTATTCAGTAACAGGTCCGTCTTAATAGCCCTACCTCCTCAGTTCACTTTTGTGCTTTTTTGTGAGATGGTCCTCATTCATGTGAGCACAACAGACAGACCATTAGCTTGTCCCAGACAGAGAGGGAGACAGTCTGAGCCTCATCACCTTCCTATGAAGCTCACCTCAAGCATCCCCTCTCTTTCAGCCCCTCCTGTCTTCTTCCCTTCACTTCTCTTCAATGCTGCTTTTGTCTCTTTATTAAGTTCTTTCCATTACCTCAAGAACATACAGCAAAAGAGTTTTAAGGCAGTATTTTGTTTCAGTGTTCTGAAGCAAAGTGTTTACACAGCCATTATGAAGAAATGGCTTTCCAAGGGTCAGGGAAATGGCATCAGTGAGACTGACAGGTCTTGTATGGACATGACAACACAAGAACGATTAGTATTTATGGCCTGAGTGAGACGCAGAGCTGGGAATCTGTCACCAGACATCCTGGTTACGCCAGAACTTAAAGCTCCTGTCAGGATTTTTTTTTTATGTTGATGAAAAAGACTAAAACTCACATTAATGCCTTTTTATGGTATGAGAAAGCAAAAAAGAGCATCACACTTGCAAAATTAATGTTTTTTTTTTTCAATTTGTATTGACTGAAACCTGTTCGAGGGTGGGCACCAGATCACCAGAGAGGAACAATCCTGTTTTTACACTTTCCAGAATTAATGATAAACTTGACTGTCAAAAAACAGGCGGACGAGATTACTTGTAAAAAGACACCTCTAATGTATGAAGCAGATAAGATAAGCAAAGAAAGCTTTGTCCACAGGGACTGCCAACATTTACACAAACTGAAAGTTACCTGCAGGACCTTCAGAATCTGTTTACTCAAATGAAATTTCAAAAGTTTGAACTAAAAAAGTTGCCTAAAAATTTCAATTTGATTGAATATGGCCTAATAGCCTGATTTATTTGTTTTCACTTGGAAAAAAAACAAAAAACATTAGGTCAAGTTAGTTGAGAGGGATACTAAAATGAGCCCAGTTAAGAAATGACTTGAAACATCTAAACATTGAAACCGAAGCAGGTCCAGACAAGGGGATCAAGTACCAGCAGGAGGGCTGTTAGGTTCGGTTCTCTCCTTATCACTGGAGAACTGAGTTTATTACGCAGCAGCCCCGGGACAATAAGGAGTCAAGCACTGAAAAAATTCCACTGGGCTGCTGAGTCAAACTTCCCCCAGCTACAAACACCAGCGAGTCATGCAGCCAGTGATAAAGTTGACTACACAGCTTGACTAGCCGTTAGCTGCTAGCATTAGCTCCAGATATCCTGAAGCCTGACATCCTCTCCTCTTCCTCACCATCATCGGTTTCAGAAACTACTTCTGAATCCCTGCTGTGATTTTTAACATTACCCACTGACATCAAAGTACCTTCTCATCTTAAAAAAGTTCAGTGAACTTCTGTTCACTAAATAACAAAGCTGTGTCAAGCCATCTGAACTGTGTTGACCTTGAAGTAAAGTGTCTCTGAGTGGGGAAAAAGGGAAGAAACCCTGGGAATTACTGTAACAGACTTACTCAAGCCTAACTGATTATCATGTGATAAGACGGCTCCTCAGTGGTTTAGATCTTAGCACTACAGTTACTTGACCAGCTCTGGGTAATCCTTCTCATTGACCATGATGTTAAGTCGATGGTCACACTGGGTAGCCTCTTCCTGTGTTTCACCATCAGGGGTGTTTGCTTTGTCAGTTTTCTCCCACAGTGTGTCAGTGTATTTGCCTTGTGGGTGGTTATTTCTTCAGAGGACATGTCAGCCTTTACAGAAACGAGCAGTGACAACAGAAAAAACACATTACAACCTTTTACCGTGGTCTGGTTTGTTTCTTAGACCTGATGGCAGATCTGTGCAGGTAAACAGTAAAAAGTGGCTAAGATATCCACACCATTCTGGCTGGATCTGGACTAAAGAACAAGAGAGTTATTTTAAGAAAGTCTCAAATTGGATTGGCCTTCTGTAGGACCACAAGGAGATTAATTGAAGATGTAGGAAAGGTCAGCCAGTGGACACTTGCCTGCAAGTAAAGGTAGCAGTGTAATGCTGTTTTGTTTGTCTGTTTGTGTGCTTGTGACACTTCATGTCCTGTTTTTGATTGTGGACTGGATACGTGTCAACATTAGGAAGTCATTTTTAGTTTGGTGTGTTTCTTCATACTTAGCAAGTGAGATAAATAAAACCTCACACAGATGTGCTAAACAGCAAAATTTTGCCGAAGGACTGGCACACAAAAGTAGATATTTGGACCCAGGGCTTCACAGAGTTTAAGGGTCTTGGACACTTTCCTGGCAACACTTAGGCTCCTAAGGGACCTGTACTGTGAAGCATGAAAAGGCTTCCTCAAGGGGATCGGCCCCCGTTTGAAGAGCCCTACATGTCCATACCTCCACCCTCCCAAAGCTGCCCTCCCTGAGTCAACAGTGGCTCGGTTTTCATGGCTGTTTGACCAACAAGCGTGTCTGTACATTCACAAGTTGACACCTCTTGATTTAAGGACCCCTGGACTTTCATATTTGCTCAGGATCAGGAACTCAAGACGCTCTTTTTTTTCAGTTTCAGAGCTGAGTTTCTTGTGGGGATCATGACTCATGAAAGTGAGATGTAAATTAAAGGCTGAGTTGCTGTCTGTTTTCTAATGACAGATTTGGACAAGCGATGCACTGTTGACTCAAAGCTTCAAACACTTTTTCTGGCATCTTTATCTCTCAGTTTGCCAAGATAGCTTCTCAAGTTATTTTCACCAGAATCTCTCTCTGACTTGTTCTCTGAGAGAATGATTGAATAAAAACAGCCCTTTCAAGATCAAGTGGAAAAAAGACAATACAGATCACGATTTCCAGTAAAAATTGATCATAATATGATGAAAAAATATAGCTCAAGTTGACATGCAAACACACTGCATAACAGCAACACAACAGCAGCGCAGCATCTAAAGACTAGAAGAAACAAAACAGATTTAAATCACTTCGTTTGCTGAACACATGTTGGATCTCTAAGATGGACTAAATTTACTAAATAAGATTGTAAAACAAACAAGTGACAGAGAAAGGTTTCCCTCTCTCTTCCGTGTCTTGTTTCTATGTGTGGACTTAAGACACAATTGTAGGGGGTCTGATTTACATGATATTTATTGTAAGATCTTGCTATAATGTCTCGATTGCGCGTATCCATAGGGTCTTGTTTGCACATTGATGTGTGTGCATTTCATCCTATCTGTTTGTTTTGTGGGGGCTCCAAAGAGAAGAAAAGGTTTTTTTTTTTTTTTGCTGTGCAGCTCCAATTTTAAAAGTTATGAGGGGTTCATGTTTTCTATGATTGACACTTGATACAGCCTATGGGCGTATGGGGAAAGCGTAGCTCACCCGAGGGATACGCTGTTTGAGCCGGGCGTCATCACAGCAACTCTCAGCGACTCTCCCGCCAAATGAGTACAATGCCACTGCGCTAATGGTGGTTCCAGGAAAATCTCGGAAATACCGAGAGCAATTTGGCTTCAAATTTGTATAATGATGGCAGGCGGAGCCAAGTTGTCCATAGTATGTACTGTCTATGTAGTAAACTCACAGGCTTTCTTAAGCATATGAACTGAGTGTAATGGGACTTTTATAAAAGACTAAAACAAATCCAGGAATTTCCCAGGCCATGTAGTTCAGAACAAACAGAGATAACAGGGTCAAGCTCTTTAATACCAAACATTTGAAATGGAGCCTGAAAAGCTTGAGCTCACAGCTCTGTTTTGCTTTGACTGTGTCTCATTTTATCATCGACAACAGTGTAATTAGCACAGTGGGAAAATATTGACAAAGAAAGCACTAGCTGTTATTGAAATAAATATGTTTGGTCCTCTTTATACAGTAAAGCTGCTACGGCCTCTGTCCTGCTAATAACTATTTATGTGAAGGAATGAGAGTGCACATTGAGGCCTCACATGGTACATTAGTCATGAGGCTTTCCTTAAAAAAAACTTAGTCAGGCTGGAGGATCCTAAGATGGACTTGAGCTGATTTGTGCTTTCTCTCTTCCTCCCAAGAGGAAGCGATGGGTTTAACTGGCTTTATACATAGGGCAATCCTCTTGAACTCTGCTATGACTGGCAGGAAACAGATGGGGGTGGGGGTGGCATCGTAGTAAAGGTGCAAGCAGCATTTTGCAGAACAGACTTGTTACAGTCTACATGCAAATGAGTGGTTGTTTTATGCAAATAAAATGTATTTGATGGACATTTTGATGGGTGAATCTTGACAAATGCAGTACTGTACTTTGTATGCATCACAGGAGCATCTTGTCCTTGTAGGCCACCATCCCTCTAAGGGTTAACAAGGAAGTGAATCCTAAATCGTCCCATTTTTGCACACTGTACCTTTAAATATGAACATTTTTAAATTGAGAGCTCACTTATTGATGATTATTACTTGTTTCGTCCAGATTGTACTTGTTCCTTTTTGTGCTATTGTTGTGCTATTTGTGCTACAAGTAGTGGTGTGACCATTTCTTGAACTTTATCCTTTCTTTAAAGTTACAGCACTTGGGCCATTGTCAAATATATAGGCCTACTATATCAGAGTTTTAGACTTGTCAACAATAAGCACAAAAACATAACTTGACTTACCTGCGAGCAAATATTAGTTTAACTCTTTGGCTCATTTTCTGGGGCATTGTTCATTGTATGTTACAGTGCTGTTTTTGTTCTGCTTTACAGATTATTAACAGTTTCTTTGTGTGTTTCATGAGGAAGCTGGGCCCTTTACATTCCTGCTCTTTTTCCTGTTCTTTGTATGAAACAAAGGCAAACAGCAAATGTAAAGACTGGATATGGATCATAATCTTAACCATCTACCTTCTTGTAGCAATAATAACATCTAGTGGTTGTTGTAGTTTACAAAGTCATCTTCACAGTATTTTATATTACACAGTTATTTATTTGTGTATATGGTATTCATAAATTACTTGCAGACCTCATTTGAGTCCACAAGTGCATTTATGAGTCCTCAATTTATCGCCTGTAGTGATCAGTCTCCGTGCTGTTGTGTCACTTCTTGCACTCACTGACCTACTTGGTGTTGTACTTAATGCCAGTCTGGTTTTAACTTTTATTGGTTTATTGAGATCAGTGTGGTTCATAGTTCATCAGGGTAGACAGACGAGAGATAATGTGCTATGTTTGACTGGTCCCCAAGATAGAAGACACCTGCTGTAAAGTTTAAACGTCTTGAAAGAGCACATTTATCAAACACTCTCTTGCATATCTTAGTGAACTAAATTGCAAATGAATGGGAACATGAGCATAGTTTACTCTGGAGACAGCACGTGATCAGTCAGATCCTGGAGGGTTGTGAGAAGTGCTGATAGTTACTTGAAGTTGCCCGGACTGTGTTTTATGGCAGCCAGAGTCAGATTAAAGGAATCGGACTTTGTGTATTCAGCGTTGCTAAAGCTCCTCGCAATTACAAAAGTGCAGTTAGTGCCAGCACAAGTTAAAATTAAAGCACTTTTATGAACAAACCTATACACGTTTCAATGGGCAAAAACTCTTACATACACATGTTGACGTGTGTGTGGTTTTACAGAGTTGTTGCCAGTATTATCAAGTTTGTGCGAAATCTGGGGTGACTAAAAGTTCACTTTGCATAGATTAAAATGAACAAGTTCAGGTTATTAGTCCAAAAGTTTAAATTTTGAACAAAGTTCGTGGTCCAACAAAATAAGTTCATTTTAATTTTATACCCTGCACATAAATTGTCTGTTTCAGTGGAGACTCCCTTGTTTCAATTTTAAACTCTGTAGTTTAAAAGCGTGAAATAGTAAAAAAGAATCATCAGCTTTAAAAATTTAGATTCACACATTCAGTTGTTGGCTGAATATTTGGCACAATCTTTTTATTTTGAACAAATTAGAGCAAATCAGATTCGTGAAAGTAACCAAAAACCACAAAACAAGATCCTGGAGGCATGCAAGTTGTTAGGGGTGGCTGACTGTGGCTCAGTACTAAAGTTGGTTGTTTCAGAGGGTTGGAGGTTCAATCCCAGGTCCTGCTGTCCTCCACAAGATATCCTTGGGAAAGAGACTTGACCCCAAACCACTGGTTGTATCCAGGATTCATTAATACTGATGGGTGCTTCCTCTGCCATTCCTCTGGTATGAATTGGTGGATGTGACATAAAATGGAAAAGCACTTTGAGGGGTCAGAAGACCAGAGAAAGCGCTACAGCTCTGTTACTATGAGGATTTTTAAACAGGCCAAGGGTTTCACAGATAAACCATCTTATGCTGAGTAATGAAGTTCCCTCCGAAAGCTGTCGCGCCCTCTGAGCTGAGGGATTTTGTAACTGATGGGTATCAAGGGTATATTTATCGAGACTGTGATCTCTCTAAATCATCTACCCTCTAATGTTTATGTTAGCTCTGGATCATTTGCATGGCTAAAGTGGTTTTTGATGATACTTGGCTTAGTTTGATCACCATACCATCTCATTTGCAACACTTTTTGGTTTGTTGACAGTTCCTTACTCTGGACCACCTTGGCTTTTGACCCAAGAACTTCTCACACCCAAAGTGAGATTTATAACCTTTCATCAGGGAGTCAGTTAATGTTGTGTATATGCTATATCTGAAGAGAAAGTTTCCTGATTTGGAAATGATATGATCTGTGGACTTGTGTATGGTGGCTCGCCATAGAACAGTTACAGTAGATGGGAAACTTTAAACCTAAGAGGGCCATCTGTATTATTTCAAGAGACCATGATGTTTTTTATTCTGTGCAAAGTAAAATGTTTGCTGAGGAAAAAGACCATTACTTATCCAGTGACTGCTCAGCACTGGACTTGAAGTCATTCATTTGAAGTGACTTAAATGGTTTTTCTTTGGGGTTTACTTCAATCTGCTGGCAGGTAAATGGAAACATCCAACGACTAAGGCCATACATCATTGAAGTTCTGAAAATTTGTACTAGTTGTTTTGTCAATTTAACACTCCTGGAGACATTTAAGTCTTACACCAAATTGAAGGCAGTACCAACAGAAAGTGTCATTGTAGAGCTTCATATGTCAAAATAATAGCAAAGGTTTTTACAGCCATGAGCAGACTGTGGTTGAAAACTCAACTTGAGTCAACATTACAGTTATGCCAGTTCCTCAACATTTACATTGTTAAATTATGTTAAATGAATCCCAGAAGCCATAATACCATCTCTCTCCTGACATGTCTTGGTCGTTACGGCACTTGAGCTAACGTTTGTTTCTCTGTGAAGTCGTAACAGGGGATTCATTGTGGCCATTTGTAATAGACTTTCCACCAGAGAGGGAACTTCCCCTAACTCACTGAAGGCTGACCTCAGGGAAGCTCTGGGGAGTCTCAGGGTTCCCTTCAGCATGCCAATGAACACACACACACATTTTTATGCCCATGTAGCCTAATGTACACCAGGCTGTGCGGGGTTTCCATTCATCAGTGCTGCACCTGCAGGCTAAAGGCAGAGTCCATAAATAAACCTCTCAATCACGCTCTGTGTACAATTAGATTCACTTCAGAAAACCTTCACTCCAGCTTAAGGAAAGACAATACATTAAAATCCCTTGAATAAGAGCGTTGGTTTTATGTCTTGGGCCTTTGTGTTGATGAAACATTGAATAAAAGAGAGGTGTGAGTGAAAGCAGAAGAGTCTTTCAGGGAAACACCTGTCTTGTGTTGAACACAGAAGCAGTCAAATGTGTCAGAGGCCAGAGGTCAGCTAGCATATGATTTTCTGGCATGTGTGGTGCTCTAAAATTAAGGGCTATGTCAGGGAAAAAAAGGCTTACTTTTGTTTGCTTATCCAATGTGTGAGAGCTTCACCTCCATGGGAAATGAGCACAGACATCCCCGAGCTTCACTGTCACAGCTCCATACTGGACTCTGCATTGCCTTCTTTTGTCCTCCTCGAAATGCTTTTTCTTTTTCTTCACAATTTTGTAATGTTTTGGCATGAGTTTTGTTTGGACTGAAGTATATTAAAACAAGTGTCAACACCAACAATCCTCTTAAATTCTCTTGACACATTGTGTACATTTTTCAAAATTAACAGACGTTCTGGGAGCTTGTGTGATTTCAATTGCTTTCGACTTTTCCCCTCAAACTGGTAAAAATGTGCTTACCTTATGTTAACTTGACTGATCCACTCTGCTCATCCTTGGCTCTGATTTTGGAGCAGTGAAAGACTGAGTAATTCCCAAAGCAAAGACCTGATGTTCTTGCAGGGAGCAGATGAGATTCATTAGTTGAACGCTGGGTTGTAAAATCAGCACTTTTAGGTGGAAGGTTAAAAGCTGCTCGACAACACGGTAATGAAAAAAGTGAAAAAAAGTCCACTGGCAGCAGAAGTGGTTGTTGAGGTCAGGTCCCAGCAGAATGGGGCAGGTTAGTGTTCCACTGAAGTAACCACAGGAAATTACTTAACCTCGACTCACCCCAGGAGCACTACAACCGGGCGCAATCTGAACTAGCAAAGAATGATTTCTTATTTGGAAAATTAGAGTTATTCTTGATTTAAAAAAGACTAATAGGGTGCAAATGGCTTGAAAGGTTATAGCAAGCTGTGGATTATGTAATATGAACCAACAGTTCATTTTGTGAAGGATTTAGTGTCAAACTGATTGAAAGGCCTGTGAACTTGTGCATGGTTGGTTTCTTACCATAAAAGCAACCATTTAAAAGAAGCTAAATCACTGTGCACAGACCACAGAGCTCAGAGTGTGGCTTTTAAAGTTGATTACCATATAGAATTTTTCCATGTTGGAAGCTGAACATCATCACTGTGTTTTCTACACCACTATTAAATCTCTGTAATGTGGCAGAAATTTCAGAGGAAGTGCTTAATTTGACTAAAACTGCATTTGTGAGCTATGAGCTGTGTACTGGATTAGATTAGTTAGAACATTATTGATCCTTTTGGGAAGGTTCCTTTAAGGTAATTAATAATGTAATAAAAAAATGATGTTATAAGTTTAGATTTCAAAGGAACTGGAAGACATGTGAGACATCAGATTTTTACTTTTAAGGGAAAAGGAAAACAAAATAGTTGCCAGTTGCAGCTCCTTTTTTTTTTTTTTTTTTTTTAAGACAAAATGCAGTTTAATGTTTTTGGTGCTCAACATCCTCAGCACAAAAAAAATTGCCCTTAGCATCAGCTGACTTTAATCACTGCACTCTCAGATGAAAATAGTCCAACTCTTCAAACACCTCCTAGTTAGTCAATTTTGCTTCATGATTGCTGACCAATCAGAATCAGGAAGGGGCGGGACCTATAATTCAAGCTTTGTCAACAAATATGATGATTTGTCCTGGAGAGAAGTAACCACGCTACAAGTCCAGAGCTTCTACAAATGGAACGACATTCCATCTGTCAGTCCCCAAAATTAGTATTAGGGGTGACCCGACACAACTTTTTTTTTTTTTTTTTTTTACCTCCGATATGATACCACTGTTGTAGCCTTTGGCATTGGCCGATAACAATATTGATCCAATATTGGCACAAAAATTGGGTGTGACCAGTTTTGCACTCAGCTGCACAGTCTTTTTCAGACTTAATCAAAAATTTCTGCCACACAGCCAACATCACTCCTACTCCTTGCTACTTTGTTGGTACCTTAGTACACACTGTTGTTGTGATTATGTAGGCTCTGCATGCTCGATCCGGATACTGCTAGATAGAAGTTCCGGAGCGGAGTCTGGAATGGACTGCTTGTGTTTGAGTGCCGACATCAGAGATTTTAGATGCAGGCCGATATAATCTGATATTTGTTTTTTTGCAGATATCGTACTGATATTGGTATTGGATTGGGACATCCTTAATAAGTACTGCTTGTATGCTGAAATGTCTGCACATGTAAAAGTCATGCCCAAGTTCTAGTTAGAATCCATCTCGACCATTAGCTATGATTTTATGACAAGAAAGCCTCTTGAAAGGATGTCCAGCTTTGGTATGATCGTGATCAGCTCTCGAAGATTATTAGCCAGCACATCAGTGTCCATGAGGATCTCTGCACTCTATGAAGTGACTGGAGTAGTAAGAATATGTCATTCTTGATCTTGACATAGATAACTTCCTGAGCACAGACAATGCTACCTGATTTTATTATTTTATGCTGTATTTGTGCAGATTAGCTTAGCACAAAAATGTGCTTTGGTATGAAGATACAGCAGCGGAGGTCATATTTCTGTGGGCCCATTTAAGAGCTGCTTTTCAGACACAGCAGGACGACTCAGTCTCAGGAATGATGGCCCTCTTATGTTGCTTCTGTTTCCACTTGATTGCTGATGCCTGTAGAATTTATATCGTGTAGGATGGTTGCTATATCCATTTGGAACAATGAGTGCAGTGATGCCATTAGACATGCTTCCCCAAAATCAGGAAATGCATTCCTGTGAAGTGGGGGGCCAATCCGTACCTCTTAAAAAAAGTCGAGGTTTAAGTTTCCAATGAAACCTGCAGAATTTGACTTTTTGAAACCCAAGAACTTCTGTGAACCGACTCCATGTGGCTGTATAATTAAAATGATTGACACCGCCACTGATTGTGAGACCCCCCAGCGTTTAGAGGATATCCTATCATTCGGTATAAAATGATTGACGGCAGCTACATTTTCAAGCACACCTACGCACAACTCCCTCCTCTCTTCCTTTCTCTGTGAATGGAAGATTACTCATTAAGTGAGAAGGACAAACCAGGAGAAATAAACATGATCAACTTAAGAAGATTACGAAGATCAGAGTCCACAGCACACCTCCAATTAGATCCAAGGCTGTTGTCTGTTTTGTGGATCAAACGCAGCGACCGAGCGTAAACACACACATTCATTCACATACTACATTTGTTCCACCCTTCTTTCACCACCCTTTGTCTTTCTCTTACTTTGCTACCTTTCTAACCCACTCTTCACCACTTATTCTTAACATATAGTAAAGGAAACACATGAAAAAACTTTTTGGACTTTAAAGTGAGTGTGTAGATTCTCTCTTCTGGAAGAAACCACCAGAAACAACCACAAACGGCACTTTAGAGGCTTAACACTTGCCGGCCTTCCTCCCTTTTTCCAACTCCTTAAAAAGTATAACTAGGATGGGATTTTTTAAGCTCCACACACACACACACTAAACCAACACGTTGCCTCTGATCACATATTCATGCACTGCGTTCCTTAGGAGTGAGAGTTATTCATTGATCCCAGCTGAGGTTCTGGTTTGTGTGATGAAAGTTGATTTCATAGTACAGCTCAGTGGCAGTGATTTCCAAACAGTGGTTCTTGTACCTGTGAGAACTTTAGCAAATGCCAACTGGTGTGTAGGAAGATTGTAAAGACTACTTTGTAGGTAATGTTGTCTGATTTAAAATAGTCTGTATTCTTCACATCTGCTTTCAGTTAATGGCACTTTTAAAAACATCTCATTGAATTTTCATGGTGAATAAAACCCTTCACAGATCTGAGACGGTTGTTTGTGTTAAAAACGTGGTTCAGGCGAGTTGGTGGGTGCCTGCTCAGTCAAGGAGTCACTCCCACAGCCAAAGACAGTTTAGTGGGATCTGTTTGGTCTCATGTTCACAGTAAAACTCTCTTGGGCCTTTTTAGTTTACAGTCATCCATCAAGTGTTGCTTCTATGTGAGATCTCTGGATTTCTTCAGAAGCTTTTGCAGCGTTCTCATATTTGTACAGTGTGCACAGACACAAGCCAGAAACTTTTGTAAGGGTCACTCAGTTCCCTTTTCAGTTCCCTTTTCAGTTCACTTATGAATGGTGTGAACTACAGTATGACCTGCAGCAAATGCACTGTGTTTGCACAGAGACAAAGGAGACTGGATTTACTTGAGACTTGGTGTCAGAGAGAAAATTTGATAAATTGAAATTCCAGAGTATCACCTTTAACCAGTGGTCCCTCTTAATTATTCCATCTAAGCTAATCTAACTTTAACCAGGATTTAGATGAGTAGGGCCACTTCACTAACAAGATTATACAAGGATAGTAGATGGGGTTGTCTGAGTTGCATGTCATCAGGAAGTGTGCTAGCCAGAACAGATGCTGTCAGCTCTTCTTCTCTGTTACGACACTGCCTGTAGATCACCCCAAACAGGCAGTCTCCTGCACATGAGACCAACTTCCATGTAATTTGACTGATTTTGAGAAAGTCCTACGTAAGCAATTTTTTAACTTTTTCAGCTTTGATGGCAACTTTAAGTGCAAAAAAGAAAATCCCCAATAGAGTGTACACTTGCAGAGGAAATGGAGCGGTCTTAAAATCAACGATATGTCGCATGTTTGTGTATTTTCCCTAGTGTTTCTGTTCCCCATTGTTCCTGTTCCCCTGTAGTCCAGTCTTGTGAGTTTTTCCCTCCTGTTCTCAGTGTTTTATTCTTTAGATCAGTTTTCATTGTTTCCTGTTTTATTTTGTAGTAGTTGATTCCTAGTCTTGTTTTACTTCCCCAGTTTTCCCTCCCTCGTTAATCACCAATGAGTTTCACCTGTGTCTCGTCTGCCTCACCTGTTGCTCGTTTCCTAAAACCACTGGCTGTGTCCGAAATGATCCCTAACCGCTATAAAGGTGACTATATGGGGGTTAAGCGCCACTTTGAGGGGTGTCCAAAACCTCAGTGATCAATTCCAATGCCCCATATAGGCGACTCAAAATTTCCCATAGAGCATTGCAAAATGTAGTGACCATCCGATGGTAACTCACCAGTGGTGGGCATCCCGTCATGCAACTCATGTAACTCTGGACACTATATTATATGGCAGACTTGACCCTGTCTGCAGAAAACTATAGCCTAGCTTGCGCACAGATTCTTCTGACAGTTTTTCATTTAAGGGGCTGAGCAGACCAGCATCATTTCTGACTAATACACACAGTGGTGACATGTAACTCAAACAACTCCACTTCAAAAAATGAAACCATTTTATTTCAGATGTCATTTGTGTCCATGTTGACAGATTTGTTTTTGGATGTCTTGTACATTCTGCCCCTTTTTTTGTGTGAATGAATTTAGCATGCTAGCTATCCAGGATGATCTTACTCACCAGTGGCTTAACTGTTACTCCAGAATACAGAGAAACAGCTGTCAGTGGGAACAATGAACCAGGGAGCCAGACTTAGAGAGGCTGAAGATGTAGGTTTTGATTAAGAGGTCTGGAACAAGTTCTTTAATCAGACTTAAGTCAGTTTGCACAATATGATCTGGCCAATGATTGCAGACGACCTGAAAGCAGAACTCACAGACATGATGGGGACATGTGCAGAATGTCATAGTACTGCTGAATAGCTTAAGCATTAGTTGAAAATGACAGACATGACGCCTCTGCTTTATTAGTTCTTTGTCTTCTGCCACTGTCCCAGTTTCTGACTTGAACATCTGCACTAAACAAAACAACCTAGAGCAACTTTAATGAAACTTCGCTGACAGCTCCCCCGCTAAACAGGAAACAGCCTTTAACGGTACCGCTCCACCACTGCATCTTTCTCTCTACGTGGCAGCACCATACAGAGACAGAGGCTGAGTGTGGTGCTGCTGAGTGGTCTGCTGGTTTTCTTGGTCTTATATAACAAGCTTTCTGATCACAGCCTACAAGAACTTTGAGTTCTGACCTGCTCCGGTTGGTTTGTTAATTCCAGTCGCCCCACCAGCCAGACGCTGAGGCCTGTTCAGTTTATCTTTGACCTTCTTCAAAGAGCTTGCACGCCTCTTTCTTTCCCGCTCTTTTCTTTGTTGTTGTTGGTCTACGCCCCAATGTTTCTCTCATCTTTGGGTTCTATCCTCTAATCCTGACTATGATAACTGGGGGATAAATCTGTCATTCCACTGGGTTACCCACTCTCTTACCGCACCAGCTGTTTTTACAGCGTCTAGACACACATGTCATAATTGATGAAGCAAGAGGACACCTTGGTGTGCTGCTGGACAATGTGGACACAGTGGAGAGAAAGATTAAAGCCATACAAGGCCTTTATTGTCCTCTGATTCAATATGTGTGAGTGCATTATCGAGCACTCTTACCTGTGTGTTCACTGTATATCCAAAAGCATTTGCATTAATCTGTGTGTTTTTATAAAGATCTGACTTTGTGAGCTCAATACTTATTCTGTTTTGTGTATCATCCAAGTGTGTGAGTGTGTGTTTGTAAACACTAGAGCTGGACAGGAGACGTGGAGGCTAATGACTCAGTCTTTCCTCCAGCTGTTGGCCAGAGTCTCACCCAGTGTGGGTCAGCCTCAGCCAAACCAGTGAACTCATCAAAAGGCTTCCTGTGATAGCAAGTTTCTAAAACCGTCTCTTCTGCTGACGCTCAGGATTGACTGGCCTCCTGCATGGGCTTTAGTTTCCAGATGAGCTTACTTTGCATGTCTGGGACACATATTGAGTTCAGGTTTAAGAAAAATAGATGTTTGTTCTGGCTTGTCTGAACCCCGAAGGCAAAAAAAACACTTTTTTCTCAGGCCAAGTCTAAATCCTCATCTCACTGTTAGTGTGCTTATCTTGCACAAACACCATACTTTTGTGCTGTGCATGAATGCTCCAACTGCTATGATTAACTGAAATGCAATGAATGTTGCAGATCTGACTGTAACGAGCAGTCTGGAGCAGGAGTCTGAGTGCACTTTGGGGAGAACACGTGGCTGTAATGGCGGGTTAAAGAAGATGATGCTGATGATGGTGTTTATGGGAACAACCTCAGCAGTCCTCTGCTCTGTTTGGTCAGCTGCACAGAGGTTGGAGCTCTGACATCACCAGCAGAAGTGAATCCAGAGCGGGTGTTTGGTTCAGCAAGAGTGTGGGCCAGCTTGACCGCTGTGGGTGACTTTCTCACAGTCCTGTTGAAGGTTATGCAAATGTTAAGTCCCCACAGTTTAATTTCAGGTTGAATCAAAATCACCTTTAAACTGGCAACCTCAGAGGAAGTCAGATTTACAGCCAGCACTAAAGTTCCTGTGCTATTCAAATGGCAAAACAGCCTGGAGGCAACTTTACTGGACAGCACGAACGATGTGCTGGAGAGTTTGCAAATGAGGCATCTTAGGCTTCGTTTATACGTTCCTGGTCATTTTAAAAAAAAGAGACATTAACCATTGTTTGCACCCTTCGTTTAGACACAAAAGGAGACTCAGCCACTGAAAACAATGCTTTTTAGACTATATTTACGTGTGCCCGGCAATTTTCATTTCTTACACCTCCACACCTCCGTATATTCCTGTATTTGTTGAGGGTTGTTCACCCCCAGAGCTGATCAGTATGGAGGTTCATGAAGTAGGTTGGAGAGTTCCTTTGAAACATGCTGCTTGAGTTTCTCTGTTGGCTTGGGTTTGCTTTCATTCTGCAGACCAGTTCAGGTGGAGTCACTGACTGTTCATGTGTAATATTCTTTCAAGAGGGAAAATATTCATAGAATTAAAAAAAAAATTCAAGTTTACTAAGCAAACAAAAGCAGTAAATACTAGTTTGGATTCTGCTGAAAATTTCCAGCCCCCCTAAACTGTCCTTGTTTGTCAAATCTGGCCCAGTTAAATTTGTGACTTAATGGCCATATGAGGTAAGAAAACGGCAGATTTGTGAGGGATAAAATAATAGTTTACACATTTGTTTCACCTTAACAAAACTGAATTCAAGTTTATAGTAGATCCAACACATTTTCATTAGAGGTCTTTAAATACCAGTGTTTTTTAATGGTCCTTGGTGTCTCATACAAACACACAAGGTAACCTCTGTTTTCTTTCCTTATAACATGATGAGCTTGAACTGGTCATTCTTTTGGGTTTCTGAAAAAAAGAGAGTTTAGGTTTAGGAAAATTTGGTTAAAAAGTGACTCACTGTTGACTTTTGTTTTCATACAGAACTGTGGTTTTCCTGGAAAAAGCTTTTAGTGGGTGTTTGTCTCATCAAGTTTACCTCATTTCCCTCTGTCGCAGACTTCATCAGTCTTTCTTCAAGCCAGCCTACGCTGCACGCATTTCTGTTGCTGCGCATACATTTACCTGCTTAAGTGGAAATCCTGGTTTAATCCTGGTAAAAACTCCATACTGGAGCTTTAAAGAGGATCTTCAAATTCAATGGATGCTGGTGTGTTAAATCTGCAGCAATAGGCACATATGATCTGGTTTCAGCTCTCTGGTTCAACCGTAACACAATTGGAATCAGAACAGTGATGGGAATTTTGGCTCTTTTTAGTGAGCCAGATTATTCGACTCGGCTCACCAATAAGCTCCCAAACTGCTCTTCATTTTACCACTTACACATTTTCTAATTTAGCCAAATTTAGTGTTTTTTGGCTTATGATATGTGTACACATACCTCTTAAATGATTCAATACATCCTTTGTACTGATGTATTCACAAGTAAAAATTACATTTTCTAATATCAGTAACTTGCTGTAGTCAACTGTTTTCATTGCATTTACAGACCCTTGTAACTCTCTGAAACCAACCAATGAATGCACTGACTTACTTGTAGAACCACTCTGCTACACAAAGCAGATAGAAATCCCATCATTCTGCCTTGTAGTATTTTTTTATGGTCTGGAAAAAATGAGGGAAAAAAAAAAGAAACGGCTCACAGACAGGGGCCGGCTCCCATCGTTCTGATTAAAGAGCCGGCTCTTTGAATCAATTCGTTCACAACCGACACATCACTGAATCAGAACAGTGAAACTTTGAAAATATGTTTTACAACAATAGCGGTCTCTAAATGGGGATGACTGACAGTAATTATCTCTTGGTCATGCATTACAAATCTGTTCCCATGGATTTGTAATCTGTATGCATGGTTTGCAAATTTGAAAACTTTATGCATTGGTGTTGCACGTTTGTTTTTTGTCTTGATCTAGCATCCAGAGTACTTTGTATATCGATAAAGTTTCATGAAACTCAATCAGGGACAGAAGTATTTCTCCATCACACAGCAAAAGACACAAATTGATCGATTGAGGTCTAGTTTAATCTTCTTGTAGTTACCACAGTTATAATGAGAGGGGATATGTCTGATTCAGTTTAGCAAGCAAATGGTCGGTTGATCACAATGTGTGACTGCATCAGGGTAATTAATCAGAGAGCACATAAAGTTGGTAGAAAAAAAACAGCGCAACTTCTTTTCCTTTTTGGCATGATATCTGAGAGAGGGCTGTGTTTTTGCACATGTGTGTTTGTGGTGTGTTTGTGTAGGGGGGGAGGGGCGGCGAAGTTACCACATCTGCTAACCAACTTTATAGAGAAAGTCCTGATCCATGCTGTGGTCATGAGAAGTTAAACAGAAATTAGATGGGGACATGACAAACATTCCTCTCTAGATGATTAATGATTGTAATTTTATCACAGAAATAACACAACAGCTCACATCTGGGGAATTTTCTCCTGAAGGACGTGCAGTTTGTTTTATATGTCATTTAGATTTTTATCCATCATTCCCTCTACTTTTTACCGGAAAGGAGTAAAATGGCTCAAACTTTGTCAGAACTTCAGATCTACCTGTTCATATCAATGCTGAATGTGTTTGTGCATCAACTTTCTCTTTGAACGTCATGAACACTTTGTATTTTAATGCCTCATAAATACCGTTGACCTGAATCATTAATCTCAGCTTTCAGAAAAAACACAGAAAAAAGAGCTGAGCTTGACCTATTGCAACATGAATACAAACCAGATAAATGAGGGGAAGTGGGGGTGAGATAGCTATCACTATACATCACTCTCAGCAAGTGGTTTTACTGATAAACAAGCCAAACAAGAAGGCCGTCTCTTGTAGTGCCTGGGCTCTGCCTCCTCTGAAAAGAAAGCCCTCCCTCTCCCACACAGTGTTGAATAGAGAAGTGCTCTGTGGCCACACACAGCTCTGCCAGGCCGTATCTCAGTGCCAAACATTTGAGCCCTCTCTCTGCTGAAGGCCTGTGGGCTTTTGTCTCTGCGTCTGATCAGCGGCTGTGGTTGAAAGAGGCTGAATAGACGAGGGCCTCGCTATCGTGTTGGGCTCAGGTCACTCTCAAAAAGGGGATGTTTCTCCTGGAGCAGAGGGCATCTGCATTGAGGTGGAGCCCAGACAACACAACAGGGAAAGAAAAGGAGGCGAGAGAGAAAAAAAGATCCACCAGGTTTCGTATTTGGGGAAAGGATTTACGCGTCAAAGGGTGAAGTGAGAGCAAGAGGTCCCCCTCCACAGGCTCTATCTGAGAATCTCACACTCTACATCAGCCGTGGCTTTTAGCACAATTACATCATTTTAAAGTTAAACCAGAATCTGGGAAAGCTTTTGAGGGTTTAAACTTTTGGGTTCAAGTTTTTCTTTGTCAGCACATTGACAAAACAGTCAATCCAAACCCGTTATTTAGTGTCTCAGTGAGTCAAAGACCCACATTTTTGTTTTGAAAATAAAAGTTACTGCCAGAAAATGAGATGATCTGGTTTTATTCCATCTTTTACAGACTCTGTTATAAATTTTTAGCTGTTTTGTTTCAAGGGGATTATAGATTTACAAGACTTTGACTCAGTGAAACAAAGTAACCCTGTCAGTCTAACTTTGACTCAAAAGATTTTTCCTGCTATTGATAAAAGCACTTCTGTAAATGATGTGACAATTCAATTTTGTGCTGTTTCCACTGAAAAGAAATATCTGTATTTTCAAGAACTAGTCAATATACTGTATTATTTATGATTGTTTGTCAGAGGTGGAAAGAGTACTACAATATTTCACATTTACTTTATCGACTATTGAACCCAAACTAATTGCTGTAGTATAACTGATAAGATTAATGTGTAAAGTCAGTTGACTGTCATCCAGGATTAAGTTATTGAATATTTCTGCAGTGTCTTTTTCTCAGTTTTGCACTTTGTGGATGATCCCTAAACTTCAATCATGGCAGACTGTGGAGATAGGATTGTTCAAAGGGAGCCAAAAGAAGGACTTAGTTGACTGTTATAAGTAAAAATGTCTGCTAATATAGGAGACAACATTTCCCATTCCCTCCCGGAATTCGCGATGTTGCAGCTAATAACGCAAATTCAATGCGCTGCAATTTCGTCAAATCACCGCGAGTTTACCGCAAACTTGACCAATAAACCAAGCCCTCTTTCACCCAAGCCTCTACGTGTCATACACGTCATCATATTCGCTTCCTTGTTTACATTGAGAATGTGAGGACGTGCGACGCTAACCGCTTACATTAACCAACAAATATCGCCGCCAAAGTTCGTGCAAGTCAGTTTCCAGATGTGTTATTTTCTGCACTGCCTGCAATAATGCGGTGCAATGTGAAAGTTGTTTCTCGACATACACTTTTTAACCGCAAAACATGTAAGGAGAACAGCTGAAACTCAAAGAGGGCAGACGAAACAAGTCACAATGACAGAGGCTGTAAAGAATCCAGAACAATAGCAGTGTCAAGGTATGTGCGGATATACCCTTAAAAGCATTAGAAGTGAATAATAATAATAAAAAAATAAATTGTGGATGCATTGTTGACTAGAGTGGAGACAAATTCACTTTATAAGATTTAAGTTTCCACAGTCCACCATCACATTTACTGTTTTTAATCCATGTATGTTAAGGTCTTTATTTCAAAAGCTACACAAAAGAGGCCAGGTCCTCAAACTCATACACAAATGTGCTAAAAATGAATAAAAGTAAATCTATACTTTCCAGCCCTGTGTGCTGGTTATTGGATTGTCCATCCAGTGATGTTGTGCCTGAAACCTTTAGCTCCACTCACATGTTTATCAGAGATCAGGAGGTCACATATGATTTGAAGGAAGCTAAATAAACCAAAGGAGGAAAGTTTTTGTGAAACACCTCAGAACAGTGTTAACATTGTTATAATGCACTGTAATGATGGGAGTGTCTGTGCTGTAATCTTTCAGCCACAGTCTGTGCGGTTGTTACAGATGGAAATTAAACGCTTGAAGTCGCAGAGTGTTTAAATTTCTGCATCTTTATGCTGAAAAGGTTGCAATAATCCCACTCTTTGAACTCTTTGGGCAGCGCAGAGGAAGAGAGGCGGAACAGGCATTTTATCAGTTTGTATTAGCTGCAGCTTTCATCTTTCTTGTTTGCCTTCTGGTGAGCTAATTAGCTGTTTCCTGCCCGCTGAGCGTTTTGGGGTGGGCATGGCAGCAGTCCGAGGTTAAAGGGTGGCACAGGCCGGCGGCTTGATTACAGGTTTGGGTTGTAGCCACGGCTGCTGGAACATGGAGCTGCGGGCATCACATGTGTTGGCACAGGGTGCGGGCACTTCAGATGTGGTCGGGGACATGTGGAAGCTTTCGAGGGTTTATCCTGCCCTGCCCAGTTTAGAGCTGCTGATGGAAGAGAGAGCTGACATTACAGCAGTCAGACACTGAAGACCTGTACTCAGACGAACAAACAGAGGGATGCTCTGTGTGTAAACAGAAGTGTTTGTGTGTGTGTGCATTTAAAACGGCTTGCAGAGTTTTGCTGTGTGGGTGTGAACTCAAGTTTTTAAACTTTGGTTTTGAAAAGTTTGGAAATATGTTTGCTGTTTTGTTGTCCATGATTGGCAAAATTCTTTGCAATCTTAAAAGTTTATGTTGATTAAATTCACGCTAGCACACTAACAAGGTTTAAAAAATTAAAAAGAGGCATTATGTGCACTTTTAACCAAATACTCTGGCCTTGTAGCCTGTCTGAACTTTTCAACAGTGAGATGGAAACTCAAACCGTCTTTGATTACCATTCCTGCTTTTCTCCTGGGTTGTGTTGAGACAGTGTTCCCCTTCATGTCCGAGGGGCCTTCTGTCAGGCATGTTGACTGAAAGAGTCCAACAAGCCCCTGGAATTGAAGGGATTGGCAGCTCTCTTGACATACTGATGACAACAGTGTTGCAAAAGCAAAACTCAAGTCAAAGTCAGAAAAACATTGAACTGGCATCAACATTTCCCATGCTATCCCTCTGAACCCCCCCTTCTCCTGTCTTTCTCCTCCATCACCAGCGTCCTGCTCTGACCCAAACAGCCTTGTGATCATAAAGTCACTCTGTGGTCCAGGGTTTTCCTCCCTGCGTGGCAGAGCTGCCTGCCTGCTCTGTGGGGGACGTTCAGTGGTCAGTTTGTTCCAGAAACAGGGATGGCATCTGTTCCACATGTAACACAGGCAGCACTTTAAAGGCCCATCAAACTTTGTGGGTGATTACTTTAATGAAGCAAAGTATGCCTGCATGCATCTTTTAATTCATATTTACTGGCTTTATTATACAACATAGTCTGTCAAAAAATGTAATTAACATGTTTGACTTTTCCTTTCTTAATGAAGACAGTTTGACATGGATTCATTTGTGCAATGATAAAATAAGACCAGGGAAAGTGTCTTCAGCCATAAGCACCTTCTCTTTAGACATGACCGAATGATCTGGACACCAAAAGTAACTGTTCCATGGTCCTGTATGCATGATCATGAATGTTAACAAGCACTGGGATGAGCAGGAATACACTGTCTTAAAGTCCACCTCACTTAGTCACACAGATAAAGACTGTGCATTCCAGTGGTCAGTTCTCTGTATTTAAAGTGATACCAGGCAGACTTCTAATGTAATTCAATCCTGGACAGTGAGAAAGTGGTAACAGCAAGATGTCTTTCAGGTCATTTGCAGACAGGTCAAATTAAATTAAATCAAACTGAATATCTTTTGTAGCATTTTTAAATCAAGCTTTCTAGTAATACACAGTTATTTTACAGGGTATTATGAAGGATGCACCTGATGTCACCTTCATGGCTTGGAAAGACCGCTGGCTGGCCTCTGATTTGGAGCTTTTGAGGTGCTGCTCTGACGTGTTCTGCAGCCTCTGAATCAGGATGCAGCTAATATTTCCAATGTCCATCTCAGTTCACCCTTTGCGTCTATACTATTGTTGCAATGATTGTATTAGTTGTGCTTTTGTCCAGTGGGTTCCATTCTTAATTGGTCATCCAGTCGTTCAGTGTGACAATGGACAGTGTGCATGATCAGCTATTTGGTGAGGATACCCCACGCATAAGGATTTATAATTCTAAATACTGAACATGTTTAATACAAATTCCAAAAATTACAGTTCCATGTTGGGAGGCACCAATCGGCCATTCAAGAATCCTGCTTGTGCATCTCTGAGCTTGCCTCAGCTAATGAAAGAGCAGTGGGAGACTGTGAGAGGGTTGAACCTCACTTTACAGCCTCATATTAAGCTCAGTGCGCCTCATGTATTTTAGGCCTTTTTCTCTCTCTTATATCCCTCTCTGTCCGCTGTGGCAGACTGCAGACCAAGGGCAATAGCTTTGCATCGTGGGCCAGCTGCTGGAGCAAACACACACAGAGTCTGAAGTGACCAGTTGGCTCTCTGTAAAACAGAAAATCTTTTTTGATAATTGAGGAAGGTTGTAATTCAGTGCTGCTTCTGTCTATTTGAGGTCCTTTAAGTACAGACTGAATCCAGCCTAAGTGAGTGGAGGAAGGATCAGGACTCGTGTTTTAGTGTCAGAAATAACCAATGGCCTTTTTCGGTTGGGTGATTTAGCGCTGTCAGCTAAACTACTAACAACGTTGGTGCAAGTTCATGTTAACATGTTGTTCTGTGGTAGCGGCTAAAATGACACACAGTTTTTCATGTTAGCTTGTAAGACAGCACATAACCTTATACTGAAATGCTGCCTTTGCTTGTTTCTTCCTGTTATTATGTTTTCTTTTAGCATCATAACTATTCAGACCTGAACAGAGACTTCAATCTTATGGTTTATTGAACAGTAATTAGCATGCACATCTTTAACACTCGAACTACCAAGGCAGTCATTTTAACTGCTTTCAGAATTCACAATGTCATAACATTTTATAAAAACAACCTATACACCAGTCGCACCCTGGCTTTTTCCTAAATGTGTGTATATTTAATTCTAACATTGTTTTACCATTAAAATAAAAAAAAACACAAAAGAGATCTGAGTATTACTACCTCAAATGACCAGAGCAGTCAAATTGACTGCGTGCGTTTTACAAATCCAATCCAAGTTTCTTTATAAAGCACATTTAAAAGCAACAAAACGCTGAACAAAGTGCTGTACAGTAAAAATAAGGGGTGTTATATTTTACTATTTGCTACATTTTCCGTCTCTTTCTCCTGCCCTATTGTTTGTTTTGTGCTTTAAGCTCTGTAAAGCTAAAATCTTGCTATAACTTTACCCAAAACTCAAGAGACTCAAAAATGACAACTAGAAGAAAAATGACAAGTATGGAGGAAGAATCCGATGGATGAGCAAGTTCAGGAAATGATATGTCTTGGTATTTTGAGGAAGGTTCTTAGAAATCTCATTCATGAGAATTTTCATTTTGTCTACTGATGTGTTTTTTTTATCTATCCCACCAATTTATTCGTTTTTAATGTTGATAATCTAGATTATGTGCAAATAAAGACTGAGCTGTCAAAATGACTGCTATGGTCATTCGAGTAGTTGCAGAGTTTTGGTAGACCGAGAGTTAAAAGTGTGTATGTGGACAGAGCTGATGGTGATTCTGGCATCAAGCCCACCAACTTTTATTGGGAATGCTCTGTTTTATGTCTTGAGCTCTTCCACTTCCCTCCACCGGTGCGCCCTGTGGAATCAAGCTGATTTTTTCACAACCCTGAAACTACTTGAACACAATCAGATACACACAGAGTGCCGGTGGCTTGGAAAAGCTGTAAATCGCTGCTGACTGGGCCAAGCATCCACGGACACGATCTAATTTAGAGAGGGCGCAGCCTTACTTCTGACTCACCAGTCAGCAACAGTAGCTGGCATGTTGGGGCTGAGGTTTCACCGGGTCGCTGGTCCTTTATGGATGAAAATGGACGAGAAGATGAAAATACCCACTGTTCTATATCATGCTTCACTTGCAGAGAATAGTAGAATGTGCTGTTCCCCTTCTCATAAATGTACCAGGGCAACCTGAGGACAAATCTCAGCCCGGTTTATCAGAGGAGCTGCGGCTTAAGTACCCCAGTTTCACACTATGTCCACTCTTTTGAAGTCACACTAACACCAACATGACACTTTCCCGAAGTGAGATCAGTGTCTCCTCTCAAAGGTCAAAGGTCAGACTCGACAGGGTGAAGACCTTGACTCTAAACGTGTGTACGTTTTTCAATATTCTCACTCAGAGGTCAGGGGTGAGTTAGATCAAAGCCAAAGCAAAGGTTAAAGTGAAGCAGGTTAGTCTGGGCCTTGTTGTGTGTTTTTGAGGAAGTGCACAGGGGAAAGTGGACATCACACCAGCGTGTGAGCTAAGAGCGGCCTCTCTGAACACAGATTGACTGAGGGGAGCCCCTCTGAGAGCAAACACCACAGGAGAGAGAGAGGACACGTTCGACACGCCACCTCTGTCAACACTCAGGAATGTTTGAACAGAATAGATTGGTGAATATTTTCCAAAGTATCCCATTGTTCCAAGTTCAGACAGAGTTTTCAGAGCGTAACTCACCCAAAGGGGTAAATACCTAGAGTGCAATAAGATTGACCAAGATTAGGGTTGCTTAACTAGCAGGAAATGAAATCAGATCAGCTAACTTTTTGCTGGAAGGAGTTTCATATTTACCAGACAGATATAAGAGTAAGATAAAGATCGATTGTCTCGTTTTTTCTTTTTGCACGAAATCCCCAAATGAAGCTTGAATCCAAACTCTTGTAACTGTTTCATTGTGACCAGTAGGAGTGAGCGCCAGCCTCAGATCATTGGCTATGGATTGGTGACATTGTGCCAGGAAGCTTTCTTTATAAGACTTCTGGTATGGTCAGTAATCCGCCTTACTTTTTCTCTACTGCCTGACTTGTAACTTAAGTTGTGAGATGGAGTTGGTGTAGAGAAACAACACTGAAAAGGCAGATTAATGCAGCAATTACAGACATATGTTTGATTGTAGATTTAGTGTGAGCCAAATCTTATCTAGATGTCTGCGTCAACTCGACAACTCAGGGTCCAAGTGGTGAGAGTGTAAGAGACCAGAGAGAATAATGAAGTATGTCTGTGTGTGTTCTCAGGGTATGGCGTTCTCTCTGGAGGAGCGTCTCCAGCTGGGGACTCACGGCCTTCTACCTCCCTGCTTCATCACCCAGGATGTCCAGCTGCTCAGGGTGCTCAAAAACTATGAAATGCAGAAGGATGACCTGGACAGGTGAGGCTGACGTTCAAACTACCACGTCATGATATCTTTCATCTTCTATCAGCTTCAGATTGAACTTAAAATGACTCCCCTGAGTATCCCCCCTGCCTCACAGCTCACTGAGAGATCCCACTGTACATCTGGAAGCTTTCAGAACAAGATGCAGATTAGCCACCAGCCCTCAGAGAGCCATATCCATCTCCTAACACCACATATTTTACCAAACAAATCCCCTCAGTCTACTCTCTTCTTTACTCCCATTTCTCCTTCTCCTCCCAGTCCTCCTTCATGAGTGTTTTTATTACCTCCACAGAGACCGAATGAGAACTCCGGTCCAGTTTTGCACGCTTCATTAGACACTTAAGAGTCGTAGCTGTTATAGCGTTATGTAATGAATCTGCCTCATGGTAATGTTTAAGACTGGACTCTTAAAACGAAAGCTCAGGCCTCAGACTGGAATCAAGACCTCAGTTCACTCACTGGTTTGAATTATGCGCTGAAACTGAATGTTATCTGCCTGTGAAACTGCTTCTTATTGTAGATGCCCACTTTTAGTCAGCCACTCCATCAGCTGTCGTTTCTAATGTCAAGGATGATTGAGCTGCTAGAGAGACAGGATTTAGGCTTGACAGGAATTATAACACAATAAAAACAATGCAGCAGATAAAAAGCAGCCATTAAAAGATTTTTGCAGCCATTTTTCCCAGGCCTCACCAGAATCACTGACAATCTGTCTTTTGGGCTTCTGCACTCCGACTTCAGGCTCTGGTCCCCTGGATTAAAGACTCCTATTTGCCTGCCATTTCTCAGTCCTGCTGTGTTTACTTACGGTCTGTTACCCAGCTCTGGATCCGTCTCTGGTATTTACTGTTGAAAACTGGCATTTACTTTTTACAGCCATAACTTTCCCCCAGTGCCTTTTCTATTTTAATCAGAACATTTTGACAACTCTGTACTCCTCTCAGTGGAATTTATGCTGTTCTTTTCTTTTTGAGACAATTAATGGCAGAGAAAAAAAGCTCTGCTGACAGAAGCGCTTATGATCTGAGATGATGGAACGATCCTAGATCCAGCAGTGACTTTGTTGTCAACAGAGGAAAAAGATGTTCAAAGATGTTGCCAGCTGAAATACTGCAGTGCATAAAATGAAGCAGCTATGGGAAAAGTCATTTTCAGGAAGTTGTTAAAAAGTTCCAAGCTTAAAATGGGCCTGATGGAGCAGAGATGGTTGATCACTCATGCTAAAATAGATTAAGATGAAGATAGATTATATCCTGGCTTCCTTATTGACTTAAAAGGAAACTCTGAACTCAGTAAGTCAGCATAGATCCTGCTTTAGAAAGCAGTGTGTACTGTAAATATTCCTGTTTCCTGGGTGTGGGTAGAGCTTACCAAACCTTTTAAGGTTGAGAATAAAGAAACCAGAATGAAACCTAACAAACGCTCTACAGCAACATGTAAGGATCTGATGTGGTTATCTTATTATTGAGAAAAGAACATAAATCTCGTGATTCACATATAAGGAAGTGAAACAGCTTTTGTCAAACCGATGCTTTCATAAGTCCCATTCAGTCTAGTCAGTAGGGATGGGCGATATGGACTAATAAATTTATCACGATAAGATAATGATAAAAGTCCAGATAAAAAATATTCTAATTCCAGTCTATATTTTTGACTCATTTTGTCTTGAGAACACCAGTTGGAGTCATCAAATAAGAAACTTAACCACAAGATTAAGTGGTAGCTTATGGAGAAAACTAATGACATCAAACAAGTCTCAAATGTGAAAACATTTTCAACATTTGTTGAAAACTCTCATTGCACAGAGTGACCAGCAGCAGATCCACTGACTGATGTCAGGCATAGCGCTCATCTAAACCCCAATCTTGAAGAAAATCCCTCATGTGGATCCTCGTTTAGTAATTAGCTGCTCAGAAACGTCTTCTTCATTACCTTCTGCCATGTTTGTTTGTTATTCTGCTCTGTGTGGGCTATGGCTGCGAGTCCGTCGCTTGCACTTATGTTATTAGCTTGCATTTATCATATTCATCATGAGATGGCAAATATTTGTCATGGAGGATTTCTCTGACGATATATCGTGAACGATAATTTATCGCCCATCCCTACTAGTCAGCTTCTTTTTTCATCCCTGAATTAAAGGTTTCAGTACATCGTATTTAGCAGTATAGAATAGAAAAGATGAGGAACAAATTTAGTTTCATTTTGTTTCGTTTTCTACCTTCAATAAGTTGGGCTTGAAACATCTATCGCAAAACTGACATCATCTCCACATTTCGAGGCAAATTGAAACCCTTCATGTGATGGATTGTATGTGGCAGAAGCAAATTTGGTTCACCAATATGCAAACAGTTTTCTACAAGAGGAACTGTCACCACCGTGTATTGTGCAGCTGCTTTGCCTTAACCTATAGCAGAGAGGGCGTGCGCGCTTTTATCCCCTTAACAAGAGGCACCTTGTGCTCCTGGCTTTACGGAAACTTCTCTGATTAGACGTAGAGCCTTTCTGGCTTGCTCTGCTTAATTTGGGTCATATGCAAACTCTCAGTTCCTAGTCAATCAGAACAAAGAGCTTGTGTAGACTATCAGGGAGTGGATTTTTATTCTGTGTATTTTTCCAATCATTTGGAACAGAAGCAAAACAAATCTGCACAAGTAATCATTGTACATGTGAGCACAGTTCTTTTCTTCTGCTTCTTTCTTTCTTTCTTTTGCAACGCTTTGCTTTCACCGGCTGTTACAGTTTTGTATTTGCCTGCCAGACCAATTTTCAAATGCAAATGAGTCTGGAGCCTCTGTGTTCTTGACGATTCCCGATGAATGTAATCAATGTGAATAACTCACAATGTCCTAAAATTCAGCTTTATAGATCTACAAATGTGTGAAGGCAGAAGACTTCAGGCAGCTTACTGTCTCTGACACTGACATCATATGGCTTCCATTCATCATACATGGATGCTAGTCAAACCGGATTTATTCAACCATCTGTTTTATTATGGATGAACAAATTCAGCATCTTGCCTCTCTCTGTTTATTGGCATTTTCTCTGCCAAGATTCTCCTCTCTCACTCCCTCAAGTCTTTCCTTTAACATCTTTCTCACAAGCACACAGTATATAACATCTGACTTTAATAAACCAACCTCTCCAGGATGTCAAAGATGAACCTGCTGTGCTTCCCTCCCTGTCACTCACAGATACGTGTTTCTGATGGGGCTCCAGGACCGAAACGAGAAGCTCTTCTATCGGGTGCTAACGTCAGATATTGAAAGGTTCATGCCTATCATTTACACTCCCACTGTGGGCCTGGCCTGCCAGCAATATGGACACATATTTAGGAGACCAAGGTGAGACACTCTTACACCAAAGAGCTGCAAAAAATATGAGTTACAAGCTGCAGTTTGAATCAATGATAGCTGTGAGCGGATAGGCTAAGGGGAAGTGGGTGTAACTGTTTTCTCCCACCCTGCCAATCTTCCACCACTCCGTTATTAGGTGTTTTATGACATTGGCAATTTCAGTGTTTTTGTTGCTGCATTTTCATCAACTGCTGGCTGTGTGGTACAATTATTTCTCTTCTACAGGCTTCTTTTTCTCACATAAATACGCATAAACACACTGGAAAAAGCTTCCTGATTGAAGGCTTCACACTATAACAGCTCATATACAACATATATTTCTGCCAAGTTGATATAAATAGGCTACCATCTCTGTGGGAGCAACAAGTGTTACATCTAATCAGCAAGACTATGTGTGTTTTCGTCAGTCTCTGCATAACCAGCAAATGCAATGCTGCCAATGCACAAAAATTACAAGGTCAAAAACGCACATCAAACACTTCAAAACTAGAAGAAAACAATAAGCAGAACAAAAATATCATCAAAATCTTTATATCTTATTAATTTCGGTAGAGGAGGTGGAAAACCAATCATGAATTATGCTGTTTAAACATCCGCAAAATCTTTCTGTGTGAAATACTAATATTATTAAAATTAAAATTTCCAATCAACTAGACAGGAATAACAATTTTAATAAACTCTGAAAACGGTCCAAACCAAGCACAATGCATACAAAGCTCCTGTGAGGAGTTTTTGATTGGTCATGTAACAGACTGAAATGAACAATGAGGCCTTTCTACGATGTTCAAAGGCAATGCGACCATCATGTCCAGTCTTGCAACATCTTAAATATGATTTTAACAACTGTAAGTCCTGTGAAGGGATGGGCAAGCTGCAGTGAAACTTTGTTATGTACAAAGATGAGAGGAGAATATTTTTCTGTCACTTTCATAAAGATAAGACAAAAATAGCAAGGATTTAAGGGTGACTACTTTGTCCACAAGGGGCATCAAAGTCACCACAAACAAAAAGTTCCTTGCAGGAGCTTTAACACAGCAAAACATACTCCGAAACTACTGCATTTAGCCCTTTCAGTTGTTGTAGAACAAAATCAACAGCCATTTAAATGCCACTATAATGTGAGTTATTGTGTCATGTGTGTAATTTGGCCTATTTTTACATACATAATGTCATGGCATGTTCTCCTATACAACATGACTGAAAATAAGTGGACCTAAAAGTTAAAGCTACTGTGAGGCGGTGGTTATTAAACAGGTTTAAACTCGTACTCATGTCCGTATATGTAAATTCTGTCCTGTTGTCTCAAACAGTTATGCCTGTAACTAATGCCAGAGGGGTAGCGTCAGATGAAGTGAGTCACAGAGTGCTGTTTAAAAGACGTTTATTGACATTTTTCACTGCAAAGACTCATAGTGAGTACAACATTTTACTGTCACAAGACAGCAAGACATTATTTTTCATCAGACAACGCGACTAAGACATGTTCAGGCGAAACCAGCAAAGAACAAAGCGGTAATGTTTAGTCCACAAGCTAAGCAATACTGACACAAACCTTAAATTTCTTACAGACTCTTTAACTGGTAACATGTAGAATACTAACAAATAAATAACAGATAAAAGTCATAATCAGAAATAAAACTACAAATAGCAGACCTTCAAAATAAAATAGTGGGGCAAAGATGATCATTTTTAGACTTTTAAAAACCAGCATCTTATAGCCAGTCAACTTTAACAGCTCACACACATGATGAGCACACATTAGGAGATACTGACTTGACTGATATTTTTGAAATATTAACTGTTAAAGATCTGATACTGGGCAAGTTTTGCTTAAATATTTATTACGAATAAATACCTAATCAATCATTAAAAAAATTCACGCCAAGTACCGCCCACACAAGAACAGGAAAATTAGCTCCAACTAAATCTGTCTCTTGTCAGCAGCGTATACTGGTCACCACTCCACCTTTATTTTGAGCTTTTTTGCTAACCACTCACTGCCCTTAATCTAAGCTTGTGTGTGCTGTTGTGTGGTGCTTATTCACCAGTTTAGATAACCTCTTTGTTGGATTTGGAAAAACAGTGGGGCCCTGGTTTAGTCAGTTGTGCCAAAGCAGTCTGGTCATTTCCTCCAGGACTTTTGGGTTAACCAAATCTCTTTGTCTGGCATTCAAAGTCATGCCCTGTTTCTGCACAAATCTAGAGTTTGGAGGTCACTTTATCTCTCTTGGACTGCTCAGCTCGAGATATATCATTGTTAGTTGTTGAAATCAGTTCAGAGTTCACCCTCAGTTGATCTGGCTCTGCTCCAAGCAGTCAGACACTCACTGGTTCCCTCCCCTCCTCTTTTGTAAACACACTTTCACTCTCACACACACTCACAGACACCTTTCTGCCAGTATCTGTTTCCCCTCAAATGGTTCATCAGGTCCAGGTCTCTCTCTATCTAACAGCAACACTCCCTGAGCAGTAGCTAAAAGAGCTAATGCTGATAGTGCTTTTATTCTTTGTTTTGCTTGGCCCTGTTACCCACCATACACAGGTGGTTACCAGTGTTGGGTTTGTTTTGACTCCTAAAGTGATAGGGAAGGACCACCCTGGTTAACAGGCTTTCACAGACTCTCAAGCTCAATTACTACTGATAGCTATGATCACTGACTCCCTTCAGGATTGAAGTGGAAACGAAATAGGAGCTTATAATCAACAGGGCTGGTTAGCTAAAGCTGATAGCCACCAAGTATTTGACACACAATAGCTGCCGTTGGTGGGAATTTCACTTAAGTTTTGACAACAGCATTGCTTGTATGACAAAACCCTTGTGTTTCTGCTTTAGCATGGTTCCAGGGTGGTTTGTCTTTTTTCCCCATACCATGCGCTGATGTTTCATTGAAGGCTTAATTCATTCTGCTAGTCACGGCTGTTTCTTGTTAGCTGTGAAACCCCAGTTTTCCTGATCGTGGCCAAACCCTTTTTCCAATGGTTACCTTGGGTGTGTTTAAAATACTTAGAAACCCAAGATCTCTCATGCAAATTACTTTTGTTACTCAACATCTCCCTGTTCCATCCCTGCAGAACTATGTGGAAAATATTCCTTGCATGCTTTCCCTACACTCACCATCAGCTGGCTGGAGGAGTCATTTTATAGGCAAACACTCCTTCACTCCCACAACACAGAGGACCAGGATCTTCCCTGCTAAGTTTCTGTGTTTTAGACATTGACCTTTAGAAAATGAGCACCAGGAGATCAGTTAACTGGACATTTGGCCAACAAAGCTGACTGTCCTGACAGATTTAGTTTTTCATCCTGGCTGATTCTAACAAGTAACCACGGCAAAGAGGAGGTCACCAAGCCAGGACTGTGATAGATTTGACTCTGCACCTATAATTCTTTGTGTCTGTGTGTTTTTGATTGTGTTCAGACTTTTATGAATTTAAGAGGATGTGTTATTATTGTTCAGTTGTTGCTTCTGTTAAACCTCTCAACAAATCAACCTGGCTTTACCTTTTTTTTCTGCTAAAGCAGGGTATAAGTTATGATACCAAAGCTCTGAGGCTTGTATTACTTAAGTGAACTGCACAGCTTCACTCCTCTGTCAAAGATAAGACTTCCAAGAATGGTGACATCTGAAGCTTCAAACGTCATTAGCGCTTCAAAAACTCTTCAGTCAGCTTGATGGTTTTGAAAGTCTCATTTTTAAACTGCCACTGGCAAAGGATAGAAAGTAAATAAGTGGTGTATTCAACTACCAAACATGTTGACTCATCTCTGCTGAGTCTGAAACTTTTTAGTACAAACTGAAAGAAAACCCTCAGAGCTTCACGAGGCTTCTTCTCTTCATCACTAACTCAAACGTGCCGATTTTAGGCCATGTCAAGATTAACAATCACAAATCCTTGTCTGTGGGGGGGATCTACGAGGATGGCCAGGCATGCGTTCTGTCACATGGAACAACATTATAACCAATCAGGAAGGCAAGCTGACGAGGCAGCACAATAAATGCAGCCATGGCAACGACAGTGAAAACGAAGCACAAACTGAGATGGACACCAGAAATTTAGAACCCATTTGTTGACACTTGGCTTCATCCTGAGTGTTCACACAACTTTTTTTAAAAATGTACCACAGCCCAAACGACAAGGGGACAAAATTGCTGCTGCAACCGAGTTGACTGTCTTGTTGTCTGCCATGTTTGTTAATTCTACCATCATGTTTGACCAAGAGAAATCTGATGAGATTGCCAGATTTGGAATTAGGAGTCTCCGGTTGCGGGTGAAAAGAGCAAAAAAGGAACAAACCGTTACATCTGTCATTATTTGTAGTCATCTGTGGGGTCTGTTTTTAGGGTCTGTGTGGATAAGATCACGACTTTTATCTCTGCTGGTTCGTGTTGTATGTAAAGCATGCTTCTGCTTTGATCTCAAATTCAATACAAAGGGACTCCACCATCCTTTCAGAAATATCTGTAATGGATTACTGCATGCGTGTATGCATGCGTGTCTTCCAGCAGGACCACCACAGCAGCAGATTAGGGCTCTAATCACCGGCTCTCAGGTAGGTATAAAGACTTTCTGTTTGAGAACAGCAGTCTCCGCCTTTCTTGCCTGACTTTACCCGCTAATCTGCCTCACGGAGACTAAACACTTCGACACCAGGCTCAGTACTAGAGGCCAAAGGTCAAGCCCCATTAAGTGTCGAAACACGGCTGATTCACTGATCTTTAGATGGAGCAGAGGAAGGAAGGAGAGCAGGAAAAAAGGAACACATTCACATCATCAGAAGATTAGTAGACATGCTTCCTTTGATTGGTTAGAAAGCTCATGAGCGGACATAGTGTTCAGCAGAGAAAGTCCTGTCCCCACACAAGTTTGTTTCTGTTTTCAACTTAAATGTGGGTTGTGTACTTTGTTTGACAGGTGAAAGTACTTGGTTGTGATAAATGATAATGGTCAGCAGCAGAAAAATGATCCCGAGTGTTGCATGAATGTAATTAGCTTCAGTTTGGTCATTTGCAGCTTCGTCATGTCCTCTGTGGTGCATGGCCGAGGAGAGTCCAAATAAACTTGTAATGAAGTTAGAGTCTGACTGTTCAAAGAGCTCTCTAGTTAAGTGACACCAACCAATCCATCTTGCTGATGGAGACGGATGATCATTGGTAGCCCATTACAGGATTCTGGGTTCAAGAGTCAAAGGTTCACAACTTGACTACTACAGCTGTCTGTCAGACGGTGGAAAGTAAGACGTAGGCATTCCTTATCTCGAGAGAGGTGGAGGGAAGACCAGATTCTTTTCTTCTTCTTTTTCTGCCACTCCTACTTTATCAGCCACAGGTTTTATCACCCGTGTAAACATTTTATCTCTTGATATAATTCAAACTACTACACTGTACATGTTTTTACTTGCATGTCAAATTATGACCACCCAGGCTCTGTGCAGCAGCAGCAGTTCAAGACAAGATTATGTTTAATTTGTGTCAACTTTGTTTAAGTTTTAGACTACCAATTCATCTCTGCCTCTTGTCAAACAACACTGGTGACAAAGCTGTGAACTAGAATCAGAGCTGTCATGTTGATTGGCATATTGGCCTCAGTCACACTGCTGATCAAGCACCAAGCCTAAACCAGTCTGATGTAGGGTGCCTCTGGCTAGGGGTTTCTGTAGCTAATTGACGACGAGATGACTTTCTAAACTACTGGTCAATGCTATAGCAACTGTCAGCTAGTCGAAGAACAGACCACAGACTCTGACATGGGGTTCGAGGCATGTTTTGTTTAGAAAAGTCATCATGTATTTTTTTCTTTTTTATAGATTAATTTTGTTGATAACTAGTGTGACATCTCAATGTGAAATGCTTGAAATGATAAGGTAGAAAGGATATGAGAAGGATAGTTATATTTTGCTATCAACAGTTGCATAAAAAGACATAAATCTTCACAGCCTCAGTGAACCTGCTGACACAAATGTTTTTGTTTGCTGGTCACTTGTCTTTTTGGGGGGAATTTTATTCAGGTACTAATTTTGCACTCTTTATCTAGTCTACTTGCTCAGTTTCAGACATTCACACCTGGTGCAAAGTATACATTCTTATCTGTTTGACACTAAAATGCTCTGGTTGATGGGTTAAGTGTGTACCTCAAGAGTACCTCACTAATGGAGCAAGGGTCAAGTGCTCCTCCTTTGCTTCCACAGCTAAGATTTCTTCAGCCTGTTTGTCAGTATCTACAGCAGTATGTTGTGTGTTGAATGAATGTGAAAGTTATTTTATTGGAAGAAAACGTCACACAGTTGAACATTAGCCAACTGTAGTCTACACTGGTTTTGATATGTCAATGTTTCTTTTTTCAAGCCCTGTTTTGACCTCTTATTATTTGACAGTCTAGAACTACTTGACAAATTTAGTCAAAATATATGGACCAGCTGTATCATGCAATTTATGCAAAATGACCTCATTGAGAGTGTGTATGATAACTGTTTCAGAGAATAGACCACTCAAAAGTACAGCACCTTTTCAATGTACTACACACTGTCTTAAACATGTACTGTAGTACAGCCTGAACACAGATCATTAGTTTAATGTAAGGCTGTCCTCACATTAAGGGTGGGTTTTAGGAGGTCATAAAGGCATAATGAAAGGCATCAGCTGATGCTGGAGCAGCCTCCACCACCTCTGGGGTGGCGCATGCTGGATGATGAAGCCTTCCAACCCTGCAGATTAGAGGTATCTGAGCTGTGATCTTAGCCCTTCAGGCCCACACACAGTGTAACACTGCATGTGTCAGAATGAAATGACTCCCTTCAGATTGATGAACACTCAGGGGAAGAAGAAATCAGCCTAACCACGTGGATCACTGAGCAAAACTACCGGACTATAATGACATGCTCAAAACTGTAAATATTAAACAACCAATATTCCTCTTCATAGACGTCCAGAGACAGCTTTTTCTTCCTGATTGTGATGGACTGTGAGTGGAGCTCTGGCTGTGCCTCAGTCCAACAGAAGAAGTCACAGACAGAAGAAGGGAGGAGCAGAATTGGCTTGATTTAACTATGATCTCAGAAGAAACGTGGCAAACAGTTGGGATTGATGCTAATATTAATTTTGGACTTTGTAGAGCCTGTCTAAAAATATACAGAAATCACATGAGAGGATGTTGTAGTGCCAGTGAAAGCAAAGAAAGTTAATTACACAGTGGACTATAACTCCTCCTTTCCTGCAGTTCCTCTGTGTTTAAAACTACATTTTTCAAATTCAACACAATGTTACTGTTCATGGCTTTAAATTAATCAAAGAGAAATATAATAACAATATTTTAAACAACAGTCTGACCCGCTGTAACTACCTGGACGAATCCAAGTGTAATTTAAAAATGGAGTTGCCTTTCATGACTTAGAGAGGTGTAAATGGCTTGAAGACAGATGGATAGAATTATTCATTATAAGTGCCAGTTTGTCCCACTGTGTTTTTTATTGTTCTTTTCACACAGTTTGTACAGGACGGAGTGCCTCTACTCTGCCTTGGTGTCTGTGTAAAAGTACAGAGGCTGGATGATAGGGCAGAGTTATTCAGCTACAAGCCCAGCAGCAACAGTGAATAAACAGTCTAATAGATGAGAACTACCCAAGAGATTTTTGAGAGAGATAAAAGTCTTGATAATGGACTGCAGCTCCTTTATGATAAGACATTATCTTTCTCTAATTCATTATTTGTGGTAGGGCTGGGCGATATGGGCTCAAATTAATAACAATATATTATTGTTAATATATTATTCATTGGTAACGATGAATGGATGATAACTACTCCACAAGCTGCTCATCCCCTCCCACATAAACTTTGTCTACTTCAGCCGCCGCTCCAGCCGCTCCAGCTTGTGAACAGTCCTCCATCTCCTCACCTGTCTTTCCCTCTTTGTTACGGACTTTGTGACGTAGGACAGCATGTTAAAGGGACATGAGACCATAGCCTACCTACACACATCCAAAACCAACTTTTATTTATTTATTTATTTTTAGCAGAATATATTGACATGGGCAAAATGACGTCGTTATTGTAGTAAATTTTGGTATCTGTAAATTTTAGGTTTATCGCCCAGCCCTTATATGTGGTCATAAATGTTGACATGTGTTGCATTGCTATAAATCTAATTTGTACCAGAGTTGTAATAGCATAAAGAAATGAATGGTTTGACATTAAAGTTACTAGAACTTTAACAATTTGCTTCTTTAATTTTGACCGGCTTCATCTGCACAAGCAGTTATAATGCAATCGTAAGACTTACAAAAGTGACTCGAAGTTTCTTTAGGTCATTGACTCACATCTTGTGAACCACAGCCACATATCACATGACTCCCTGGTTAGGTTTCTTCCAGCTCGTGGTCAGTCAAACACTGGCATGACTCTCCCGAAAATTAAGATGAAAGTCGACATTTCTTATATTTCCACGAAGGCATTTTTCCTTCTTAATACTGAGTTTTCAGTTCGACTCTACTTGAGCCGCTGAATGATGCATTAATTTAAGCCCCTAAATCCCCACCGAGCACAAATTATAGAGTGGATTTGTTTGGCTGCTGTCCTTACACCGTCTCCTCGGGGCAAAGTTAAGTGCACAGTGGTAATATTTCACCAGCCAACAGTGGAAAAACGATGTGCTGATGATCCCATGAAGTGTATCAGATACTCTGAGTAATTCATATCTAACCGGGTTTGCAGTTTTAAAGGAAACCCAAAGGTATCTTTGCAGGACACAGCAGGAAATTAATTCAACATATGTACCATAAGTTAACAATGAGGGTGGATACTCAGGGGTGGATTTCACTGGGCATTGGAGGAGGAGGAGAGTTATAAGACCAAAGTGCTGAGTGCATGAAGATATTTTACCTAAACTCAGAGCAAAACAATTGCTGGCAGTTCCTTTAGTAATAATGTGGACTGGTATGTATGTGGCTTTCTTCCCCTCTCTATTAGAGACTGTGGTGGAGCCATAAAATTAAGCAATGGAAGAAACTGGTGAGTTAAATGCAACTCCATATGGATCAATGTATGAGGGGCCCTTTAAGCCCTTTGTAGTTGTGTGCTCTGCTTGTTTTAATGATGTTATCTTTTCTCCACAATGACTGCTGCACGGGCCCCGTAAATCCACATCGGGACCAGTAATTGAAACAAACCTATATCATTTCTTCATTGCACCAGTCAAGGCTGAAATGTTACCGTATTGCTTTGGGTGCCAAAGCACATGTTTGAGGTGGCTTAACAAAAGCTAGTACAGGAGGTTTGCCAACGTCTCAGAAGAGTTGTTTCATGGAGTTGGCCTCATTCCTGGTACTCATAGCAGCCAGATGGTGATGTGTGATGTAATACAGTATATGCGTGTGTGCATGTACTTTTTATATGTACAGTATAGTATGTAGATGGAAAGATTGGATAGTCACACATATTGTCCCATTCTTGAAAATGTATTGACTCATTTTCGGCTATTACCCTATCATTTTAACTTAACTTTGACTGACATGTCTCCCAGTAGCCTCTGTTACCAACAGGCACCATGTAAAATAGAAACTAGAACTTCAACATTGACTTTAGTTGAGCTGCTATCCTTTCAAATCAGGTCCAAAATCACCACCTCTTCATTTTTGAGTGTTGGACTCACTCCCTGGACTTAAATCACAGTAATATGGCGAGACGCTCAAATTAAAGGGCGACATTTTCATCAAAGTGTCAAGCGTGAACAATTGGGGGAAATCTCAGATCTGATGAATTATACACAAACCACTAAAAGCATGCAGGAAAATATTATAGTTCCTTAAATAGGGATTTGTCCCCCTTGGCAACAGAATTTCCCACTGTCACAGTCCAACTTCTCTGGCACATCAGGATTAGTAAAGCTAACATTAAGGTCTAATGGGATCACGCAGAGCATCCAAAAAATGGAAAACCACCCCAATCAGATCCAAAATACTGCCACTACCTCTTGTGACGCTGACAAAGCTCAGTAATGGATCTGTTTGGGTTGTGTGGATTAGTAAAGATGAGGGAGCTTTACAGTTTGAAGTCAGAGAGAGCCCAGCAGATTATCTGATCAGATATAGTTTATTTTTGTGGGACCAAGTGTTGAAGTACCATTTACAAGTTTATTTTCTTTAAAATCCCTATTTAGGAGTGAGAGGGGGCAGAACTCGAGGACATGAAATATTGCATTTACCCTGGGAGAGTTTCAAGTCTTCCCCTTTAGAGTCCATAACCTCTTACCTCCTAGATTTATTTCTGTTATTTCGGTGCTGTTATTCTGTATATAAACTATCACAGTGCTGGTAGTGAAACGGATTACAGTTGGTCTGCGATCCCCCTCATTTCTGACCCCTTAAGAACTGAAGTCCAAAGAAAAGATCATCAGCTTGTACAGTAACCAGTTACAACACGTTTTTGCTGTTTCTCAAAGCTCTTGCCCCACATGTTTTGTCAAGTATATATTTCATAATATTTTATGCAGAAGCTGTTTGGAAATACCTTAAATAGTTACACACAACTACAATCACAATAGGTGGTTGTCAATGGACTATATCTCTATCCTAACCTTTAGACATTTTTTAAACTAACCCTTAATCTCACCAAACTCCTAGGCTGAGCCATTTGGTCTTACTATCTTACCCGAACACTTGGTTTTGGTCAGTGGACCACATACCTAACCCTAACCTTTGGAAACATTGTCATAATCTACTCTTAACTAACTGGATAAAAATTGTGTCTATAGTGGTAAGTAAGTAACAGCCAGAGTGCCCACATCTCAATATAAACCTTTAAAGCTTATGAATGAACATGTTACATTTCTTTAACTGGATTTTAAGAAGAGCAAAAATGGTTAAAGATAAGGTTGGCTTGTTGTTTCTCTGTACTTAAGATCCTAATGTAAAGAGTTTATGCCCACCTCTCTCTCAGTTAATATTTAGATGATGGCCTACCTCAACCCTAAACAGATTTACACTGTGAAAATCATTCATATGTGACAGTCCGAGTCTGTTGTTTATTAGTTTGGAGGACTTGTTGCCTTAATGCTAAATACTACAGAGACTCTTTAAAAACGATTCAGTCCATGCACACTGATACTGAGGAATGAGGCTTATCTAAGCAGACCACTACAACCCCTCTCAGAATCTGGGTCAGACTCATGTTGACATGGTACACTCCTTTCTGGAGATATGAGCAGAGTCAACAGATCAAACATGAATCACATGAAAAACTGCAGTGTTTTTTAAATGCGTACTTGTGAATAACAAACCTCTCTAAATTCAAGTTGCTAGGATATGACAACAATATCTCTGAAGGGCTCTGCCTCTTTTTGTCAGTTCAAATACTCCCCCAGCTTAGTAATGGCTGTAGTAAGAAAGCACTAAAAGCTCATTTCTCTTTTGTTTTGACAGCTCCACCAGCTCACAGCTTAGCTGTGGCTGTGAACACATGTAGCCCTGACACATGTCTGACCCAAGGTTACAGCTGGAAACTAGATAATTTCCATCTGCTCTGGGGGGTGAGAAATGACTAAAATGGCTTCAAAACTGTAAACAAGAACAAACATATGATTTCATTTAATTAACTTGAACACAAGTGACATGTAACTGAAGAATAAGAACGGACAATTTTAACAGCTGGCTGACTGTTCCCTGCAAGTAGAGGCCAGAATCTGACATGTGACATGTGCAATTACCCAATTCATTTAATTAAAGACCTAACAGACAAGAACCAGTGAAAATAGTGACAACAGAACAATTACAAAGCCATTATTATGAACAGTGTGCTGCATAAAACACACACTCAGTGTTATTCTGTTCAGCCATATGTTCTAAAGTGCAAAAAGGTAAAAATATTAAATACTGTTATTTGAAAATATCCAGATAAATGATAAACTGCTCTTTCTTTTACAGCAAACCAGCTCAGTTCCACAAGTTTATGAACCTGGCTTAGGGTGAAGGCTTTTACTCGTATAAGTGATTAAAAATAACTTCTGTTTAAATATTTCTGATCCCAGCCTCTGTACTGTTTTTACATTATATATCAATATCCATGACAAATGTGATTTATATAGAGCATATTTTTGCAGAGAGCACTAGATTTTCTCTTGAATCATCCTGCTGTTTAATAGCGTTCACATTTCCCCTTATTTGAACCTTATTTGTCTGTGGTCACATTTTGCACTTTCATGTTGAATTGAATGGTGAGGTGATGTAGAGTCAGGAAAATATAGGGTTGTTAATTCTATACGTCTTATTTCAACTCTCAGTCTCACTGAGAGGAGTGTTTGTAGGAGACGTCACCACTTATGAACACATTACTTCTCTGAAATCACTGACCTTGTGGTTAGAGCTGATGTCAAAAGAAGGTAATTGGTTTGAGGTGATATAGACTGACTTTCCAGATCTCTGCCTGACCTCTGACATTGCTACAGGATTGGGATTTGACCTCGGAGGACTTGCCATTTTGACTGTCTTTCATCTGTTAATATATAGGACCCTGCGGGATTTAATTCGAACGCCAGTATAACATCACTGTAGGCTACAGCTCCAGTCTTCTCTTTCCTTAGAGAGTTGAAAAATGTCCTCAAATGTCAAGGTCTTGTGTCAGAAAGGCACAAAATCTTCCTGTTCTGAGAGGTGGCAGCTAATCAGCTTATATGAGTACAGATGGGTTATTAAAACAAAATGTATGTTCATGAGCTGAAGCTTCTTCTAATAACTAAAGAACCTCAATTCAAGAATAAGTCAAAACAAATGGCTGCTATTTAGATTAAATGAATGTTTGTATTAATACTTTGCTTGTTACACCAAGTAGGAAAAGGATTCAGTTTTTGATAGCAAACTTTGATGTTGAATTATGTCTTTTTGGGCAAAAGAGTCTTCAAATCATTCAACAGAGCTATTTTTTTGTCTCACTTGATGTGGCACAAGGGCCAATCTAAGCTAAGGGGTAAGGTTTGGCGTAAGTGTGGTAGAAGGATTCCTCCTGATTGTTTGATAGCTCTTGTGATTATCTTCCCAGGTTTTTCTGCAGTGTGATGTATGTTAGGAGATAATTTACTTGCCCAGTCTACTCAGAAGATGATCAGCTATTGCAAATTTGGAAGATTTTCAGTATAATGATCAGAAATCCTGTCATGTGGAGGGAACATCGAGGACAGCCAAGGACACTCTGTTGGTTCATTTCAAAAAGAAAGCCAATCAGAAACGAGCTGACTGCAAAATGCGACACAACAAGCATAGCCATGGTGACATTAGTAAACAGGCATAAAGTAAGGTCAGTAAGTTTATTTTAATGTGTTTAAACTACAAACTTCAATCCAATTAACAAGAGGTTGAGTTGGAAACAAAAAGAGCTACCAGATAGCTGAGTAGCTTGCAATGTTTCACCATTCTTTAACCCGCCATGTTGGTTCTCCAGTGGTGTATTTAAATGCAAGAAACATTGTAATATTTCTCAAAATCAGTTTAGATTTTAATGTTTTGCTTGCATGCTCCTTGAAAGTGGACAGCCCAGGTTTGATTCTAGCCCCTGGCCCTTTGCTCCATGCCACCCCCCGCTCTCAGTTCCCAGTTTTTCCCACCCTTGGCCCGCTGGATCATGATGCTGACTCTATCAGTGATAACCAGAGTGTTGGTTGCACAGTGAGCAGTTTTTTAACTGCTCTTTGTAGCTTCTCTTTCTTTGTGTCTTTATATAATTGATAAAAATTCAGCTACAGTCCATGAAGAATTGGAAACTGTGAAAGCATTACCCCATCTGTTTTATTAGCAGCCTGCCCGTCATCTCTCCAGACAAAATAGGATACAGATTTCTCTGGACATGTCAAAGAAAATACAATGGACCATAAATCACTGTCAATGATTTTACAGTGCTTTCTTGACCTCCTCTTATTGTCAGTATCCTCTGTGTCTGGTTCTTGTGAAAGCATGACCCATTGAAATTTTAGGGGATATAAAATTTTCTTGTGTGGACATTATGTGTTCTGGTCAGGACCGCTTTGGCTAACACGAAGCAGCATTCACAAATAGACTCTCATATGTTGCTCCAAGGCACAGCCAACTTCTTTTAAAAACGGCATTACAACCCACGCTAAACGTCATTGCCATGTCTAAATGCCATGACGTGTGTGAAAGGCAAATGACTGGAAAACCTGGTTGCAGAGGACTGAAACTCCTCAAATAGTCTGCTGGGTTCATCAGGTCTGTGCCTCTGATTCCTTTAGCAGGGCCTTTGTGTTGGAGCAGGCATTTCCCTGCTGTTTCTTGCCCTGTGAGTTATGTAAGGTTGGCTGAAAGAACTGCTGGACATTCACAGCAGTTGTCTCAACACTCGAGAGCTTCTCTTCTACCAGCCCAATCAGAATTAAACTTGAAACCCCAGATCTTCCTATGCCGTCTGGTTGCTATTTTCATCACTTGCAGGTTGGCCTGAGTCAAAGTTTCTATGGCGTTCCGCATCAGCGAGATACCCGTAGTGATGAAAGACCGATCAGATTGGCTAAAACTGTGCTTCCTTTGGCCTCCAACTCTCTTGAGTTTTCCCTCCTCTTCTCGTCTAGGAAGGCCTTATGAGGGAAGATAAGTTGTTGTGTGTAGGCCCTGGCAGTTTTCAGTGGGGTGCAGTGGAATGAGGTGGGGGTGGGTTATGGTTTTCTGAGTCCAGGGCCTGGAACTGGTCCTTGCTTGTGCAAAAAAGAGGGGGTTGATTTTGGGCAACGTGTTGAATACATGCGAAGGAATCCTGTCGGAGTCTTGAGTGAGCTATTCAGAGTGGGAGGCAGAAGAAGACGACGAAAAAGAAGAAGAAGAAGAAGAAGAAGAGGGCATTGTCTTCAGACAGTCATACTGGATTGAAGGGGGAGGGTGTGAAATAGAGTTAAGGCAGACTAAGTAAATTCCTGCAAGTCACGTTTCATTCCCAAGTGTTGAGAGCTGTGTCAGACTGGGTTCTGTTGCCTCTTGCTTTTGGATAAATTCCTTGAAGAAATCCACAGGAAAGTCAGCTCAGAGACACAATACAAAAGCGTGAACAAACACTGGGAACCAAAAGCTTACATGTGCTTCGACAGAAATGGAGATGGATTACTATATAATTGTGTTTGTTGAGCTGAGCTTAATTATTCACCCTCTTTCCAGATCCCTTTGTTGTTTTTCATTTATTCTCTGTCTATGTATGTTTACAGAGCACTTTTTCTCCTTTTACTAGAAATCTGTTGCATATTTAGTTTCTTTGTAAATCATCTTTTCCATTGCATAGGGTTATTTTTGAAACAGCCAGGGTTTGCGTCAGCTCCGGTCGCAGCTTTATCATGCTTATTGATTGGCATAGCAAACCCTCCCTGCATAATTCAGCTTCTTTTTCTCCTCTATTGGTTTGGTCAGTTGCTTGGCTGTTCGTGTGCTACAGGATAAATATTACTTGTGATGCCAACACACTCACTTTTTTGGCATCACTAACTTAATTGCTTTGGAAATGATCAGTAGGAAGAAATTTGAGGATACAACCTGTGAAATAGTTCCCTCATGGATACTTGGAGGTATCATATAGTTTCAGCCTACACTGGAATAAATCATTCCTCTTTCCATAAAAAACCATTAACTTATTAAATACCACTCAGGAAAGGAAGACAGAAAGTTGAAACCAGCAGTCTCATTGCTTAAATATTGTGCTGTCAGTCCTTTTGTGCAGCTTGTGGTTGGATACCACATCCAGTCAGAGAAACAGCTCTGTCTCCTCCTGAGTGCGCTGAAAGTCTGTGTGTGTGTGTGTTCCTGATGCATAGAGGTTTCTCTCACCCTGACTTTCGGTGGTGTAGTCACAAAGGGATATGATGGTTTTCATATCACAGACAGAAAGACATATCGATTGTTTTGGCTTACCTTGGCAGAGCTGAAATCAGGACTCAGTTGTAGCTAATAACTCGACAAAGATTCAAATCTCTTCGTGTCTCTGTTTGTCTCTGCTGTGGCTGCTGGGAAACAGCAGTGTTGTGAAAGTATTGGTGATTGTTGTGCATGCACGTCAGAGAACTATTTTTAAACTGTTAGTGATGCCGAGGCTACGAAATTCCCCTCACTGGAAAAAGTTAACAGGACTTAGAGTTACAACTCTTTTTACCAGTTGTGGGACTTTTTTTTGGAGGTTCACTAGATGAGTTAAGTCATTATTATATTGTTGTGTTTTTATTTGCACCTTAAATCACTTTGTAAGAATTCAATGTACCTCTCAGCAGCCTGAGATATAGATATAGATATTGAACCATCATGGCAAGAGCAGCCCAGACTAAAACAACCAGAAAGGAACAGAAAAGTGTACTGTAGTTTTTTCATCCTTTTAAATACTTTTCCCCCCTCATACGCTGTTCACTCACCAAACACACATGATACAATATCATAATATATGATAATAATATCATTTTTTCCTACCGGAGAAGCTGCTTTTGTAACAACATCAGGGGATGGCCACATTCGTAACAACCAGTTTGACAAAAAAGCAGATAAAACACATTTGTGTGAGTGGAAGCACTTTAAATATTCAGAACATTAATGTGCTTTAAAACATTTTCTTTTCTTTGAGCATTTCAACCATGACTAAGATTAATCTCTTGTAATAAAATTCTGAATATGGATGTTATGATATTGGCAGTTGCATGTTTTTGTCTCTGTGAGGGTCTGGTGATCCTCCCAGCTTTAATAATAAGATGTCTCATACGCTCTAGCAGCTGGCCTGGCGGGAGGATCTGGTGTGTTAATTTTGGAGTGATGCTCGTGTTTGAACCTGTTTGAAAAAGTCATGGATCTCACCATGAGACTCCTACCATTGAACAGATGTGTCAGATATGACGCATGGATCCTCTCCTGATTTATAGATTCAGTCTGGGCTATGAGTTACAATTTTAGAATCATCACACTGAAAGAGCCTATTGTAAGCTTACTCCATGACAAATAGATTCATTCTTCTTAACTATATATCATCTCTAATAATGTTTATGTTAAGCACTACAACCTGTAAGAATGACCCGGGATTACATCACTCAGAGGGCTAAACGTGTGCACACCATCAGTCCTAACATGCAGACTTAGTGATACGGTTACTGTCATGCTCCTGACACGAGAGGATGTATCTTCACATGGCTTGGATAACTTTCCTTGTTGCATAACCTTTAACTAATATTGTGAAAGTGCTGTGCGTTGATCAGAAAGTAATTAAAATTAAAGTTAAGGTGCACATGATACACCTGAATCCTGCATTTATATCTGATTGTGTGATTTTAATCCAAAGAGTGTAGAGTGACTGCTGACTCAGGGCTTGTAGCCTCTGACATTTCTGGAGCCTAAAAATGCATCTGAAGGTATAATCTTAACCTGACAGTAATTATATTTTAGGGCATTTATTGGCATTGAAAGATAAGAGGAAAATTTTGCTTAACTCCAATATGATTGTGAGTAGGGCTGGGCGATAAACTGAAAATTCACCAATACTGAGATTTACTGCAATAGCCGGCATTATTTTGTCCAGGGTGGTATATAAGGTGTCAAAAAAATAAAATAAAATAAAATAAAATGGAAGTTGGTTTCCGATTTGTGTAGGTAGGCTATGGTCTCATTTCCCTTTAAGATGCTGTCCTACGTCAGAGATGTGACTCCACCCCATCCAGTCCGTAACAAAGAGGGAAAGACAGGTGAGGAGATGGAGGACGGTTGGAGCGGCTGGAGTGGCGGCTGAGGTTAAGTTAATGTGGGAGGGGGTGAGCAGCTTGTGGAGTAGTTATTGTCCGTTTATCATTATCGATGTGAACTGCTCACTATATCGTGATGTTGATTTGAGGCCGTATTGCCCAGCCGTAACTGTGAGCCTCATGCTCAGCACAATCTCTGGACAAAAGCATGATTTTGGTGCCCACCATGTGTTTGACAAGGTGACAAGCAAAAAAAAAAAAAAGACAGAAACTAGTTTTAAAGCAACTCATTCGTTTAGTTTTTTTCCCCACAGTTACATAAAGACCCTCTAAAGGTGATATTTTAGAAGCATTTGTTCAGTGTAAAACGCCGATGTTATCCTCATTCCTTGGTTGATATTTACCTCTTCCCTTTGGGCAATTTCACACCACTAGATGTTGGCTCCATTCAGCTCTCATTAGGCATTATGAAATTGTCCATTGAAATCCCAGAGGACACAACCATTAAAACCTGTCCGTTGTGGCAGATTTGGAGCGTTAATTATTAGGAGGAATCTCATAGTGCGTGACTGTGACCTTTCACACCATTTTCACAGTCGTTCTGGGTGATTTGTGTCCACTGTGTCAGTTGAACCTTATGTGGCATGCTAATTGAGGGCATCCAGCACGTTGAAGTCTGAGGTTATGCAGTTGGGGTGAAGAATGGTGGCTGCTGGTGTTTGGTGTGGACACGGGTCACTGATTGGAGACCGGCCTCCTCATGGGGCTGTGTGTGATTTGGGGTCATGGTGTGGAAAGCAGTTTTTCCTCATGCTGGCCCGGGCAGCCTTCCCCATTCCCTGGGGTGTGTTTTGTGTTGTGCTGCAGGTCAGTGCTGGTTGCTTTTTCAGACCATCATGTTTTCTTTAACTCCTCTGTTTTGGCCACACTCTCTTACAGAAGGAGCCAGACATGGCAGCTCAGCGCTTTGTGCCCCTCTTCTCATCTAGAAAAATCAGACGACTGCTTTTCAATGTGGTCATTCTTGTAGCAGCAGTCGGGCACACACACACACACACACACACAAACACACACACACACACACACACACACACACACACTCGCAGTTCAAGTCTATGAGCATTAAAATGTGAAGAAATAGGAGAGGTTGTCTCCTCTTTCCCAGGCACTTCATTGTTTGAAGGAATGTTGAAATATTGTGGAATAGCTCTGGCTACAAATTCAGAAGACAAATCCAACACTGAGTTAGTTAGTTGTCATACTTGATTTGCCATTTTATAAACTTTGTAAAATTATAAAATCAGAGGAGCCAGCTACTAAGTGATAGTGGGACTCATTTACATAACGCAAAAGGACGTTCCAAGTGGTTAAGTGGACCCCGTTTTCAAGAAGATTGACTTAATTATTTCCATTTTAGTTACATGTCATACACATTCAACATCAACCCCAAGAAACCAGTATTGAGGACATTATACAAGAAAATATGTCCCTTGAGTGACTCATTAACAGTAAAAGTGTTATTCTTAATTTTCATCTAAGGCATGTCGCCAGAACTCAGTGGAACCAACAAGCCAAGTACAAGAGGATTTTTTAGGGAGAATTGAAGTCATGTCCCAGTGATACTGAGAGGTAGTTAAGATATCAACATGAAGTCCATCTAACCCTGGAAAAATAATTCTATTGAAACCATTAGCTTGAAGGCTTAATACTAACAAAAATGCTATACCTCAGGGTGATTTGGTTGCGCACACTGTACATGTTGTGAATTTGGGTATTTATTTTTGTTTAGCAAGGACTCCTTAGCAAAGCAGTTTTAGTTAAGTCTCTCAGTTCTTATAGAATGGACAGGTGCAAGTACATCTTCAGGACTGCCCTTTGCTTCTGTCTGTCCACAGATGTCTGTTTAATCCCTGAGTCTGGAAAATGACTGAAGCTATCACAGTCTGCTGACCTGTATGGTTGTGAGTGCTTTACTGTCTGGTGGATGTTATTTTATTTCAGCTGCTGTTACCTTATTATAAGACCTTCCTTTTTGGTTTTAGGAGCGTTGTGTCCATATCATTTTTAATTCAGATGTTTTATTTTTTTATGTATTTGTGTATACGGTTGAGCGTGTACAGCACTTGAATCCAAGAAAAATTCTCTAAATGGGTTATTGTATCGTATAAATCCACATTTCTCTTAGTGAATCTAGTGTTTCTTGTGAGCCTTGCATATGTGCTGCTGCAAGTCATAACCTTTTCAACACATTATTAAAAAATAAAAGATAAAAACAGTCAGAATTTCAAGGAGTCGCCCTCCATCAACTTCACCCAAAGGTAAATACTTTCCTTGGATACTATTGAAGTATAACATCTCCTTCTTTTCATTGTAGGTTCTACCATAGTCTGACAAAAAGTGCATCCTGACATTGTGCCTTTGTTTTGTGCCAGTGGGCCATAAAATGAGGACACTGATGGGTCACACCCCACCACCCCCATGTGTGCTCACATCTGAGAATAACTGAGTGAAGGTGATAGCCAGTGAAAGCTATCACCTTCACCATGTTTAAGAAAAGCAACAAAATTTGGGATACCTGCACCCTGGGCCATATATCCAAGAGTTAAACACAGGTAGAGAAGGTTTGATTAGGAAAAAAGATGTCTGCAAGGACAGCAAACAGACAGGCAAACTTAATGTTCTTGATGGTAGCTATAAGTTAGACAAACTGGTAAAACATTTAGCTTTAGGGAAATGAAAATTGTTTGAAAAGACCACTTGAAGGCATAAATACTGATTGCAAAAACACTTGGCTATAAATAATGTAGGTAAATTAAATGGCATGTATAAAAATAAACTGAAAAAATTCTTAAAGTAAGTCATGTAGAGTAAAAATAGAGAAGATCCACTTTAAAAAGAGCCAGACTGTCAGTATCGTCTGTATCTATGTAAGAGTCACTGCCTCATCTGCCAGGACAGTACGTGTACTTCTGACAAAAGATGTTTGGAGCGACTGTTTTGGAGCGTAGCCGTATGTCATTTCTCCTCCTCTACAAGTTTCTACAGACTGGAAATGATGCAGGATGTGTTGTGGCTTTTCTTTTATGATTAACTTTAATCAGAGGGAAGAATTTTCCTTTCACCCAAACCCTAACCCAGAAAATAAGTAACCTCCTGAAGAAAGTCAGTCAGGCCATTATGACTTCATTTCTCAACAATGTTCTCACACCAAATATGTAAAAAAAAAAAAAAAAACACATTTCCCTTTTTGATTTTTTTCCACTCTGACAACACATACTGTAGACCGAGGATTTAGTTTAATGTCATTCCCATGACAACTGCTGTTTACTGTCAATCATTTAACATTTCAGCATGTTTACACTATTTCCACATCTGCCATGTAAACCAGTGATGGGCAGATTACAGAAAGTTATTAGTGAGTAACAAATACGGGTAACCTTTATCAGAAAGTGATTGAATCACTGAGTTACTGCGTTATAAAGATCATCAGTCACCTGTAAAGTGACTGTAGCATTTCTTCTTTTGGCATCAGTGCTCTCTCTGATCAGTCTGTTTAGTCCCTCCTGGTTTACAGATTGAGGGGCTGGCTACTATCTAAACTTAAGCCTTGGCTGTTTGGACGGCGTGGCCGTAGCTTAGTAGAGGTATGTGATTTGGTTAGGTGCTTTGCAAGTTTGCAGTTTCTAGTTCTTGCATGGGCGAGGTTTTCCTTCCTGAATGTCAGCTATAACTCATCTTTGTATTCTTGTCCTTGAGAAGGGAAAATCTCAGGATACAACTACGCTGACATAGGTGAAATCTCCCACGCTGAGTCAGCTTAAAGTTATTGGCTGTTTGGATAAAAACAGTACTGCTCCTGGCATCATGGGATAATATAGACAAGTTTAAACTGTGTTTGATACATAAGGGTACAAGTGGGAACATTTAACATTATCTAGTTGTCAGAGTCTAGATTGAAATGCTCTCTCGCTCACCCCTAATGTAGGGTGCTCATTCAAATCAACAAAAACACAATGATTTTTAGATTTAGGTGATTATACACTCAGACTATTCAGATATTTACTCAATACAATCTCCCAAGTCTGTTCTGCTAGTCCCCACTTAATATCTGGTGGTACTTCTGAGCAGAGTTAGTGTGTCATGTTTGTTTTTTCTGACTGTTAAAAGGTGTCACAGGCACTTCTCCGGCTCTACATCATTTTACTTGCCAGGGTCAAAGGTCACAGGGTCGACGGCTCCTCTACAAACAGAGAGTGGCAGATAATGAGAACTGGAGGAGGAGAGGAATAACAGCAAGATGGACATGAAATGTTTTCAGTAACCTTCGGGGTGATAGGGATCAGACATCACCGCTAACCTGCCTGTCTGTAAAGATCCATCTCTCTGAAGAGTTTTGACCCTTAAGTCCTGACACAGCTCTCCCCTCAGAAAGTCCTTGTATTCCTGTGTGGTAGTGACTCATGTCCCCTTGGTCCCGGGTTAATACCCAGCACACTCCTCGGTCTTTCTCCTCACATTTAGTGTATAAAGTTAAAACTGGTTCAGCTCTTTACAGCTGTGCTGACGTTTGGTCTCCTCTTTAAAACCATTCCCTCATGGTGCATTTGTAGCTGCATGATGTGTTATAATGACAAATGCCAGATGCTACAGCCTGCGGCCTCTGTGTGACCTGCAGAGGTCTTTGTTTGGAGAGAAAAGATTTACATCTGCCAATCTTTTCCTCCATGATATCCCCCGTCTTTGCTTAATTTTGATCTGTGACCAATGAGTATAAATTTTCCAAAAGTCAGCTTTATCAATCAGTCAAACATCCCTCTGAGTGCACCAGGACTCAAAAGTCAAATCAGAATTTGACTCCCCATCTTATCAGCTGTTTCAGATTTAAAAAGTTATTTTTAAATGTGGAAAGTTTTTATGACTAAGTACAGCAGGAGATGCCCCGTAGGTACTCAAATCTGTAAATGATTAGAGGTTTTTATTCAAGGAAATTAAGCTTGCAGTTATTAAATCAAACTGTCATAACTTGAATTTTTTATAAAATTTCTGGGGATACAGCGTGTACCGTATTTTCCGCACTATAAGGCGCACCGGATTATAAGGCGCACCTTCAATGAATGGCCTATTTTAAAACTTTGTTCATATATAAGGCGCACCGCATTATAAGGCGCATAGAAAAGACGCTACAGTGGAGGCTGGGGTTACGTTATGCATCCATTAGATGGAGCTGCGCTAAAGGGAATGTCAACAAAACAGTCAGATAGGTCAGTCAAACTTTATTAATAGATTACAAACCAGCGTTCTAACAACTCCGTTCACTCCCAAAATGAATAAACAGCTGTTTTAGGAGCCATTTTGGGGTCTTTACATAAACACACAAATAGAAATGAAACGGCACGCCTCGCGCAGTCATATATCCCAGCATGCACCGCGCGCTTCTTCTTCTACGGGGGAAAATGAAGTCGGCGGCTGCTTACCGTAGTTGCGAGACCTGTTGTGGCTCAATATTGGTCCATATATAAGGCGCACCGGATTATAAGGCGCACTGTCAGCTTTTGAGAAAATTGGAGGTTTTTAGGTGCGCCTTATAGTGCGGAAAATACGGTACTTTTGATGTCCCAGCACTACTCAAATGTAGACTTATGTACTGTTTTAACAGAGCAGCACAAGAAAATAAGACTTCTTTGTGTGTTGAATAAATCAAAAATCTACTTTAACCATTAACTTTAAAGCTACATTGTAGTCTCTGCTGCAACTTTAACATGGGTGTTTCAGTGTCCTGCCGGATGTGAAACTGCACTTAGATTGTTAGTTTTGGCTCTAAGTAGAGCTTATGTTGGTCTGTCAGCTAATCAACCACATATTTCCAGACTGAAATATCAACATCCTAACAGATTGCTAAAACATTGTATGAACAACAGAGTTTGGACTCCCCCTGGCATTTGTTTTAGTGTCACCATGGGGTTGACATTTCTGTTTTTCAGTTCAGTTCTTGAGCAGCTGGTTGCTAGACTTCCATGAAGCCTGGTACCCTTATGTATGTCCCTCTAAGAGATGACAATCCAAATCAAATCTGCATGTACAATATTACTATAATCAGAGAAACACTTAGCTGTAACGCATGTAGCTGGAAAAAAAAGCATTTATTTAGATAGAAACTGAAAATCTCAGTCACAATACATCAATCACATGCTTTAATTACATATATATTTATCACAGATCAAATCAGACTCATCCTGGGTTATGGTGTTAACACCAACAGCTGATGTCCAGCTCCAGCTGCAGCACACCCCACAGCTGTGACTCAGTCCAACCTGCACAAAGATGCTCTGACATATTATTGATCAGCAGGCATTGATCTTGGGTGGTTTTTCACAGATTTTTGCAATAACGATGTTTACACTGTCACTGACATGGTGAGGATGATTTGCCTCCCATACTTTTACCACATGGGTTTGCAAGGGCGCCGCAGCTGGACCTCACGCATAGAGATGATCTCTTTATCCTAGGATGTAGGGCCAGAGGGAAGAACCTTGATGCCATGGACTGAGGAAAGAGGAGAGGGGGGGATTGTAAAAATGAATATACAGGGAGCCTCCAGGGTCCAAAGAAAAACTCCCTGTTGAGGCCCATGGCTCAGCATTAAAACCCCAGGTTCCATGAGTATTCAATAAAGCTCCCGTCAGAAGACAGACAGGCAGAAAAAAAAGTCTCTAAACTTCAAACAGCCTGTAAGGTACAGCTTAAAGCTGATTTCCTGCACATCTTATATTTGAGGCCTTTATTTTTTTGTCTTTTTATATCACTATATCAAGTTTAATTTATCGATACTTTGCTGTATTTGTGTAGCCTGGCATTAACCTGAGGAATGAGAAAGAAGAGGACAGGTGGTTATTTCTGTTTGTTTTTCCTCTTTCCAGAGGGCTGTTCATCACTATTCATGACCGAGGCCACATTTCGACTCTGCTGCAGAACTGGCCAGAAAAAGACATCAGGGTAAGATCAACTCAAACAGTAAAAGCTATCTCATCATTTTAAATATTCTCACATTTTTCCTCACCAGAAACCATTGTTATCAAAGTCCTGTTCTGTGTGGCTGCATTATTGAAGCAGACCATCATGAAATGAGTGATTACAGTAGATTACTGTATATGAACATTTGGAATGTCAGATCAATCCGACTATAGACAGAAGGGCAATAACACAAGTACAAAGACAAATACTCATGGTACAGATGTCAAACAACCAAAGCAACACTTTTGCTCAGTCTGAACAATGATCACATCCATGGAGTTACATTCATATGACAGTGTAGTTACTGCTGCTTTAAAAACATTCAGAGTTATAGCAGTCTTTACAATGACAATAACAGGGATAATGTAATTAAAACACTTCAGTGTTGTTGACATAGACCACAGAGGTGCTGCAGTGTGATTAGAGTGTAAATCATAGTTTTGTCACACAAAAGAAATATATATAAATATTTTTTTTTCAACAACACTGAAAGCTTCATTGCAGATGAAATGGCAGATGTTGGACACATTACATGTTTGTAGTTGTGGTTCTGATGGGAAGAAAGTCAGGATTGGTTTAGCTGGTAGAAGCATCAAGGGAATCGCTTACACAGGATTTGGTCGAGCCAAGGTCTCATCACAACATTGTTTGAATATCAATTTTTTTTTTTTAGATGACCCATTTTTCTTGAAATCCAAAATATTTTTGCATTTTTGCTGGTTTATCCTCAAGGCAAACTTGAATCTTTGTCTTTTATATTTATGCCCTTAATTTTAGCCACTTTCCTTTGTCTTCCAATTTCCTTAGTCAACAACTCTAAAAAATATGAATTAAAATAAATAAACCATTTAGATGGTTCGGAGAAGACCCATGTTTAGACTTTGCATTGATTTGACTTGGTCATTGTTCAACCAGACTGATTGGTTGTTAGACCCCTACAGTGGTAACTGACAGAACTAACATAAACCACATTAAAAATGCTGAAGTAAAAAAGTTTAAGATGTTTTACTGTTTTGTTTTTTCAGGATTATTGAAGAACAGACCTGACTGTCTGTATCATGTGTTTCATCTGCATGGAAAATTACTATTTTAACTGCTGTCATTGAATTATCATTATAAGATAAAAACAATACAATGATATTTATACTTTAAGGGATGAAATACTATTGATTTTAGAACAAGCTGTGACTAAAATGGTAATCTACTGAACCCAGTGATCTGCTCAGGAGGTTGAAGATTGGGGAATTTTCCTGACCTGCTCTATTGGCCGATTTCCCAAAAATCCTGAAATGTTCCTTTAATCTCCAGCAAAAAGCAACTATGTGCAAAGTCATAATCTGGTCATATTTAAGATGACGAAACCAGAAGGCATTCTTGGCATGTCAGAGTTACCTGCAGCCTCAGCCACCTGTTCAAAGCTGTCATCAGTAGGGCATTTACTTTGGCGCTGATATGCTGCCTCTCATTGTCGGGGTGGTCTTATCATGAACTCACTGAGTATGGCCTACTTTCCACAGAGAGGGGCAAACAGGAGCCAAAGTAGTCAGTTACTCATTAGTCAGCTGGCAGCCTCTCTGTTACAGGTGATAGTTGAGGGCAAAGGTGTTAATGGTAGTGAATATGGTCATTATAGATTTTCAAACATTTAATAGGAAAATTAATTACACCCTATAAAGCTTTAAGACTGTGAGATAAAGGCAGCTGTACAAACACGGGGCCAGAGTTATCTGCGTCACAGTGATGGTGGAAAAAGAGAAACAGCCAGAATAAGGAACGTTTCAAATATAACACTTCTGCTGTTGATATTAGGTGTTACACAATTGTTTTTTTCATGCTGTGGAATCATCCCAGAGGGCATATTCATTACTAAATAAGTTTAAGGTGGAGGCAATGGAAAGACGGGAGAGTGTGAGAGGACCTGGCCTTCACTGAGGGAAAAAAAACATGTTCCTAGGAAGCAGGATGAATTTGCGAAAAAGGTGTGGTGTAAGAAAACACAATGTCAGAGCTGCTGCTTCATTTATTTTCTTGTTGAATTATTGATGAATGTATGATATCATACTTTTTTTTAGTGGGGTTCTGTACAGTTTTTACTTGGTCGGGTCAAATTGTCTTGGCTGTAGTAGTTCTGCTGACAGGTATGTTGATTTACAGGCGGTGTGTGTGACAGACGGGGAGAGGATCCTGGGGCTGGGAGACCTGGGCTGCTATGGTATGGGAATCCCAGTGGGCAAGCTGGCCCTTTACACAGCCTGTGGAGGCATGCCACCGCAGCAGTGCCTGCCTGTCATGCTGGATGTGGGAACAGACAATGAGGTAAGAGCAGAGGATGTAATATAAGTGACAGGCTTGTCATAACCATGAGTGTTTAATCATGTCAGTTTTTATACCACCACATCATATGAGAGAAGGATCTGATAATTACAGTTTGTTATTGCAACATACAACTTTTCTGTTTACTCCTGAATGATAATAATCTGGCATCTTCTTGCTACATTTTTGTGGTTTCCCATCCTCTCACCATAAACCCAGGCAGTCGCTGGAGAATACTCATCCACTGTTAAAAAAAAACATCCCTAAAATGGTACAATTAAGGGAAAAGAGAGGGTTCCTACAGGTACAGACACCATTTAAACTTCTGAGAGGTTGAAGGTCTGAAACAATTCAAAGTCTATTTTCTTTTACAAGTCCCTCAGATAAGTACTCCCTCTCCTTTATCGGGAAATTTGGTCTTTCTTTTATGTTTATGTACAGTCTTAAAGGCCATTGATACTTTAATTTGATTTGTGATCGAGTCAAATGTCAAATTTTAAAGGGGTTAAAATAAGCTTCAGGAAAAATGGTTAAAAGAAAATCCATCCAAATGTTGCCTTTAGCTCTCTCCAAAGCCTCCAAAGGGTTGTGTTTATATTAGTGCCCCCTACAAACGAAGTGGTCTTTGTTGATTTTTATCCCTGCACATGTGAAATTAGTCTTTTCCAACAAAACAGACTAGATAAAGCTCTTCTTATAAAATGTGAAGACCTTAGATATCATAAAGTTTGCTTGCTGCTCCTTTTTTAACTCTACTGTCTCAGACCCTTAAACTCAAAATACGGCTCAAACAAATGAGAAGCCAAGGGTACAGGTTGAGGGAAATACTGCATTTCTGCCACAGCCAGGTAGACCTTTGCTCTAAATTAAGCCCCCCAAAAAGTAAACAAATCTCACATTTTACAGCCAGGAAACACCCTTTTCATAAGCAGCTCCGCTCATTGATGCCAACTGGGAAAGCACCGCTCTGCTCTGGCAGGGCACTGAGAGCGGCAGCCCATAGAGAGTTACCCACCTTCAGTCTCCGTTCTCATCTCTCAGAGACGTTTCAGACTGTGGGCAGGACAGCACGTGTGGCTGCAGCCTTCAACAGACTAAGAATAGTCGGTGTGCACTTCTCAGTGTACACAACTTTCTGTTTTAAGCCAAGGGCGTGGCAGCTTCAGATGCCTGTTTGCCCAACACAGCTGAGCTCAGCCTGGCAGACACTGTCCTCCCTTCTCCAAGACGGGCTTCACATGACTCAGTCCTGCAGTTCAAGTTTCTTGAATGAGAAATACTGCTGATGATGGATGAGTTTGCACATAAAGTTTAGCAGGAACTGGAAGATGAATATGGATGAGCTGTTGAGCTGGGCAAACACAAAGTAAAGGAGAAACCCTGCTGATTGCATGACGGTGATAGGATCCTAAATGGCCTAAGGCATCTCTATGAGAACTCTTTTCTAATAAACACTTCATCAAAATCCACCAGGTCAGAGTAATCCTTCATGTTATAATAACACGATCACTGCAGTCTTCCCAGACAGCCTATAAAAGATATTAAATTGCAGCATTAGACTTCTTTGCCATTGGAAATGGATCAAAAAAGGTCTTTGATTCCGCCAAGTCCTTCACCTCAGCTCTGCATTTTTGTAAGCCTGATGTCTACAGCTGTACCTTTCGACCCGATCCTTTACTGGCATTTCTACTCTTCCTAAGTTTCCACATCGTCTACTACTGAGTGGACTTTATCCTGGTCTAGGCTAATAATACCATCTGAAGATCAGATTCTCTGTTTACTACAGCAGTCCAATATATTTATAGACATCACAACACAACTTTGACAAGATGTCCAACCGTCTTTGATTGAGCCACACTGCCTGAATGCACCATATACTTACTGCTAGGGCTGGGCGATAAAACCAAACAATATATTTACAAAATTAATTTCCCTCAATATCAATATAAAACATGGTCAATATCCTTTCGATAGTTAACATTCTGCCATGTTTTGGTAGACTATATGAGTAGCCAATGAAAAGGGGAGTTGCTCTGGGTCCGCTTCGCGCTGAACCAATCATGTGCTGAATTAGAACCAAGTAGCAAACAACTGCGTAGTAGCAGGCTGCAGCTACACGCAACCAAAGCACTTTAACACGTGAAGCCGACAGCACTGTCAGTGAGTGCTACCCTCGGCAGAAATGCAGATGAAGGCTCAACAGATGGCAACATCAACAACAACACTGGTACGAAAACATCGGTGGTGTGAAGGTATTTTTGGTTTTTTGAGGTCGGACATTAAGCTGAGTAACGTGCACTGCAAATTATGTCGAGTACATGATCTTGTTTTCATCAGGGAATACCTCAAAACTGTTTCACCACCTGAAGCAGGGCCACGCGGCAGAGCACACACAATGCAAAAGGTTACAAACCCCGAGCTGAGCAAGGGGCCCATGGTGCCTGTGCAGCCAAAACAACTGACCAATCAGTCCGCTTTCTCTAGCGCAATGCCTTTACGACAAAACGTCAAAGAGACACATAGACCTCACAGATGCAGTAGCTTATTGTATCGCAAAAGACATGCTACCAATAAGCACTGTTAAATTTCAGTTTTTATATCATGATATATATTGATATCGACTGATATAAAAAATATATATATCGTGATTAACTTTTTCCCATATCACCCAGCCCCTCTTACTGCTAAAGTAAGAAGATGGCATTGACCTTACGCTGACAGGTATGTGTCTGTGACCATGCCTGCATACTACTGCAGGTAAGAGCAACTCAAAAGAAGTGGTGGTTTTAGGGGCGGTCAGGCACACTTGCAGCTTTCTTTCCATGTTAGAGGGGAATTTGGTCTGACTTCAAAGTTAAGTTGTTAATCGTAAAGCTTGCTCCTGTCAATGGTTAACAGTCATTAGGGCTAACACCTATTTGGCTCTCTTATTACCACATTGTAAATTGTACATCTAGTTAATGTACAAACAATGAAGGTTTTTGTAGGAAGTGCCTTTGTATGCCTTTTTACTAATTGAAAACAAGACCAACTCACATTTGGGTGGAGACAATGATTTGAAAGAATACAAGGTGTTAATTACTTAACTTTAGAGGTGATAGTATGCACACTTGGTTGGTTTGAAGAGAGCCAGTCCAGTTGTTTCCAGATGTTGTCATTGTGCTCAATAATTTGCTTGGTTTGGTTAATTGACTCATGGCTTCAGCTCTGTGTTTAATGCACAGTTGCATGTAAAGTTGTGTTTTGAGGCAGCAGTTGGTCCTTGTTAACAGGAAGTGTATCCTCTCTAGTCTCCAAATCAACTGATTCATATGTTGATTATTGGATGGACTTAAAAATATCAACAGCTCTCACCATAGCTGTCATCATTTGAGAACATGCAAAACTACCAACAGAAGTAAAACTGAGCGTTTTCACAAAGAAAACACTAAACCTTAGATGCTGATCAGTGTTTATGCCGGTGAGTGCTCCAAACCAAACTTGTTGCTATTGAGACAAAGCTGTAAGTGCACACATAGCAGCAATGTAGTTACTTTAGTCCCCTTTTTCCTCATTCTCATATTACCCGTTCCTAATCAGTGATTCTTTATGCTGTGGTGCTTAGGCCCTAAATTTTTCAGAAATTTTGTATGTGGAAAAAGCTTTATGTCTTGTTTCTATATCAAATTTGTTGAGTACAGAGGCTTAAGTTGATGGTAATTTGGCTGAAAAGACAAAAGTGCAGAATGAGAAATTTAGATGAGCACTATGTTGCACTATTTAGGATAAGATAGGATAAGATAAGAAATTTATTGATCCCTAAATTGAAATTCAGTCACTAAACAAGTAAATAACATGTACACTATAAAAACTATCATGTAAAGGACCTGAAGTTTAATTTTCTTTACTCTTGGGAAATAATGATCTTGATTCCCCTCCATAGACTGTATATACTATGGACAACTTTGTTCCGCCTTCCGCCAGTATACAGATTTGAAGCCAAAAAGCTCTCGGTAGTTCCGTGTTTTTTTCTCCACTTCCTAGAACCACCACTTGCGCAGTAGCATTGTGCGCATTTGGTCGCTGAGAGTTGCTGTGATGACACTCGGCTCAAACAGTGTATCCCCCGGGTGAGCTACGTGATCTTCATACACCCATAGGCTGTATCAAGTGTCAATCATAGAAAAAATGAACCCCTGATAACTTTTAAAAATTGAGCTGCACAGAAAAAAAAGAGGACTTGAGCACAAACCAGTCTTACAGTAACTACATGTCAACATCGCAACCAGGGGGGAGAAAAAATTATGTTCTGTGTAATAAACTTCTAAAGTTTGTCCACAGCTCCATAGGGATTGCTGGAGGAGACGGGATTTATGACCTATACTGCAGCCCGTCACCAGAGGGTGCTGTTCTCGCAGTTGCTTCAACCAGCAAGGAGGCAGACGGCGTCCATTCTATACAGTCTATGGTTCCCCCAGATTGTATCTCTTTAAAATGCTTTAGTAGAAACAGGTTTCACGAGTGGTCCATCAGCAACCGGTATGTGCGGAGCGATGTAAACCCACAGGCAAACACTTTTATTGTAACTGCTGGCTTTGGCATACCTATCTTTTATTATTTATTTCATTTTATTTTACAGAGATGACAGGTAAATGAGTTGTAATGGGATAAATGGTCTGTCTCTGCATTTTTGGTTTTTGTGGAGCTCTTCTGGGCAGACTCTCTCTGGGAAGCATGGTCAGACCCTACCTCTTTGTGCCCCACTACCCTCTGCAGCCCTGAATGTGAAGGCATGATGGGAGCAGATGGAGCTGGGAGACTATGATGTAGTGGTAGCTCCAGCTAATTATTAAAATGACTGTTATTATGGGATTATATTTGTCCTTGAGTGGCCATGGGGCTATAGGGGCAAAAAAACAGGCTGACAAGGCAGGGTCCTGAATATTACGGGTTTTTTTCATTCCCTGACCCAAATAGTGTATTTGAAACACATGTGCTTGCTTTAAAGTTGAGGATTAGATAAGAAGATAACTACAGCTCACAATTATGAAGCTACAGTGAGAGGTTTATAAGCAAGCTCAGAAAAAAAGTATGCAAACAACAAGGATGGTTATTTATTATGTCTAGTGGGACCTCAAAACTGCCTGTGGACTCTTAATCTCATACGAAACTTTATCTCGTACATAAATACGACCATGTTTTTTCCACACCTTGTCTTACAGAGACTTTGTTGCGTCTCCAGAAAAATCCTCTCCCACCTTATTACACTGGTATCTGTCTAGCTGAAGGTTTGGGGGAATTTTCCATCTCTATCTCATCTCCTGTTTCCCATTTCACTAATGGCATTCCTCAAAGGTCAGTCCTGGGTCTGTTTACAGTACCCATTTATAAGCTGCCAATTGAGTAAAACTGCCATGTGGACACCATCCAGAATTTACTTACGTCCTGTTACAATCCTCAAGTTTTTACACTGTGAACAAACTAAAGAGTGTGTTTTTCCTGTCATCAATTCCTAAAACGTTTTAAAAAGCTCGCCTTGGCAGAAAGGAAATCATCTTGTTTGCCACGCCACATTCTTTCAGTCAGATGGTCTGGAAATTTGGCCTGCTATTACATAATATTAAGTAAGGCTGTCTTATTTGATTCTTGACTTTGTGGTTAACCAAAGACAGCTTCAGTTGTGTATCATTAAACCTAAGTTGTGAAGAAATGATATCTTTTTCATCCCTTGAGGATTTTCAAGTACAAGCATGCAGCCAACTGCTGCACTGCAGGCAGTGGAACGTGCATGTGTTGTATCTGCAAATATTTTTCTAAACAAAGTGGCTTTCAAATTACAAAAAGCTAAATGATAATATCATAATAACTATATTGAAATAGCACCTGTAAAAACAGGGTTTTATAGAGAGCTTTTTTACACGAGCACATGTATATAAAAGAAAAAAGCAGAAATCCTGACACTAGTGAATTCAGAGGACACAATAACCAAAATGACATAAGGCAACCGAACTACCAAATACCCGACCAACAAAATGGAAACCAACTCAAGCAACAAATTACCTGACATCAGTGTGTATTTACTATATTCACACCAAGCTGCAATCTTGAGAAATGATGAAATGCTAAAACAAACTGCAGTTTTCTGAGGGTCCACCTGAGAACATCAATACCTGTCCAGCCTGGTTAAAAAAATGGTTTTGTCTGAATAGCTTAGAGCTCACCAGGCACTTTCTGTACAGTGAGTCACAGTGATTGTTTCAAAGTTATTAAGGTCACAAGACCAGCAAATAAGAAGCACGATTAACTTAACCGACTGAAAGGCAGACTGTAGCCATTTGCGAGGAGTCTAAAATCCTGTTTCTGGGGGGTTGACCAAAATTTTGGTTGAGTCAGCATTACCAGTATGGTGACCCCCACAGATAGGCCTCATGATCTCCACTCCAGATACAGTCTATGATTTATACCAACACCGCTGTTTATGTCTGACTGTCAGCTAAATGGTTAAATTCATCATGTCTGCAATGGTTAATAGTTTAGACCCCCTGCTGTTGACAAGTACAATCTGACCTCAATAAATCAAACTTATTCATTTAGGAATATTTTATTTTTGTCCTCTGTGCTATAAAATCAAAAGCATCTGTACAGGCATTTCTCTGTCTATTCCCTTTGATAATGATCACTTCAGGCCTCTGACTTGACATGGCTAGACCCCTGACGGCCCTGGTCAGCCCAAGTTTTCCATCAGATGACACGGTCACTGCTTCAAGTCATTACCAAGACTTGACCTGTGATCACCAGGCTTTGAGACTCTGGAAAACTTGACATGCTGAGATAACTTTTGCTAAATCTATCTCATTAACTGTCATCACAAATGTGAACTGGCATCTGTCTCTTAATGCCAAGCTATTCCTTTAATGTTTTATCAGATCTTGAGGCGCCTCAGTGCCTGTGAAATGTCTATTTGGCTACTGTAAATGTTATTCTTCTGTAGAGGCAGTGGGTAGAGCAGCATAATCTCATGTAGAGACCAGTCATTAACTTTCTCTTATCTTTTCCCCTCATGTGTATCTGAGAAATAGGCAGAGAGACACTCCCAGCATACAGAAACATGAAGTCTGCATTGAATCATGTTATCATCTGCATGGTCTGTATCTGTCTATGAGGTGAACATCACCTGGAGTAACCTCAGCTCACACACTTGGACTGAAAAGGGTCAGTGATGTCATGCTGGACAATACTCTGTTTGTGTTTTGGTCCTGAGTGGGCCTTCACATGTTTAGTGTCTCACATTATTAACCATGAACATTACTCTGGCACAGCAAAAACATCAAATCTATGTTATGTTATTGTTTACACCAGCAAGTGGAGCAAGTATTAGCGAGTACTACAGTAGCAAGTTGAAATGGAGCTCCTGTGTCTCTAGCAAGCTTGAACTGTAAAGCCTCACAGGGGTACTAATCCCCTCTGAGAGAAAAAGGGCTGTACAACACAAAGGACAGCTTAGCCAATCAACAGAAGATAATCTGCAACAGAAAGGCAGATCATGTCAACAGTTCAGCTCAGAGTTACTGAGGTCAGAGCAAAGTAGCTCCATCTATTTCACTTTTGGCGACTGTTTTGTTACAGTGTGGGAATAAAAGAAATAATCGTGAAGTATAAATCTGCAGGGGGAAATCCACAGCTCTGATCCCTCTCATTGCACACTCTTGCATCATCTTTTGAAATGACCACCAAAAGCTCTCTCTGATATCAGTCCATCACATGAAAACGCTTTGCTTGTTTTGGTTACAGTTGAACTTAGCCACCTAGCTTATTACCAGGCCATTAAAAGCCTGCCAGGAAATGAGCTGTCAACTTCAAATAAATAAAGCCCTAAATAAACTTTTTGAGCTGTTCTTGGATACAGAAACTAGCAAGCATGCCATGGAGAGGTGGCTGCTGCCCTCTCCAAGCCACGTTCATCTAAGTGGCACCCTGAAATTATCCATCCTAAATGAAGGTCGCCTTTCCCATTGAGACATGACAGGACTAATCCAAATACAGTTCTCCACCCTCTTGGATCAAAAATCCTGGAAGTCAAAGTTAGTATGTTTAAATTATGAGTCTATCTTCCAACATCTGTGTAGGTATGAATCTTCAGCTTGTTAGATGTTGAAACACAGTCGGGTTGTTTCCAGCATGTCAAAGATCTGATAAAATATGAGCCCCAAAGATTACCCCAAACCAAAGTCTGTTAGCAATCTATCACTGCGGGGTACCTTTCACTTCCACCTTATTCATCATAGTCTCACCTTCTCTTTCATGTTCTGTCCATCTTTCTGTCTTTCTGTCACACATGTGGCTTCCCATCAGCCTGTGTTCTTGATTTTCTCACTTCCCTGCTGTATCCCTCACTGTCTTCAACACCCCAAGGGGCAAAGGTGGAGGTGGAGGTGGAGGTCCACCAGCGCTGCTCCTTCATCTCCTTCGTGCTGTTAGTTTGTCTCAGAAAACTGGACCAGGGATTGATGTAAAAATGTGTTTTTAGCCCCTGTAGTCACTAAGGACACTTCTCATTTTTCTCAAGGACCTCACTGACTCTCCATCCTCCCTCTGTATTCAAACCTGTCGATCGGTTTGTCTGTCTATCACACTGACAGAAACATTAAACATCTATTGATGGTTTTGACATTAGAGTTTGTGCAAAAAGTTATAGACTTGATAGGACCACATTTAGTTTATTTAAGTGACGCTCTAATAATGGAGGTCGAGTTTTTAGGTTTCTTAATCGGCTAAATGGCTGTAAACACAGATTTGTTCAAGCATTCGTACCCAGACTGCCCTGAAATTTATACACTGAAGATAACGAACTCCGACATATTTACATCAATGCTTGACCTTGGCACCTTCATAGTCACTTACTCTCAACTTAAGATGTCAATTATTACAGCTCTGTAATTCAGGGTCCATGATGGTTAAAAAAGTGGAAATCTTGGTTTCATTCTTGCGAAGCAAAATTGGAATCGATCCAGAGAAGTATTTTAGGGAATCCCAGAGAAAGTTGCAGCTTTTTATAGACCAGCAGTTTTTTTGGCAGCATCAGTGGTGCCAACATTCATTCATCCATGAAATGATGTCTCCCTTTAGAACCATATGGAGGTGATCAATACCACTGTACAGATGACCACACTTGCACGAGTTTTTCCTGTACATGAAGAAGTATCAGCAGACTGTGTGGATCACATGGTTCATATTACAGAGGAGGTCTAAGGTCTACAGAGAGACAGGTGTGTGTATGTGAGAGGATTTTCTCACACGCTGTATTAAATCCCTCTTCTCTTTGATTTTCACATTTATCCCTTGTCAAAACTGGACAGGAACAACGCAGACAAGTATCTCAGGCTGTGCATTCCCAGAGTTCCTCTGTTGCTCCTGGGACAGAGGGGTTTATACTCTATATCAGCATATTACAGAGGGGATAACACACATATATATAACATATATAGTTATTATTCATTTTAATTTAGTCCTTACTTTTCCCATTCAATGGATTGTTCAATATTTTTGTTAATATGCGTAATATCTTTGCATCAACTTGCACCGAATCCCTAAAATGAAGTTTGAAAGCTCCAAGATTTCACACATAAAGTCTCCTTGCAGGTGTTTGGGGTGCACACATGCATGACCTGAAGCCTTTTGTGGCTCCAGGGGGAGTTAGATGAAGTCTGATAAATGGGGCCGAGTTAAGTCACCCGAGTCAGCCTCTGTAAAGTCTGATAGTACTCTGAAAACAAAAAGAGTGCAGAGCTGGAAGAAAAGCAGTAAGCTCTCCAAGTTTCAATGCTCTGCTTATTATCTGCTTGATGTCGGCAGCTTAAGGCCACATCATTTGCTACTAGCGTGACATTGGGAGTACTTACCAGACTGTCCAGACTGCTGGTCAGCACCACATTTTCCTAAGAGAGATGATTCAATGGGCTTTAATGATCGATCCCTGGTTTTCCTGTCTCAGGACTTCACCCTATTGGATCAATAGTGTTAAAAGAGTGCGGTAAGACCACTTTTGTAAAGTTGTTTATCTCACTAATATGCAAATTAACCTGCGAACCTGTGTTTTGCCATCTTGTATTCTTGCAGGCTCTGCTGAAGGACCCTCTGTACATCGGGCTGAGACATAAGAGAGTGCGGGGCCAGGCTTATGATGACCTGCTGGATGAATTTATGAAGGCTGTGTCTGACAGGTATAATCATACTAGCCTTCATTCATCATCTGCCAATTCCCTTTATGGCGTCTGCTATTGTCATCTTATGCACGAATCAAAAGATGCTGTTACGAGAAAAAATGTTAAGCATTTTAGCAAACTCATTGCATGTGGAGTAGAGGCAGCCTAACAATGTGGGACTGAAGACTCTGGGTTTTGACTCACAGATGATTCAGTTTACTTCTTTGAAGTTTCGGCTGCCAAGTGATGTCAATCAGGACTCTGCTCACAGACTTGAATGGCAATGTGAGCTTATTGAGAAGTAATCAGAGGAGCTCGGAGACCATATGTCCTGTTGATTTAAGTGGCATCGTTTTCTAAAGACAGACAGCTGAAGGCAGAGCTAACCAGCTGCATTGTTTGTTTTGGGTTCTTGGCCACAATGTTTGATGCAGTATTTTTGAATGAAACTGCCCAAGATGATGTGATTAATCATGGAGGATAGGAGGGCTTCTGTATTCGTTGAGAGTAGGATCTGCAGATAGATAATACCTCAATAATTCAGCTTTTAGACAGAGCAAGAAAAAGCAGAGTACTTTTTTGTCTATGACTCCAATGGTCCCACTCCATGGAAAATGTCAAGCTTTCTCTTCTCCGTGTAAACAGAGCCCATCAGCCAGACTTGCAGTGTCATGTTGACATGCTTATTCCAGTATTTGGCAAAGGATCACACTGAGGAGTTAGTTTGAGGTTCATTTGACACAGAAGCACAGCAAAGAAATGAGATGTGTCCTCTTCCTTTTAGTCTCTCATTTGGTTTTCATTCTCCGAGCTTATCTTTCCTTCGTCTCTGAGCTGAATTCAGTTGAGTGCTCGCCGCCTCTGGGGCTTGAACTGCATTTTGTTTACTGCACTCCTGTCCGTGATGAGACTTTTGTATACTTTTTACTTGCATGCACTTTGACACATCTTTGAAATTCACTGTGTCCCCGTGTGCCACGGAGCCATCACAGCTCCACACACACATGGGCCTGGTTAAGGTTCACTCTAACCCAGAAGGACCAGAGTCCAGAGGGAGCTTGGGTCTGGGTCCCCTCCAGCTGGCAGCAGGAAGCCCTGACTCTAATAACCGGGTGGCTTCTCAACTACAGGGAACAGCAAAGCTTTTCCCCAACGGAGCCAGATCGGCGGAAAATGAGTAATTATGGGCTCAGAGATTGGATGAATGATTACAGCTCTGCAGTCTTTAAAGTAATATTCAAACTCGGTTTTCTTAGTAACTAACATGAGCTAGAATACTTCTACCCATCATCAATGGGAAGCTGAAGTCTGGAGTAATTATTTAACCATTTACAGATAGTATCATAAATTGGCAGGTCTCATAAAGCTCAGTCAGGAAAGTTTTCTCATTCTCCAACTACTCTGATTGAATAATGAGCAGGTGTTGTCTGCTGCTTTTGTCTTCAGGCAGACATGAATCCCTTAATCTCATTTCTCTTGCATTCACTCATAGCAGTCTCAGAAGGATCCAGTGATGCCAGGCAAAGGTTTTCATACTTTGAATCCTTTAATGAAAGTTTATTATACGCAGTGTTGGATGATGGTGTTTATAAAACTCATTATGTTAGAAGATTACCGCCATTGACAAGTAACTTGTTGCTCTCCTGTGCTGCTAACAAAGTTACTGCTGCAGAGTACTTTTAAATCACCAAAAATGAAAACCCCTAAAAAAATCCAACTTTTTAATCAATCGTTCTTTATTTAGATAGCACCAATTTAACACAAGTATTATCCATAGACTGTGTATAGAATGGACAGCGTCTGCCTCCTTGCTGGGTGAAGCCATCGCAAGAACAGCACCCTCTGGTGACGGGCTGCAGTATAGGTTATAAATCCCGCCCCCTCCAGCAATCCCTATGGAGCTGTGGACAAACTTTAGAAATTTATTACACAGAATATACATTTTTCTCCCCCCTGCTTGTGATGTTGACATGTAATTACTGTAAGACTGGTTTGTGCTCAAGTCCTTGTTTTTCTTTGCAGCTCCATTTTTTAAAGTTATTAGGGGGTTTGTGTTTTCTATGATTGACACTTGATACAGCCTATGGGCATATGAAGATTACGTAGCTCACCCGGGGGATATGCTGTTTAAGCGTTGAGCGTCATCACAGCGACTCTCCCATCGGATGCGTACAATGCTACAGTGCAATGTTGGTTTCAGGAAGTGGAAAAAAAAACAGAAGTACAGAACTTTTTGGCTTCAACTCTGTATTCTGGTGGAAGGCAGAACCAAGTCGTCTATTGAATATACAGTCTATGGTATTATCCAAAAAAAGCTGGTATGGGCCACCTTTATTCACAAAATTCCAATTGTAGACCAGACCGACTCCCATACCATCTTCAACCGTATGAGTGTTACAGTGGAGAGGAAAAACTTGTACAGCTGGAAAGCAAGTGACAAAACATCTGCAGTAGAAATCCAGATGTACCTATGACATGACGGAGTTCAGAGACTCTGAGAAAAGTCTGTGTTTACTCTTTACACTTGTTGGTCATATTTCATGCCTGAGAGATACAGCTCTACTGGTTGAACTCCTCGACCTTGTTACCAGCTTAGCTTGTTAATTTCTTTCTGACTGACAGTTGTTGATCTGACTCCTAGCTGTTGCTGTATTGTAGTTTCAACTCCTCATCATCTCTCTCCTCTTCAGTGGGACCTCATCACCGCTGTTGTAAAGCTTTTTATAACTTGCAGTTGCTTCTCTAAATCTGAAGCAGAGCTAACAGCAGCTGATGAGCTTTTGTCGTGAAGTTGTCTTTGTCCTCAGAATAATGTGAATATTTCTATGGAGTGAATGCTGTCTGCTCTGCCTTCTCACTCAAACACTTCAATTATCCAGCAATGCACGTGTGTCACTGACACAAATGTAGGTTTAGTCTTCATGAAGTGGTGGGAGGCTGTTTCCTTGAAGCTCTGTCTTTAAAACCAAACCATAGTCCTCTTTTTTCCGATCAAAGTAGTTTTGGTGCCATAAACTAACAATACCCTCTCTGTGCAGACTGGGTGTTTATTATTGTTAGCATCATGAATGAGATGTGTTTAAATACCAGGTTATACCCAGGATGGATGAAGATGAAAAGCTCTCCTTCTTGTGAGTACAGTTGGCCCCGTGTAAAGCCTACTAAGGCAGTGATAACAGCCGATTTAGTGGTCTGATAACATTCAAAGTTTCTGCTGGGTCAGTGTTAATCTGGGGAGCATACATAGAGTCCAGGGATCTCTTCAGCTATCTTGAAAATTTGGCATTGCAAAAGGAAAAACCAGAAGGACAGAATGAGGGTTTAGATTAGCAGAGGAGAAAGAGAGAGAGAGAGAGAGAGAGAGAGAGCAGAATTCTCCTTTTTTATGGCTGATCTGGCAGGGATTTGAAAAATAAAGTGTGTTGAGAGATGCTGGCTCTCAGGAGAGCAAGATGGGGGCTGGGGATTTATTAAAGTTTCAGCCACACAGCCACGAAACTCTGTCGAGACGGCGATTACGGACAGCGTGTGAGCACACAAACACACATGTGTGCACGCAGGTTCGACAGCTGTGTTTGCACAGAGCACCCTTGTCTGTGACCTTTTCTTTTTTTTTTGCAAAGGTCCACCCTGACTCTGAATGCATCCTGACTTTAAAAAGATCACTTCATACATACCTTATCCACTGATCCCCTCTTCAGTGTTGAGAGTATTTATATATAAGACAGCCACCTACTTCCTATTAGTTAAGGATTCAGATTTCACAGAGGCCCAGACGAGACCAGATTGTGTTTCCTAGAGAAGCTGGGTCACTCATTAAACCCCTTCAGCCATAGATCGGCCCAGACACAACACCACACGTCTGATGGATTCACCAGATGAAAAAGCATCTGTCATATCAAGTCCCAAGCTCTTTATCATCCTATCAGAAATTTATAACTATGTCATTTTCCCTTCAACGTATTGAGCTGATTTGGCTGCAAGCAGCGAGAAATCCTGAAAGCACCACTCCAGAAAACAATAAAACTGCCTATTTTTCATTTATTCCACTACCTGGATTATTTTGACAAGTCATTAATCACTGCGGAATAAAAAAGGCTTAACACAAAAGAGCTCTGTGTTGTTGTGCTAGCATTTTCTAAATAGCTTAAACAGCCCAGCGGTAGGTGAGGTAAGGTTCACCTAAGCGAGTATTTGTGTATTTCTAAGAAGAGGGTGCATGGCTGGTTCTTGGAGCTTTTTTTGGCCAAAAAAATACCACACTTGGGTGGTGAGAGGTGATATTTCTCTCTGAGTTTGATTACATCTCTTTTCATTAAAGATGCACCTTGCAGGAATGAGACCTGTGGCAGGTTTTGTTAGTGTAATTACATTCTTCGAGCGGGACATTATGAGAGCAAGACTTCTGTTCACAGAGTGGTTTGTACTGTACAGTTTTTCACGGTTTAGCAGGTGTAGGCTGGATTATTTTTCTGACCTCTCCTCTCCTCCTTGTGACAAAAATTAGTCAACCTCCTTTTTGGTCTCAGACAGCATTGTTGACGAAGCACCGCGCAAAGACACGGAAAGTGTCCTCGCCGCCAACCCTGACATTGAGGCTCGATCTTCTCTTTTTAAATTTCCATAACAACATGAAGTGAAGTTCTGAGTTTTGGCAGTTTGCAACAAGTTCTGAACTTTTGCTTTGAGTTTTTGACATCTGACACTCCTAACTTAGTTAAATTTCATTTCAAAATTTGAATAAGAAAAGATTAGTAATTATTAAGGTCAGGCAACTTCTACACGTTTAGAGTTTTTTAAACATTACGAAATGGACTGAAGTGCAGAGTGATGCTACCGTATGGTGTTTTACAGTAAATAGGACCATTGATTTTGACATGAAAGCTAAAGAGGTTGATCAGTTTTATCATAAATTACAAATTCCATTAAGTACAAACTCATGACACTGTGAAATTTTCACAAACATCTTGGTTAGGGAATCAAAATGATGCCCTAAAAATGATTCACAATCTTGACTTTTTCATCGAGGTCCTGTATGTGTGAAACCAAGAGGCACATTTCTAAAACCGGAGTCTTTCTCTTTATTTACTGGTCTGCATTCAGTTGCCACCTATTTTGCAAGAACTACATATAACATCTGCAGTTAAGTACAGCCTTGCAGCAATTCTACTTCAAGACTTGAACTAGAACTGGCTGATGTCAGTCTAGTTAGCTGCACCTGTATGCTTAGCTTCAAATCAAAGTACTTTAGTGATATTTTGATGCAGTTTAATACAAAGTATATCACACCATTTTAACTGAGCCACCGCAGAGTTTTTAAAATATTACATCCAAAGTCTGTTTGTGTTACATTCCATCATGGCAGCTGCAGGAAACAGAAAGAAACTGTAGTAGCTGAGGCAAGTGTGCAGAAAGGGACAAAATTACATGCATAAAAAATGCATTAATTTTAAACCATATTTGGCATTGGAGTTAATCCTGGCAGCTCTATAAGCTCTTACATTAATAGCCACCATTTAGTCCTTAGTGAATGTTCATAAATTCTGCAATATTTTTATTTATTACTGATTTAGGCATGTAGTTGTTGTGCTGTTAGGGCAAATTGAAGTCAGCTCTGAAACTCTGGTGCAAAAACATTGACATTAAATTTGTTGGTCTAAATCACTTCACCAGAATGTTACACCAGTAAAGAGTTAATGACTTGGTGTGTGCTTTAAAGCTCTTGTAGAGCCATCTGTTTTAAATTTAAACCAGTTAGAAACTTCTCATAACATGTCTTATCTCAAATTACTTTTCACTTTTAACCACATCTACTTGCACTTTTCCCTGCAATTAGCAGCCAAAACTATCTCATCGAATTGGTAGAGATGCTCTGGCAATATATCCACAGTCTTCTTTTTTGGTTCTTTCCTTGTGCTCTATAGTTTCTGTCTCCTTTATCTGTTAGATATTCACTAAAAACTTGACTGTGTTGAATAATCAAACTGTTATTTCTCAGACTGCAGTTTTAAGTGTCATATTTTGAGTCTGAATGAATAAATTATCCCCCCTCTGCCGGTCCAAAACAACCAAAGGCAGCTGATCCATAATGAGAGTCCCCTGTTCAAACATCTGTTTATTGTAATTATGGTAGTTTTTGAATGAGAACTCTCTCCTCTGATCCTTCAATCTTTGTTCTTTACAGCACAGAGATGAATAGACCGTCTGCACAGTAAGGAGTACGGGTCTGTGTTTTTCATCATCTGGGTGTGCCGCGTCTTTCTTAGGTTCCTGCCCTTGATACTTAAGCTTTGACACAAAAGAAAACCCTGCTTTCTTTGTCAAGGGTATTTTTTGATTCAGCTGGAGGAGAGGTGCTTTGTCAGATTTTAGCGTTCCATTCAGAGGGGTTGTCAAGGAAAGACAACAGACTTTCAGGCAGAATAGAGACCATGAACACAAATGGCCTCCAAGGAGAGCTTTGTTCTGGGCAAAGCAACCACACACACACACACACATTCACATTCACATTCACATACAACGTCAAAAACACACACCCTATCTTTATTGGTCCAGGCTGGGGACCAGAGCGCTTCTACATTGGGAAGATGTTCCTTTCTCTTTAAAATACCACAACCGCAGATTGTCGCTCTGTAGTTTATGGTCAGTGGGTGCCCATAAATATGCATGTGTTCACAGCTCAGCCATTCAGAGACCCGTGTTAGACGTCCCTGATCTTTTTCTGGGCTGTATTTTTTCATAATAAAACAATAAATCAAGTCAAATTCACTGCAAGCCTTAAACCTGATCCCTTGAAATTCTTGAGAATATTTGCAGGTTGTAAGTATGACTCACAACATCTGCAGAGGACAACTCTCCAAAAAATCCACCTCTGGACTCGTGCATGAGCAGCTTGGTTCTCCATGAACTGGTTTGACCTCTTCAGGAGCTACTTACACCAAACCATACCAGAGCACGCTGCACTGGCAGAGGGGCAAGGCCACATCTCTCCTCGCCTGTCGCCTGTCTCTGTCTACGTCTCCTAAAGCCCAAACACAATGAAAAGTTTATAGCTCCCTTCTCGGCCTCATTATTCATCCTCTTTGCACAGGCGCACAGTGCTTCAGAACTGTTCTCTGCTTGATAGAAAACACATTTCTTTCCCCAGTGCTACTGCTGTGTTGGCAGTAACTCAGCCGGCCCGTCAGTCTCCGTGTCGAGAATCAGTGTCATGCAGTGTGACAGAAGGAAGGATACACGGTGAGAAAGTCATGGCACTTTCTCATCAGGATGTTAAGTTTTATTACAGCTGAACCCAGGTCGACTCTCATCCTGCGTGTCTTTCTAGCTTTGCTTCCGCTCAGCTTCCTCTTCCTCCTCCTCCTCCTCCTCCCACTGGAAGTTGAAGCAGTTTAGCAGAGGCTGTAACAAGTGGCAAACCGCTTTAGGGGATCGCACAATAACAGCGCAAAGGCAGCCTGAGCTATGAGGTGGGGTTTTATGAAAAGAATAAAACCTAGAGAAAATAAACAAGATGTTAAACCGTGGAAAAGAGATGTCAGCAAGCAAGGTTAAGGTAGAAAATGGCTTTAACTTGTGGTTTTGTGCAGATAAATGGCAGAGCTGCCGGTGTTGAAGGATGAGGGCTGCTCACCCTGTTTGCTTGGCTCGTCTCTAACTTTCCTCCATCACTCACTCACAGCAACATGAGCTCCTCTCTGCTATTCGGGTTCAGACAACCTCTCCCTTTCCTCCCATTGTTTCAAATGTACTTAATAAAAGTTATACTGCTAATATACTTTTTTATGGACTGTGACATCATTTCAAAGTGCATTAGCCTACATATCCCAACCATCCTGCTGTAAGGCTCGGCCGGTCTTTAGAGCTGTTTCTGGATCTTTACGTTCTTTTTCTTACTTTCGATTCCAGTGCTTGCAAGATGTTTGCAACCTTTGGCTTCTTCTCTTAACAGTGATTGTCCAAACAGAGCTCTGCAAATATCAGAAGTTTATCCATCCAGCCTCCTACTCCAATCTTAGTCAGGCTGTAATCAACCAAAGAAATTCTTGGTCGACTGCAACCCTGAAATTTTCGACCAAAAATCGACTAATGTGGGGTGGGGGGGTTACGACGTGGCTCATCTAGGTGAAAATATACTGGCAATCAAACACAAAAGGCTAAAATGTTAATATTTTGCAAACCATCGGACATTGGTCAACATGGACGCTCTTCAATCTTTTTGTCTCCAGCCAGTCTCCAGTGGGTTGGGTGAATCCAAAATGGTGAAAACTAGGGGGGTGTTCTGAGACAGGCTGTTACCTGTGAAACGCTGGTGCTCTAAAAACACCCCCCTTTAGCACTTGCTACGTTTCTCCTGATGACATTAACCATACACTGTAAATTGATGCGAAAAAAAATCGAGTGGACCCATCAGAATTTTGGTCGACTCAACACATGTCGACCAAAAAGTCGACCGGTCGACTAGGACTTTACAGCCCTAAATCTTAGTGTTTAACTGAAGGCTAAGGAGTGTCTCTATCAGCCAGTAGCTAACGCCAAAAACCCAACACAACCCCTTCATACTTCTCCTCCTCCTCCTCCTCCTCCTTCTTCTTCTTCTTCTTCACTGGTCTCTTGGCAGAGTAAAAGCTTTGAAATCTCCAGAGATATACCGTGTTTTTCCTCCATCCTTCTGCCAGTATTTTTTCTGTTATCCTTCACACCTTCAGCAGGTCATTCTTTCCCTTCCCTGCAGCTGAAAACCTGTGTCTCATCCCAGGGAGCAGCAGCAGTCGCTCTGCAAACATCCAGTAAATTCCTGCGCTGAAGTTGCATCTGTTGACAGGCCTGGGAACTCAGGATTCCTCTCTGTCGCTGCTAAATCTAATTTACTGACTCATAACTTCAGCCGTGGGGTTTATTTTTGTATATGATGTTTTTGTAGGAGCTTATTGGAACAGCTCCCGTGTTGCTTTATTGAATGAATGTGATAGGTGGTCTGTGCGGCGTCTCGTAAAGCTGAACGGTGCTGGTTTTACTGGGAGACTGGGTGGGCTCTGTGTTCCTTTTTCCCTCAGATTTGGTGCTTTTGTGATTCTTGCTCTTTGTTGAGGTTTGACCTTTCTTACTGACACGCATTGTGAGGTGATGCCGTGAAGTTTGGAGAAACAGGTGTCAGCTTGTCAAACTTCTAATAAACAGAAGAGCGTGCACAGTTCTGAGGCTTTTATTTTCTCTTTAGGAAAGACCTGTAAAAAAAAGTTAGAGAATATTCAACCAGTTTAACACAATTGTGTATCTGCAGACATCTGTGCAACAACGAGCAGGATGACCTCCCTCTTATCCACTCGTCTTAATGTTCAAAGAAGTGGGAGAGCGCCCCCTTCAGGATTTAAAAAAAAAGTCTTAAAATACAGAGGCCTCTTGGTCCATATATGTTAGTGTGTGAATATTTTTACACACCGTTGTGTCTGCCTGAGTTGACTGTTGGTCCAGTTTATATAAATCTGTTCTGTTGCAGGTACAGCATGGACTGTCTGATTCAGTTTGAGGACTTTGCAAATGTCAATGCTTTCCGCCTGCTGAGCAAGTATCGCAACAAGTACTGCACATTCAACGATGACATCCAAGGTTAGTCTCCTGCAACAAACAAACAAACAAACAAACAAACAAACATGCACAACAAAAATATAATCTGTAACTTTATGGACCACTTATTTATTGTTTGTGCAGGCGAATCCAGTGTTGTTGTTTTTTTTTTAAAATCAACTACACGATTAATTTTGGAAGCTCTTTAGTGTAGAAACTGGACAAGTAATCAGGTGACCTGTGTACAGAAGCTACACAAGTCCTTGTCCAAGCAGTTGCAGGTTTAACCTTCTGCCACAACCTTTGGCTGCATGTCACCCCCTCTCCTCTTAACTTTTATAAAAACTTACGTTTTTATACCCTTTAGTGACTGTGAAAACACTGGGTTCTCTAATATCTCTCTTGCAGATCATAAACCCCTTCTTTCACCAATTTGTTCTTAAAATACTTTCCTCTCTTTCTTTTTTCCTCTGTTTTTTAATGAGTAATAAGTAGGGGATCTAATAATGTGTTTGCTTCTGTGTTTCATTTCTTAAGGCACTGCTGCTGTCGCTGTGGCTGGACTGCTGGCTGCCCTCCGAATCACTCAAAGCAAAATGTGTGACCACACCATTGTGTTTCAAGGGGCAGGCGAGGTAAGTGAACTCAGACTGAAGACTGAAGAGTTTGGCTTTAAGAGCTCATCTGAGTGGTAAACTAATCACACGTGTATCCAAAGTCTTCTCGAGTCAAAAGCTCAGGCATCACTTTTTTGGGGAAAGATTTAACAATGCTAATGAAGAGCCACCCAGTTTTTTCCTTCCTTGTCACTTTATTTTCTGCAAGAGCTTCTCTCTGTACCAAATATAGAGGACCTAATCAGACCTAAGGGTGAAGAAATGGGTGTCTCAGGTGTACAAATTTGACCACCAATAACAACAGGTGGATTGTTTTTTTTTATAACCTTTCCATATTTATCTGATGGATTTACTCTTTCCTCCCTTCTCTGTCTTGCTTACAGGCAGCGATGGGGATTGCTGAGCTGATCACCATGGCCATGGAGAAAGAGGGACTTCCTAAGGAGGAGTGTTTGAAAAAGATCTGGATGGTTGACTCCAAAGGCCTCATTGTCAAGGTGTCTTGATAAAAACAGATGCTAACACAAGTACACATGCAGGTGTAACTACACCTATCCAAAATCAGAGAATCCTTCCAGGAAATCTTGAAAAAAAAACCCTGATCATCAGGACTGAAAGATTAACAGTCTTCAATGACAGACTTTCCTGTGTAGTTTGATACATCCATCCGCCCTCCAATCACAACAAAATCTTTGCCGGGTTTTGCTAATTCATGTAACAGAGGTCATTTTTTTGAATCTCTGCAAAGGCTCTTCAACATCAGCATCTGTTTACATCTTCATCCCTCCTCTTCACTGCCCTTCACCTCTGAGCTTTTCCACAGCTTTCTGCACTCTTCCCCCTTCTTCTATCCCACATCTTGCTCCTTCTCTGCTCTCTACTTGTCAACAATGTTTTTCAAAGTGTCCACAGTGTACACAGATTGTTTTATGTGTTTCCTCCTCCTCCTCCTCACACGCCCTCTTTGACTCTCCAGGGTCGGGACCACCTGACTCATGAGAAGGAGAGGTTTGCTCATGAGCACCCACAGATGAGCAGTCTGGAGGATGTGGTCCGGGAGCTGAAACCCACGGCTATCATCGGTAAATCAGCAAACATTTGTTTTTTTCATGATTCATCTTCACTGCCATTTTTCCAGTATGTGTTAAACAGATTGTCAGGCTGCACGTCGGATAGATGATTATGAAATGAGGAAAAGTGATCACAAGTAGGAAATGTGAATGCACCAGTGAATTTCCATCCTGTGAAAGACTTAGGATGTTGGAATAGAGGTGGGGTATTACTGCATATCTATGGTTCTTTGTGTCAGGCGTGGCAGCTGTTGCCGGAGCGTTCACCGAGCAGATCATCAGAGACATGGCTGCCTTCAATGACCGCCCAATCATCTTTGCTCTCAGCAACCCAACCAGCAAAGCCGAGTGCACTGCAGAGCAGTGTTACTCACTCACAGAGGTACTCCCTCAGGAGGCTCTTCATTGCAGTTACCGTGTACATAAATGTTATTTGTTAAACTGTAATAAATGGTTCTGTAGGGGCGGGGCATCTTTGCCAGTGGCAGCCCGTTTGACCCCGTCACTCTGCCTGATGGGAGGACACTCTACCCTGGCCAGGGCAACAATGCCTACATCTTCCCTGGTGTGGGCCTGGGCGTCACCGCCTGTGCCATCCGACATATCTCTGAGGATGTCTTCCTCATTGCAGCAGAGGTAACACTTCAGCAAACACAGTTAATATACACTCTTTTCAAATTTCTGTTACTCAATTTAACATCATATACAGTAATTATTATCAATTATTTATCATTTATCAGCACTTTGAAAGGGCAAGCAATGCATCTTCAAGAGTACACCTCTCAGAGTCAATAGTTGACTTCCGCAAAGTAAAGAGAGCTAAAAGTGAGTAACAGCAGTAACCATGGCATCAATGTAGGAAGACTTTATGATCTGCCTCCTCGCTGAGTGAAGCCACAGCGAGGAGGCAAACGGTGTCCATTCTATATACAGTCCATGGTTTTTATGCACTAATTCAGGAATCTAACCATGAAAATTGTGACCTACCTCAGCTTTTCTCAAACTAGCCCAGAGTGATGAGAGTGATAAGTCATTTACCTTCTTTGATCATGACAAGGTTTATGTGTTTACTGTTAGGCTCTTGCTAACCTGGTGACAGAAAAGGACCTGGCTGAGGGCAGACTTTACCCTCCTCTCAACTCTATCGGGGATGTCTCTCGCAAACTGGCTGTCGAGGTGAGATCAAGTGTTACACATAAAAAAATTCCCCTTACAGTGTTGGTCTGACTCCAGTTTTGGGCCGTGAATCAACAAAAGCTCTTGTTTTTTGAAACCTTTTGTCTTTACAGATTGTGGAGTACGCTTATGAGCACAACATGGCCACTCTTCGCCCTGAGCCATCTGACAAACGGGCTTTCGTGGACTCTCTCACCTACAGCACTGACTACGATGAGTTTGCCGTTGACTCGTACCTCTGGCCAGAGTCCAGCATGGTTGTGCAGTCATGCAAACTCTAATGCACTGTAAAGGGGACAGAAGGGTGGATCTGGGGGGGTGCTGGGAGTGTTGGTTAACTACTGACATGCAATATCATCATAAGATGTGGTGGTGATGGGATATAAAAGAGGCTGCGTGTAGAATTTTCTCATTGATATATTACTGTGAAATTAATGGTGACAGCACGTGTAGAGCTCATTGACCCTTCAGTAGCAAAAAGACTGATACTAGGAAAAAAAGAAGTAAAAGTGGCATTATATAGGAAATTTCATAAAAAGTTGTTGAGGAGAAGCAGTCTGTAGAACCTGTGAAACTTTGCACTTTAAGGGGTATCTCATTACATTTGACGATAATATATATTGGGAAAGTCCTTCACTGGTTACTTTGACTTGTACTGTACTAGGCAGTTATTTTATGACTGTGTCTGCTATATTCCAGAAACTCTTTGTTAAATTAAAAAGTTTTAAATGTTTGCTGTGTCTGATTACTCAGAAGATTATTCATGACCATCTGTTTCCTCTGCAGAGAGTAAACAAGTGAAAATGCTCAACAAGGCATCTCTCAAACCTAATGTCCTGTTACTCTAGCGCCCTTCTGAGGCAAACCTATGTCATTGCAGTACACTCAGCAGCTCATCAGTTTGGATTTAACCATCAACTCTCAATGCAAAAGTTTTTTTTTTTTCTCAGTGAGTGATTCTTATGAGCTAATTTAATGGAGAAACTAACCTTATCATGTTTGCTAAGTGTGCACAATTATACAAATGGATCTGAACAGTCTCCATTGATCATAGTAATTTAAATATAGGCAAGCGAATGCAGTCTTTCTTTGTCCACAGACATGAATATAAAGAATCCAAGTACATAAACGTCTTTATAAGTATCATAAAAATAATAGTGGTTTATGATCCAATTATATGATGTCATTTACTCTGAGGATGATTTTACATTAATTAATCGATCACAGGCCAGACAGTCAGTACCAGAGGCCTTTTCTGGCCTGCTGCCCATCCTCATTGGAAATCAATAAAGATGCAGCCAGATCAGTCATCAGAGAGTGTTTAGTAGTTTTCCTCAGGCAGGATTTTGAGAGACAAACATGTTTTTTAATCGGACTTTCTTTACTTTACCCTGCCTTTTAATTCAGCCCAAGGCAACCAGCACTCCTACGCAGTGATCAATATGTCTCGATGTCAGCACCATCATATTGCCAGCCGTCCAGTATATCAGTGGTGACACTGTGGTTGTGATGAATGAAGAGATGCTCTTTGAGGGTTTGGTCCTCCAAGCGGGCAGTCTGAGTTTGGTTTCAACCTTTTTTTTCCACATCATTGCCCTCCCTAGTTCAGTAAACCTGTGAACCTAAAGGAAATACAATGAGATTTTATTGCAAATACCAAATTTTCTCAATCAGTAATCACTTATTTGCTAAAAAATATACCCTATAACACTATACAATTGGCACAGTTTCTCTAGGATTCAGATTTAAGTAGATATTACATTCATGGTCAATGCAGCTAAATTTAGCATCAAGGTTCACCCATTTTAAATCATTTTTAGTGAGTTAACTTTGTTCATCTTTAATCTATTGGCTAACTTTTCTCTTTATGCATGACTGTCTTAAAAGGGCCATGGCATGAAAAACTGACTTTGTTAACGGGAGGGGGGTGCATATCAGGGATAGAAAACCGCTACAATCGCCCCAAGTTCGAAAAAAATCCATCCAGTCGTTTTGTAGTTGTTTCCGTATTTAGGAACTGTGTGCTCAGAGCTGGCCGGACATGACGTCATGTCAGTGCTGGCGGGTTGATGGTACTGCCCATGGAGCCGCCCACTGCCCTGCCTACAAAATTATCAAAACACCGCCATTATTTCCGGCCGCTCGCTCGCATAGCTCCGGTTAGAACCATGGCGGAAGTACGATCTGAAATAGAGGCAGCGTTTGCTCTGTTGTTGGCTGCACAAACGAGCACAAAACTCTTTTGAAAACTCCCTGGTCGGAGGAGTTGAGGACTCAATGGGTGGATTTTATTTATAATGTGAATGTACCCGCGGCACTTCCAACATATCTGTACTTATGTGCGCACCATTTCACTTCGGACTGTTTTATAAACGAGGGACAGTTCAACGCTGGATTTGCTAGATGTCTGAAGATAAAGAATGGATCCGTACCAACTATCCGTGATCCTACTACAAACGTGGCATCTGTAAGTATTAACGTTTTATTTTGACTCACCGTTTAGCCTAAATTCTCCCCGGTGCCTCAGCACGGCCACCACGCTTTGATAAACACACCGGATCCGCGCCGGTTTACCGGATCCTCCCGTATTTTAGCCGCTCGCTTCTTCCCCGACAACTCCGCCGCCGGGGACAAAACCCCCCTCTAGAGCAGCATGTAGCTTTAGCATTTACCCGTGCGGCGACGCGCCTCTTTTGGCTCAAATACGGGACGTCCCGGCTAATGCTGGACGGTCGGCCATCTAATTTATTAGCAAAGGCTTCAGAGAAGTTTTAGAGCACCAAAATCTTACATTGTAGCAGAGCTCTGGTTGTATTTTTTTTCTACATTCTTATCTTCCTCCTTAAGCGTGACCCTCCTGGCGGCTTTGAATAATACATAGGATGTGTCGACTAGGTCGCTTCAAGTCGCGTTTGGTCTGAACGCGGCTGAGAGTTTCTTCCGGAGCCTCTCCCTCTGGGTCAGACTCTGGCTCAAACTGGTAGGGTTGTACGAGCGATCTTCTTGCACCCATGCCAAAAATTCCATGTTTTGACCAACTGTCTTGCAGATCCCATCTTAATCCCTTAGATACACCTGTGGCTGTGATTCAGTATTAATGCTGCTTACCTTACTCTTATTTTCTGTTGGTCAGCCGTCTTATCTCTCCTCTCTGTCTCTGCCTCACTCCTCACCCTGCAGTCCTCTGGCACCTTGTTGTTAACAGGCCCAGTGACTGGCAGCTGTAACCAGACATCTTTTTGACCTTGTTTACAGTCTCACATTAAATGGCACCTTGCTGAGACCTTGTGGTCAGTGTCAATCAGAACAGGCCCTGAGGGGAACGCCGCATGTGTGAGTCTGTCTGCCCATCCTCCCCTTCGCTCAGCCTACCATCCAATAGGCTTTTCTATCTGCGGACTATCACACGGTTATGAGGAGTGGACATTTTAAATCTCTGCTACTTAATCCCACAGTTCTGATAAACATACTTGGCAGCGTTTCCCAAAAAAACTTTCCAAAAAAAAAACTGTTAAAAATGTGATTGTGGTTGGATAAAACCCCACGGCAAGAGCAATGCCAAGCTAAACATGAGGACCAGATCAGATAACAAATATATGTCTTTAAAATTACTCTTATACAGCCAATGTGACATCCATCAAACTGAAGAAGACAGACTTTTGCTTTGGCAGTGTCACAAGAGTTGTGACAAAAAGGACCTTATGCATCCATAAAGAATGTGAACAGAGAAACATTAATGTTGAGACTTAAACATGAATGAAAATGTTAGTACTAATGTCAGTAGACTGTTAAGAACATCATTTCCAAGACAGGGCTAGCAAGCATTAGATATGACTTTTTTTTATTTTTTTTGAACGAGCTGAATAAATAAACCATTTCCAAATTCATGAACCAATCCTCAGATCAGTACCATGCTTTCATCTTTGTCTCCCTTTTTCTCTCTCTCTGTATACATGTCATCCACCTCACCTTCCTCCTTCAGCTTTACTCCAACTACTGCAGTAAATATCATCCATCTGACCTACTGTGTATTAACCTTAATGTGGTTAATAATACTGAGATTGATGGCTACAATCATTATTCTATCTTATTATTTCTATTAGTAGAAGTAGAAGTAGTAGTAATAGTAGTACAGAAGAAGTAAAGTCCAGACCTGCTCTTAAAGTTTCCAAACTTTGTTTAAATTTAGTGCCACAATCGATCAATGAATTTGTGACTGACACCACCTAATATGTGTTTTCCTGTGAGTTTAAGATCGTAAAAAACTAAAATCTCATGACTGTAACACAGAAAGGCACTAGAGGATAGTAAAGACATCGTTGAGTTTTCATACTTGATGTCGAAAAAATCCAGTTTTACACTGAGAGGTCATCCCAAGGACGATTTGCAGGTGTCTCTGACATTAAAGTGATGGTTCTCTGGTGCCCTCTAGAGGCCAACCTTAGTCATTTCATCTTTGATTTGAAATTAATTTGTATAAAGGTATGATTTCTGCGCTATGTGCAAATTTGTGTTTGTTTTTATTTATTATGTAGTTTTTGATGAGACATGAGCCAACACTAATGAAACTGAAACAGTTTGTACCAAAGGAGAAAAATGCTTGTGTCATTAACGCAAGCAAGTGCTTGTGGTGATGGAAGCCTTTCTCTAAAATGTGCTTTCATTTATGCTGTCATATATGCCACAAAGTGTGTCTATATAAAAACTACAAGAATAGCAGCAGGTCAGTCAGACTGGTTCATGGCTCATCAGTGTATTCCAGTCCAGTGTTATCTCATTTAAACTGAAGATGATTTCACATTAATTAATCAATCATTGGCCAGACAGTCAGTACCAGAGGCCTTTCTGGCCTGCTGCCCATCCTGGTCACAAATCAATATGAAAGCAGTCAGACCAGTCAGGATTCAGTGTTTAGCGTCTGGCCTCAGGGATGATTTGTGGACAATATTTGTTTTTCTCACTTTCATCGCCTCACCCTCCCTGTTGACTCTGCCCTGAGTAAACAGCACTCTGACATGATGACCAGCTTGTCTCCACATTAACACCATGTGGAAACCAGCTTTGGAGCCCATTCATGGTTAATTAGTGCCACAGAATATCAATTTAACCAAATAAAAATAAAATTAAAAAGGCATTGTTGGACTGCATGTATGTACAGCACATGTCAAAATCCAGAACTTGTCTGGTGTAGATATATTTGTAAAATATCTGCTTCTCAGTAGTGACAGGGAAAATAAAGAAAAAAAGGACTGGCTGGTTGACTGTTTATTTAATAAGTCTGGCAAAAATTCTAAACATATTTCTTTATTTATAGCTGCAGATGAACATTCAGTCATTAATCTTTAGTGTCTTTTATGAGTTACTTTCAGCCAACTGTTTCTCTTGATTACTGATTTATTTCACTCACTCTCTTCCAGTTCACATTATTTCACTTGTGGCAACTTGCAGATTAACCCCCCAAAACAGTAACCTCTAATGAGAGTATTTGTGTTTATTATTATTTCTTGTTGTTTCTGATTCAAAGTTAAAAGCTACAGAAGACTAAGTTCTTCCTGTCACCCTGCAGCCCTCTGTGGTACCTTGCTGGTCACAGACCGGCCCACTGATTGACAGCTGTTACCCAACATCATTTTGACCTGGTTTGCAGCCTCACATTAAATGGCACCTTGCTTAGACCTTGCGGTCAGTGTCAGTCATTAAAACCCTGGAGGGGATGTCGCCTGTGTTAGCCTGTTTACCCATCCTCCCTGTCGCCTGTCTGGCATGAGGCCCAGTAACGCTTTCCCATCTGCTCCACCACCACCACAAACTCAACTTGTCCTTCTTGTGTAAGCACAGCATGAGTAAAATCTAGTAATTTCATGTACTCTTGTTTCTTTACTTCCACTCTTCATTCCTCTTAAGCTCATTTATTCATTACTTTGACTTACTACTGCAAATATGCTCACGTACTCACATTCTCTCCCTGAATTCTTTAAACTCTTCACCTTTAGAGAAAAGGCTGAAATTTCACCTTTTTAAGATTTACCTCCTAAATAAGGACAGTAGAGGGCGCTCTAACATATTGTTTTAGCAGGGATGAGGAAAGGGCCCTCAGATGCACCATATAAGGCCCCATTTGGGAAAATACTGATCTGAATTTAATGCCTATCCACAATAGCACATTTTCTACTTCAGTAATCTTTTCTTATAAAGTCTGTGATGCTAAAGTTGTTGTATAATGACATGGGATACCAATAATGACGACCCAGAATTGTAAACCACTTGGATGCAAAACATCCTGGTCTTTGTAGGGGTGAAACAGAGGACTAAAGAACGCCCGAGGACAAAAAATGTGTAGCGGTAATTGTCTGCTATTTGTTAATGTGCTAAATAACATGTTTTTATCACTTCCAGTTCCATGTCTGATGAAGCGATAGAGAAAGTAAGACTTGAAGCAAAAGAAAACTTTGGGAGCTTTTCACAAAAGTTTCATACGTTTGATTTTTACTAAAAAAAAAAAAAAAAGAGAGAAAGAGAGATCTTAAATGAATAACAAGACATTGGAGAGTGTTTAGCTGTAGTTGTCTCAAGTGTAACATCTCAAAAGCTTTGTAAGTCATCACTGCATTATTCTTTAGTAGAGCTTTCCTATACATCCTCTCAGGCCTTAACTGAACCCTCACCTCAAAATAGTTTATATCTGACTGCTTCCTTTTTATTTTAACAGATTTGTCTTTGGACTCCAAGTTTCTCAAAGATTCCAAAGGTTCAACTTTGACTTGGAAATTTGAAAAAATAAAAGTGAATTTGAAGGAGACTTCTTTTTTTTCTTTTTCTTTATTGAAAGGGAACCTTGAAGTATCTGTAAGGAGAAGTGCATAACAACTGAAGCCTCACTGAGACATAGGCCTTGGCAAAAATATGAAAATATACTGTAACAAGGACAGAAAATCTAAACTATTAGGTTTTAAGTGTTTTTTTTTTTTTTAATGTTTATCTTGACAGTCTTGCAGCAGCTCCTTGAACTGTAAAGCAGTTCAGTAGTCTCCTGGACTACAGACTTCATTTCAACGATTTCATCCTCACAGACACATGGTGCTTTGTTCTCACTCACAAAGAGCAATAAGTATCTTTGCTGAAGGTGGCAGCATGAAGAGTTGAAACATATTGATTGCAGTGCACAGTGCAACCAGTAAATATGAATAGACCAGGACCAATCATGAAACTTTTCTATGCCCTATTCAGATAGGTATTCATGCTGGTTGGCTGAAGGCTGGAAGAAAGAACACTATAAAAGCTGACAGAACGAACTTGCCTTGCATCCACTTTTTATGGCTGTTGCATTCACTTTAACTTTGCTTTTGTCTGCTGAATAGATGAGGATCAAAACAAAAATCAAAGTTTCCCAGCAACAAGCAAGCCAGAAGGCTGATTGTTGGATGACAGACAAGATGAAAATCCGATTGTCTCTTCAATCACACATGTACTATATGGACAAGTTATTAAAGCACACTGCAGATGGGTCCAAAGTGCAGAAGCAGAACTACAGGTTAAACACTTCAGATCTTGCCACACCAAGTGTCTGCATTCACCGTTGAGTTGGGGTCGATATCTGAGCTGGAAATGAATTCTGTAGTAGACTCTAGTCCACTGTTTCAGATCTCAAACAAGGTCGATGTCAGTGATGCAGGGAGGATAAACAAAGGTGACTGGCTATAGAGAGAAAACTTTGAAAACACTTCTTGATCTTCCAATTAACCTGAAAACTGTTTTTGTATCCATTTTTTAACTCATCACTGCAGTGTACTAAAGCTGGGACTTTTCAGATGGTGATAGGTGAATTTAAGTATTAGGAGTGCAGCACTGTGTGGGCACAGTTTTAGAGTCACGACTCAAATGTCCCTAAACAGCACATCATCGGCTGAAAATAGACCTTCTGCCCCTTTGAGAAAATTGAACGTAAGACAAATAGAGTATTAAATACAGTCTGTAGAAAAAAAGAGTATTCAGTTACAGGGGTGTACCCAGGCTATTTGAGGGGCAGGGGCAGAAAAATAAAAAGGGCACCTCCTGTATGCGATGGGTTAAGGGTTATGGTTATTTGGGAGGCAATTGATTCAAAGCTTAAGTTTTAAAAAATATATAAATAATACATCTCTATTATTGAACGTTGCTCTCAAACCTTACATGTTAACCAAAAGTATTCTACTACCAAAGGGCATCCAAAGGACACTTTTTCCTTATCAATATATTAGAGAGGCATCCAAAGAGTACCTTCTTTACATATTATATATACTGGAAAAGGCACTACTTTTAGATAATACTCACTATAAGTGGTGTATGAAAGCAGCTACTCAAGCACTGTTCATGCATTTTCCACGGCAAGGGCACCAGAGTGGGTTTGTTATGTTTTAAATACAGCAAGAGCATCGAAGACAATACTTCTGCAGCATTTTTTTCAGATATGAGGGCCTCTGCGTTTTCAGCAGGCACCCACAATACCCAAAAACTCATAACTAAGATGGTGTAATAATACACAGATTTAATCAAACTTATTAAAGCTCTATCTCATTTTTACCAGGTCCATTCAACTTCATGCCATTAATCTACAAACTGTACCTTTAATTTTGTGGTACATTTATAAATTGATCTAATGACTTTCTTAACAATTTACTTTGAACAACACTGTAACATGATGCATTTGGTTGTTTTCATGGCCCACAACCTTCTGTAGCTATGGCTAAAAGATTAACACAACATAAATTTTAATAGTATTAATGCTGTGACATCACACAAGTTGTAAAAACCAAGTGACCTTTATTTTCTCAGCACATTCAGCTCCCTGCCTGGCTGGTGGTGGACTGAATGAGGACAATTATCAAAAGCACCTTCGCTGAGCAGCATTGTACCGTTCTGCTGTTCCCGTGAAGGATCCTGTGAGTGATTAAAAGAGACATTTTTGTTTTCGCGGACAGTTCGTGAGGCTTGCGCATCGCACAGGTTTTAGCCTAAGAGGCAGTGGTGAGCGCAGGTTTCCGACAGCCTGTTGTTCCTTGGACGGGTACTACGTGCAGATACCAAGCAGGAGCGCCAACGCCTTGACAACTTTTCCATAATTAGATGAGGCCTTGCACTCAGCGTGAGGATTCTTACACTGAGATCTAACGTGACATGTGTGATCACGACCCAAAGTCGTGTTTAATTAATTTTAGCTGCGACACAGGCACACAGACATCATTCCCTGCAGCTCTCGTCATCACAGGAGAAAAAAAAAAAACACAACCTTCTGCTAAAATAGGCCACTTTCCATCAGTTTCAGCAAACCTATAAAGGCTCACTGAGTCAAACCTTTATTCTGGGCAAACTAAAACAAGTGGCAGGTTGAGATGTATTATTCCTAAGGCAGAGATACTGTTAACCCTTTCTTGACATTAAAAAGTATGTAAATTTTACATGTTTTAATCTAGTTTGGTGTAGTTACACATAATGTTGCCTTCAGCACTTAAGCATGTCTTTGCCGCCTTTTGAATGACGGCACATGCTAGCCAGGCTTGTGCTTATTATTCTGCTACAAGCTCCAGATGGATCAACACATGCTGAAAATATTACAAGCAAGACATTTGCATGTGACCTAAATCCACTCTTCTGCTCCACCATGCAAACAAGTCAGTCCAGAGACAATTTTGGTGACCCCGGATCAGAACATTTGCACAATTATTGTTTTTCTCATTGGGTTTTACAATAAAGACTAAGCAAGACAGATTAATCAATCAGTTCATGATAGTATATCTTTAGGACTGATCGGTTCTTAAATTTATTTATCAGTGTTTGTAATTCATTTTCTCTGTGATGCTGCTGTGCCTTGTGTACAAAACCCAATTCCATTGAAGTTGGGAAATTGTGATAAACATAAAAAAAAACAGAATACAATGATTTTCAAATCCTTTTCAACCTATAATAAATTGAATAACTACAAAGACAAGATATTTAATGTTCAAACTCAAACTTTATATATATTTTTTTTTTGCAAATAAAAATTAACTCAGAATTTCATGGCAGCAACACATGCCAAAGTAGTTGGGACAGGGGCACGTTTTTACCACTGTGTCACATCACCTTTCCTTTTAACAACACTCAATAAACGTTTGGGAACTCAGGAGACTAATTGTTGAAGCTTTGAAGGTGGAATTCTTTCCCATTCTTGATTGATGTAAAGCTTCAATTGTTCAACAGTCCGGGGTCTCCGTTGTTGTATTTTACGCTTCATAATGCCATAATAATAATGGCAGGCCAGTCGAGTACCTGCACTCTTTTACTACGAAGCCATGCTGTTGTAACACGTGCAGAATGTGACTTGGCATTGTCTTGCTGAAATAAGCAGGGGCGTCCATGAAAAAGACGTTGCTTGGATGGCAGCATATGTTGCTCCAAAACCTGTATGTACCTTTCAGCATTAATGTTGCCTTCACAGATGTGTAAGTTACCCATGCCTTGGACACTAATGCAACCCCATACCATCACAGATGCTGGCTTTTGAACTTTGCGTCGATAACAGTCCGCATGGTTCTTTTCCTCTTTGGCCCGGAGGACACAACGTCCACTATTTCCAAAAACAATTTGTATTGTGGACTCGAAAGATCACAGAACACTTTTCCACTTTGCATCAGTCCATCTGAGATGAGCTCAGGCCCAGAGAACCCGACGGCGTTTCTGGATGTTGTTGATAAATGGCTTTTGCTTTGGATAGTAGAGTTTTAACTTACACT